ACTAAGTAAACCTAGACTACAATAAGAAAAAACTAATCTTTACTACTTAACAATATAAAGAACGTTGTCTTAGAACTACTAGAACTTCTGTTCTTTCTTCTAAGATACAGTAGAGCAATAACAGGCATAATAAAGCCTACTCTTAAAATCTAAAACTTAAGCATGTGCTATAATAATAGCATAACTACTAGCTACCTAAGATAAAGCGCTAGTTAAACAAACTTGTACCTAACTCTAATAGTGCCTAGCTAACAGACAAGCAGAACAACTTGTTAAAGTTACAGCTAGAACTTAACATCTACTGTATAGGTGCTGCTTTATTTATAAGCCTAGCACGTAAAAGAGGCTATAAAATCTATACTATTAGTATTGCTAACATTAATAAGGCACTAACTAAGAAGAAGTACACTAATCTACTTATAAAAGTCTCTTAGAAGTATTATAACCTAATAGACGTCTTTTTACAAGAAGAGTCTAATAAGCTGCCTATATAATAGCCTTACAACTATAAGATTAAACTAATACCTAGCAAACAGCACAGGTTTAGTCTACTATATAGTATGTCTTAGAACAAACTTAAAGTGTTGCGTAAGTACCTTAAAGATTACCTATTAAAGAGATTTATTCGCGCAAGCTTCTCTCTAGTTGCTTCCTCTGTTATCTTTATTAAAAAACCTAGCGGCGGACTATACTTCTGCGTTAATTACTGTGCCTTAAACGCTGCTACTATTAAGAACTATTACCTAATCCTGTTAATCTAAGAGACCTTAAGCTAACTAAGTAAGGCTAAGTATTATATAAAGCTTAATATTATTACTGCCTTTAACTAATTAAGAATTGCTAAAGAAGATAAATAGCTAATAGCCTTCTACACTTAATATAGGCTGTTTAAATACCTAGTAATACTCTTTAGACTAGCTAATGTACTAAGCACATTCTAATACTTTGTAAATAATATACTATGCTTATTTCTAGACGTCTTCTATATAGTCTACCTTAATAATATTTTAATTTATAGTAAGAATCTCTATAAATATAAGAAGTATATATAATCTGTTCTAAACGCCTTTTAAGAAGCTAGACTCTAACTAGACGTAGATAAATATAAGTTTTACTAGACTAAAGTAACTTATTTTAGCTATATAGTTAGAGTAGATAGAATATAAATAGATCTAAAGAAGATATAAGCTATTATAAATTAGAAGTACCTAAACAACGTTAAGAATGTTAGAGTATTTCTAGACTTTGTAAACTTCTACTAATAGTTTATAGATAGTTTCTTCTACCTAGCTACTCTGCTAGTAGCGCTAACTAAGAAGAATGCTAAGTTTCTCTTTAATAATAACTACTAGAAGGCTTTTAATGCCTTAAAGCATACCTTTACTACTATACTAATATTATAATACTTTAACCTAGACCTACTAATTGTTATTAAAGCTAACGCCTCTAACTATATTATAGCAGAAGTGCTGTTCTAATCTAGACCTAATAGTGTTCTCTATCTAGTCGCGTACTACTTAAAAAGAATAAACCCTGTGTTACAAGTAACAAAGAAGAATTCTCTTCTTGTTAGAGGTGGAGGGTTAAAGACTAACCAGGACCTCTAACAGAAGGCAATAATTATCACAGGGCTAGGGGTCACGTAATATACTATCCCGCTAAGGCTAACTATTAGAGATAGTAGTACATAAAGAGATAGCACCGCTATTACAGACATCCTATAAAGATAGAATAGACAAGATAGTAGAACCTAAGGTAATAGGTATAAGAATGTGTTAGATTTTATTATTACACTTATTATAGTTAACTTAAATAGTTTATCTCTTACACAGATTGTTAACTAGTTATTCTATTGTTTATAGAATTAGATTGTCTTTACCTATAGTTATTCTACAATAACTCTTTTCTATAGAATTGCTAGACAAACCTTATAGACTACCGCTTTAGTCTACCTCGCCTTAGTACGGACTGAGCCTAGAGAAGTATAGCCTAACCCCGTGTAACAGTCTTGTGACATAGGGTCTTAGCAAAAGCTAACTACTTACTTGTACTAACCACTCGCTATGCATCTACGTTACTTCTTTACTATAGATCTTCTTACCCCTAAACGTTAGCTTACTCCACGTATTACTTATATTCTTAAACTTAAAGGGTCTCTTCTTAATATTTTTAATAATCTCTTCTAATGATATTCGCGAACTTCTACTCTACGAACACTATATACATCTACAGCGAGATTCTCTCGATATCGTTCTTCGCGGCATGCGAGGTAGCAACGTACGGCAACTGATCCTGCAGCGCCTTGAAGTTCTTCTCCGCCTCCCAGTTCCAAATGCTGTCAGACGCGAAGAGCAAGTCAATTTCCTCGAGCGTGCGCTGGTTCGTTTCCGGGTACAGCGCCCAAACCATGGGGATGGTGATGGCGTTGCATGCGGCGAAGATATAGAGCGTCTTCTCACCCAGGGAGTCGAACATAATAGGGCAGAGGAGCGTAAGCCAGCCATTGCCGATGGACCAACCGACGACACCCCAGGCATTGCCCTTGGCGCGCACTTCGAGAGGGAAGATCTCGGCGGGGTACAGCCACGGGACCGTGAGCCATGTCGCGCCGAAGATGGCTGTGAAGATGAAGACCATGGAGACCGCTGCGTTTCCGTATGATGATGCTGCGCTCGTGTCGCCGCGCTTCGTCGCTTCTTGTCCGAGGTACGAAAACCCTCCGGCGAGAGCCATTGCGATGCCTTGTCCTGCCGAGCCCCAGTAGCAAGTCCAGCGACGGCCGATGCGGTCGAGTGTGAAGACGCAGATGAGTGTTGCGAACATGTAGAAGATGTTGTTGAGACCTGAGATCCATTGTCGCTTCGCCGGACTCATGCCCGCAATGCCGAAGATTGTGGGCGCGTAGATTGTGACACCAGCGATACCGACCTATATGATCAAGTCAGTGATGTACATGTGCGAATCATCCGTCTAGAACTTACCCATTCCTGCATGATCTGCAGCCAGACCACAAGCTGAACGCGACGACCAGTATGCAGCTTGCCGGACCCGATACCGAACAGCATGCGAAAGTAGTCTTGCTTGCGGAAGTTGGAGCGCTCTAGCTCGCAAGATGCCACAATCTCCTGGAACTCGACTTCCGCTCTCTCCTTGTCCTCTCCGGTGTCTCCTCGAAGGCGGGCCAGAATGTATCGTCCCTCTGCCTCGCGACCGACTTTGACGAGCCAACGCGGGGATTCCGGGAAGAACATGACGGCAGCCATGAGGATCATGAGCATGGGGATCTGGAAGGCGATAGGAAAACGCCAGATGAAGGACGAAGTGCCGTCGCCATAGAAGGAGCATGCGTACTCAAGCCAGTATGCGATAACAACACCGAGGATGTTGAGGGTAAACTCGATTGCGATGAACTGTCCGCGCGATGTGTGTTCCGCAGTCTCTGTAGCCCAAACAGGAATGATCGAGTTGAGGATACCAGTACCCCAGCCGTTGACGAGACGTGCGCAGATCATCCATTCGTGGTTCATGGCCGAGCACTGGAGGCATGCGCCAACCGTTGCGACAGCTGCTCCGACGAAGATTGTCTTGATGCGCCCGTAGCGATCACCGATTGAGCCACCGACCAAGCATCCGACCAATGTGCCGAGGTAGTATACCGACACGATGCCGCCTTGAAGTAAAGTATCGTCCACGACTGGACCGCCATCTGCGCCTTTGTGTCCGAAACCCATCAAGGTGTAGTAGTCGTATGCGGTATTGACACCACCCATCATTCCCTGGTCGTAACCAAAGAAGAGGATCGACAAGCCGGCGATGCAATTGATCCTGGTGGAAGAATTAGCGACGTCTCGATCGTGTTGTAATGGTTACATACGCGATGAGCAATGCGCGCTTCTCGTATCGATGAACGACATTCCACTTGGAGATCTGGTCCATGGTGGGCAATGGCTTCGCAACGTCAGACCCTTGATTGGGTTTAGTATCGCGAACGTGTGCGGTTCGATGCTTCGCTGAGCGGAAAAGCTTGTCGCGAGCTCTGAAGCCTGGAGGAAGATCGGGCGTACTTATAGCATGACGCCGTGAGCATGGATGGGTTACATCGTGACTTTCGCGCGTGGTCATCCAAGCCTGCGGAGAGCGTTGATTCCCATGGGGCCCCAATTGCCGGCCCCTCTTTTCGTGGTTGGGATGCGGAAGCCTCTCCAATTGCGACCACGGTTGTGTGGATCGTAACCTCTCGAAGGTTTCTTAGTCGTAGCCAAGTCGCGCGACAATGCTCCGGAGGGCAATGGATTACTGCAGGCGGTAAGCCGCCCTAATCAGGTACTGCACAGACGCCGCTGCACTTGCCTGAAGCTTGCCGACACCAAGCCTAGTGCCAAGGCGGCTGCCACGTTCAGAAGCCTTGAGAAGCCTTAACTGTCGGCCTTGTGAAGGCTTCGCGTGTAATCGATGATAGCGCTACACGCGCAATGGAGCACTTGAATGCGGTCACCAGATATCGCGGATTGCTTGTGGAACACAGAATGCAGAGTGGTGACGCATCATGAGTCAAGGTTTTCTGGGGAAGGACCTAACTTGACTTGGGCATGCACGATGCATCGGCCTGAACCCCGACCCGCTTCAATTGCCGACGGTTGAATGCGCGGCAATGCAAGGCTGTACGATGACGATGGCAAGATTTTCGTGAGAACAGTCGGTATTTCTCGAGATCGGGCGCTTCAGTTTCCCAACTTGACGGTCGCAGTGCGCGACAGCGCTCACCTCTCGTGCAGGGACGCGGCCGAAGACGGAGAATGTGGTGGCTTAACCGATAATCCACAAGCACCACCAGACCCGATGCCGGGCTTACAATGTTCACGATCAAAAGAGGGACGTGGACCCTGCGACGCTCACAAATGATGCGCGTGAAGTAGTATGGCTGCGCGACGGAGAAATTATCCGCTGGCGACAGCGGCTTAAGTTGTGTCAATATGGATCAGGTGGATTGAAAGGCTCTGTTGCTTCGGACTTGTTGCGGCGGGCTCTGGGCTGTGTTTTCGCTCGCCTGCTACATGAAGATGGATGTATCGTGGGTATGAAGCAGAGTCCGAGTGCTATCAAGCCGACGCACCTTCGCTGTGCTGCTTTTCGCAATATCGCTTCAGATCCTCGCACCAGAGACCAACCTTGCCCTTTAATGTGTCCTCCATCATCAGCTTGACAACCCTTGACAGCATGCCACTCATGATTTCCCAGGTTCTGACCTCGCATTCGTTCTCGCCGGTGACAATGACCTCGTGGAAGCGCTCCAGCTTGGGCGCAAAGCCGTACATGCCGCCGTTACCCGTCCAACTCACCCTGTATACCTTACTGAGGTCGGCTGTGAACGAGGGGTCTTCGAGGAGGTCGGGCGTGAGGTAGGATGTCGGCGCAGAGGGCGTGCTGATGTCTACGACCTTCAGCTGTGTCTTTGTGATGTCGTTCGGCTTGTCCGCGTTCATGATGACATGGAATTCCATGGAGCAGCCGATGCTCATACGCTCTTGGCTAGTCGAATCGAGGTCGTTCCCGGGGGACTGGATCTCCGCGACGGGTACCCACGTGTTCCATGCTTTGTAGTCTTTGGCGCGGAGAATGGTGTCGAATACGAGCGACGCCGGCGCGTGCACTACCGTCGAGTAGGGGATGGTGAGGATGGCGTCCTTGCGCGGGACGATCTTGGTGGTGAGCCCGTTCGCGGGTGGCCAGGCTGTGGATTCAGACATGGCGTAGTGAGCGGTGCAAGTGTATGCGCATCGTGATGGACCGACGTGCAGATGGCGTTTGCTTATGCTGACGACTGCGCCGCGTTGGCACACCGAAGGACGCGCCTTATCGATAGGCTAGCTTCCGTGGGTGAACGCCGAGGCCGCCACTCTGTCTCATCCTGCACAACCGTACACAGTATACATCGCAACGTCCCACAATGTGGCATCCTCTCGACAACATTTCCGAAGAGCTAATTGACACAATCGCCAGCTTCTGTTGCCGACGCACACTACCAAACTTATGCCGCGTGTCAAAGCAACTCAACCGCATCGCTACTCCTCATCTCTACGCTAATGTCTCACTGCGCTCAGACATAGGTGGTGACGGTGATTTGAGACATCTCCTTCCGCTTGCGCACAAGTTGTTTTTGTCCCCGGCTCTGGCTGCGCTCGTGAAGTCTTTCGCGCTTCCCGACGGTTGGGCAGGTTGCAACGAAGCCGAACGGCTTGCCGGCTTTGAGGTGAAGCCATGGCCCGATTTGGGAACGCCAGAAACCGAGCAGCTGTTGAGGCAGATGTGTTACGACTACGTACAAGATGGTGAAGGGCCTGAAAGGCTTTACAAGAAGATGTATGCAGCTGATGCTGAAGTGGTAATCACAGTTCTCGTCGCGAATCTTCCAAACGTCCACAAATTGGACTTGAACTTCGGGGATTCGCGTGGTCATGAGTTCTTTTGCTCAATGGTCAAGTCATCTGGTAGGCGGCTCCGGGCTATGGAAGCGGCGTCACTTGGTCCGCCAGGACACACCTGGTCTCTAACCGCCCCATTGACAAAACCCATGGACGTGCTCATCACAGAATCTGATGATGGCGACATCAAATATCTGGAATCATTCTTCCACCTGCCGTATCTTCGCTCTTTGTACGCATTCAAATTTGGAGATGGTGTATACAGCGGGATGGCGGAAAGTCCATTTGCCCTGTTGAGGCCACGCTCTTGTAGCGTGCAGTACATTGAACTCCGAGGCTCCACGCTCGCAGAAGATACCTTACAGTATCTGATGAAAGCAACCATACCGGAGAAGCTCAAGACTTTCCTGTACGAGATGGGCGGCCCTTTGACGTTGCGCTCTGCACATCTCCCCCATCTCATGCAATGCTTGGAAGACCATCAAGATCATCTGGAGACTCTAGCACTTAGCTACGAAGAACTTGGGGGCCAAACAACATTTGAAAGGGCGGGGTGGGATGCTGATGCTGATATGCAACCCGTTGTATCGTTCACTTTATTCAGGTCCCTTCGCCGCCTAAGGATAGCCCCTGAAATGATCTGGGGCCATACGCACAACGATATCAACTCTCGAGACGTTGTAGAAGCATTGAAAACCCGGGATATGTTTTGGAAGGCTCTTCCAGAATCTCTAGAGGAGTTTTGGCTCACACGATCGAAACGCCAGTGGGTGCCTGGCCTTCCAGACGATGGTATCGACTTCGTCCCTCACATCTTAATACCTGCACTGTACCGTCTTGTGGAGCAAAGCAGCGAGCAATGCCCTCATCTCCGGTCCATCCGAATCGAACTGTTGCCTTATGATTGGGAGACTGAGTGGCTGGATCTACTGGCTGAGTTTTGCCAAGCTGCCGATGCGCGAGGAATTCACTGCACAATTCTCTTCCTTCACAAATATCATAAGCTTGGACCGTTCTACAAGTTCACGCAGACTTATCAAGTCGAGCGCGGATGGGGCTGGAACGAGGACGTCGATTGGAGTGAGATTCCTTGTAACGCCAACAAAATCTGGCGGAAACATGTCATTCATACAGCGAACGAGCACGACCTAAAGGGTAAGATTCGGGCCCTTAAAGCAGATGTGTTCACGTACACAGACCCAATTCGTCGTCATCTCGCTAAGTCGACCCAAACACCCAGAGGTGATAAGCTCACTAAAGGGTTAAGTTAGTCCGGACGCATCAACCCATTCCAACCGGGACTAGGAACCGGTTCATTATGAAGATGATGGTCGAGCCACGCGAAGCAGACAGTCTACGTCAACGGCGGGTTCAAGGTGTTCTTTTCAATTAGGAAAGAAACATATATACAAGCCGATGGCACCAAATATCGACAAGAAGAGAATACATCGCAACGAGCACGACCTCCAGTGCGCAGACGGAACATTAGACATCAGACTGCGTAGTCGCACCAATAGCAGCGCCACTCTTCGGCACGAGAAAGTCACTCTTTGGAACCCTCCCATCAGCAGCACGCGCCTTCTTCAGCGTCGCAGGATCGACACTAGCGAAACTTGAATCTGACCAGCTGCCCGACTGCCACGAATTACCCGTAGCCTTGATACCCGACGCAGTGAGGCTAACCTGCGAGCTGCCTACGTTCGAAACAGCAATATTGTTCTTCATGGTAGAGCTGGAGCTGCGGAAGTTGAAGCCCACGTCGCCATTGTTCCACGCGGTATTGCGCTCAACCGTCAGACTACCAGGGTTCCCATTGTCGATGAAGCCCTTCTTCGCGTTGGAGAAGGCCATGCAGTTACGCACGATGTGGTTGGCGGGTGGATTATTCGTAATACCCAACTTGAAGCCGTTGCCGTCACCCTCGAAAGAGCTGAAGCCCCAGCGGTTGAACCCATTGCCCCAAGCGTATACCTCTTCCAGTGTAACAGACGAGCCGAACATAAAGAGGTCGAGGCCATCATCCACGTTGTCCCATAAGCGCGCGTTGCGCAGGACGTTTCCTTCGCCTGAGCCTTCTTTGCAGGCGAAGCCGTCGGCGGACTCGCCGTTCTTGCGCGGGTCGCGGTTGCGGTAGGAGTCGAGGTACAAGACGGTGTTGTTGGAGGAGGCGCCTTGGAGTTGGAAGCCTGTCTCGTAGTTGTCGTGGGTGATTAGGAGTTCGTAGTGGTTGTGCGACGCGTCGCGGGCGTACACGCCGTATGGGCCGTTGATAATTCTCGAGCGTGGGTTAGTATATCGAACAACAATGGCGAAAGAGCTGCCTGTACTTACTCCAAATTATAGAACTTCCAGTAGTTTGCATTCTCAATGTGTAGAGCACCGCGTTCTTTGTTTGGCAGAGACTCGTCCAGACCGTATGGCGTTCCGGGCATGCCTTCGCCATCGATGATGACCTTCTCTTTCTCGAAGGAACGAAAGGTGATGGGCTGAGTCCTTGTGCCGCTCTTCGTGATCTGGATGTTGGTCGTGGGTTTGTATGTACCAGCGCGAAGAAGAATCACATCGCCAGGCGCAGCGGCATTGACAGCCGACTGGATTGAGCCAAAAGGCGCGGTAGAGGTTCCTGTTCCTTGGCCTATTGGCGAGACATATATGTCTTTGGTTGCTCCAGTAGCCGATAGAGCAGCAATAGTAGCGGCGAAACCGATCGAGCGCATTTTGGATCGTGTAATGGAGATATAAGTCAGGTGGTAATGGGATGCCAGAGATGTCCAATTGTGACACAGTCGAAAAGCTACGAACCCTATATACCGCTATTTTACCCTCCATCGCACCTTGCGCATCTATGGCTTTGTCGCGTGTCTTACTCCTATACCTCTCGTGTCAGTTGCCAAGGTCTATAGATGAGAATGCGCCGCTGTCAAAGCTCCACCAATGCCTTAAATTTCCGACTCTTCGCTTCCTCCAGCCTGGAAAGGGCGACACTCTTATCCGACCGAGCAAGCATCGCTGTACCCCACACTCGCTTGCGGTAATTTATGGTGTCGCACGTGGTAGTGCATGAAAGTGGATATATGATTGATGGATCGCAAAGTTTCAAAGCATCGCCAAGTGAGCGGAGATTTACGCCATGGGGCTTGCAGGGCAGGCGCCCAATCGCGACCATACGGTACCGGAACAATATCGACCGAGACATTGAACTTGCGACTCGTGGATCGTGATATGCGCTGTTCCGACTCGTGTACATACGATGGTGTAGTGGTGAAGTGGTGTTGATGTAAAGTGTTCAGTAATCGAGGAAAGCGTCGACGAGCGGCAACGGCGGCCGTAATCCGCCAAGCTACCAAGGTAGTCCAAATCTTCTCTTGACCACAACGCCAGTATCAACGCCTACTCGCAATCAGGACACTAGCAATGAACATTCTCGTGAGGGCCGGTCTCGCAGGAGAGGTGGACCTCACGTACCCAAGCCGACTTTAGCGTCCTTGCCGCATCGCCTTCCACGCCTCCACGCCTCCACCTCCTCCTCAGACATCGCACTCATGCCTTTCCACAATCCGTCTTGGGTAAAGTTGAAAGACCAGAAATCGAACGCCATACGTCCGATGTTCTCCTTCTCATTTTCGGTCTGCATCTCTTCCTTCGTTTCGTACAGTAGCTTGCACACCAGCCGCGCCCCATGGCCCTTGATGTGTACGTTGACGAGCATTTCATCGATAGGTGACGGTGCACTCGCACGCGGTATCAGGTGGAATGGCAGGTAGACAGCCGGCCATGTATAAGGGTCTTCAAGGTCCCAGTACTGCGCGACATCGATTGGAGATCGTTCGTCTTACTTCTCGCGTCTCAGTTGGTGTGAGTAAGTGGTCAACCTCGTCCGGGTCGCCGGCCACGAATGTCGGAGAACGACGATGCAACACCGTGGATGGAGTTATTATGAGTACTGTCGCAAGTGAGGAGCCATGAGCTGGCCATAGGTGCGTCTCGTTCGGCTAGCCTTCGAGCGATCCCGGCAAGTCGCGGTAGAATGAGGTAGGAGAGGTCACACGCCACAGAACTTGCGCTGTGGTAACGAGATAGATGTCCTCATTCGGACTGTAATCTGATGTTGACGGATTCAGTGGGCTCGCTCTCGGCGACAGTCCTTTGTCGCAAGCGCTCGATGCGACCCGCATTACACTTCTCTCATCGCTATCATATGCTCCTTGCAAGTAGTCCTCACTCATGCGTAGTGATGCGAACGAGGTGCATGAGGTCGAAAGATCTAGAGGCTGCGTCATAGTCACGGACTTGGTGAGAAGAGTCGGAGACGCGGTAGCCACCTGAAGGCTTAGTTAAGTGTATACCCCAGCTCCACTCCAAGCGCGCTTAAAAAAAGCTCCACAAACAAAAGTGGATATGTAATGATCACTCACCATGCCTAGTCAAGTCGGTGACCTTGCTGCGAGCATGTCCTGTTTGGCGTGTAGCTATTGAAACGCTGCGAGATCGACTTCACGAAATGACGAACATGACGCATAACGAGTAAAGATAGTATACATTGGGAAGACGTAGGGTTTGATTAGTATCTATCTAACCGCTGTCAGCAAGAGACGAGAGCGGTACAAGCGCGCAGTAAGAACTATCGCGTGACATCCCCCAATGCTAACATAACCAACATCAACCACGCAGTGCTGGTTCACGGGGCCAGTGTCCTAGAACATTCCACCGTGAAGATTGCGCTTGCCGTGAGCTGAGTCTTCGGCCGTGTTGCCACCAGTTAGTAGACTCGTCGCGTTGCGGACAATACTTGTCGTAGCTAAGATATTCATGAGAGTGATCTCATCCGACTTCTTTGTCCAGCCCAACTCATTAGGAAGACGCTCATTCTCTGTTGTAATGTCAGCTTCTGGCCCGAAATTGCGCTCGACGATTTTGCAAGTACTGGGTGAACTCACCAAAGAAGTACTCCATCAACGTGCGATTGACAGTACCCTCTTGAAGGGAACCGAAGGCGATGATAGGCGCTGCAACTTCACCCAGACTGAACTCTTCGGTAGAAGCGGTGAAGGTGTAGTTCGGGTTCGTTGCTCGGCTCTCCAACTGACGGAAGATCTTGGAGTTTGCCAGCATCTTAGCTGTCACGACCTCTTCCGTCCACCACTGCTTCGATACATTGTATACTGTCTCGTTGAAGACGTGGTTATTACCAAACGCCGCATCGGTACGCGTGAGACTGGCATCGTGCTCGAGGACATTGTGGACGTTGAGCTGTTCGAGAGTGAAGAAAGTCGCGTTTGGTTCGGGATTGGCAATGATCGCTTGCTGCCACATGAGAGCTCCGAGAGAAGCGTTGAAGTTCAAGCCGTCTTTCAAGCCCTTGACTACGTTTTCTTGGGTGAAGTTACGACCATCACGAGGAAGAAAGCCGTGGTTCGCTAGGGTGTTGAGCATCGGGCATGGGCCTCGGACTGTGGATACCGGCATTAGATCTTGATACCATATATAAGCCTTCAGTACGTACAGTCGTTTGACGATGCCGCCATCCAAGCGTGAGGATCCGAGGGTGCGGCATCGTACTGAGGTCTCGCGAAGGCAAGCGTAGCGGTGGAAGCGACGAAGACAGTAGTAAACTTCATGATGAAATAGTGGGTAGTGGTGATGAATGAATAGTAGTTATGAAGCGAATCGAGTTACTGCGCAGACTGTCGTTGCAATACGACTGACGAGAATGGAGCCATGTCTTATAAGTTTGTTTGAAGACCCCAGGATTGATAGCTCTAAAAGCAACATTAGTAAACACCTTCATCCATATGGTACACGCGTAGCAGGCATCACTAGTTTATGGTACCAGCTTCGCAACCAAGACCAGATAGATAGCCACGAAGTGCCGGCATCCTAGGTGATGCACGCCGGGAAGGGCGCACAGCCAGGCTTCCGGTGTCGACCCGCGGAAGCGCGAAATCTGGTAGCCACAGATCTTTGTTTCAGCGAAATATCTGGCCAATGGTGTTTTCGCCGATTCAATGGCACAATGCATGGAGACGTCACGTCGGAAGCCAAATCGTATCCCGGGAAGAGTACGACTCAGGGGACCGTGCATACGCGGTACGTGTTCGTTGTCGGTCTCGCACTCGCACTCCTAGAATGTTCCACACTTGACGACGACGACGACGACGACGACTTCTCACATCAGCGAACATCATCATACCTTGACCTTCGGAGCGAAATGGCCAGCAAGTCCATCCCTAGGGGATCGGTCTCTGCTGCCGCCGGATGTGACGAGCTGCCCTCTAGGAAGCGAACCGGGACGAGAATCTTCCGCAATGCCGTGGAGGTTGGCTTCGAGCACAGAACGACTGGTACGTAGCGCACCATTCGATAAAGGCTGAAGAGAACATGACATCCATACTTCCCTTCATGAGGTTTCAATCTACTACCAGCACAGTATCGCCGTCGACTGAGGACTGTCGCGGTAGCGGGGGTCGCGTCGCCAGACACTCATGTAAGGTTAAGTCAGCAAATCGTTACCATTACCATAGCAGCAGTCAGCTTTGTCCGAAAGACGTCCGAAGTACATTGGAGAAGTGCTGCGCGATGTTGTGCTTAACGGATGTGTGGTAATGAGTGACCTTGGAAGGATGCAACGAGATGGGTGCTGCTGAGGGGCAGCCTCTCACCTCGCCTACGATCAAGGGGCAGGAACATCCCACAACGACCTCGTGATATCTCCAAGGCGCGCCCACATGACCTAAGCACTGAGCAATGTCAATGTGTGCGCCGAACAAGCGGTCAACACCTCGCCAAATACCATCTCATTACCTCCAAACCCGTACCTGCGCAAGCCTCACCTCGCGCACCTCCGGTCCAACGAAACCGCGTCCCCACGTCTCTCCGCATGCGCCTCACAAAAGACATCACTACCCCTCCACCCCTCGCGACTACCATTCGCTATAGACCCTGATCCTTCAGCGCAAACCTACGCTGCCCAAGGCGAGGCGGCGTGCGGCTCTGGCTCAGTTGTTTGCCTCCTGCGAGCGCCAACGAGGAACGATTGGCTGGACGCTAACGCCACTAACTTTGTCGTGCAGCCAATTCTAGTGTGTACAGCAAGGGTCGCAAAGTGCGCTAATGAGTCCTCAACTCTTTGTGGCCAGCAGGTGCTGCATTTTAGTCGGGATAGGCATGGTAGGAGTGGATAGATGGTCGTTCTGGAAGGTGCAAATAAGGCGTGATGTGGTGCTATTCGTGGCATGAAAACCCCTCATGTTCTTGCTATTGTGACTGACAGCCCAGCATATCCCTTCTCTTATCATTGAATAGAGTTCTCGTTGCTCTTGGTCTGAAGTACATAGACTCTTCGCTCACTACAATACTGTCGTTACACTAAATTCTCCATCTGCTTTCTTGGTTTCATCGTTCCTTTATACCTGACAAACACACGGATTTTGCATCTTCGATCATATTTGCTCGAAGAGCACATCGAAACTTCACAACAACGATTATCGAACACAAAAACACACACAATGGCACCAGCACCAATGCCTACCGCCTCCATCCTCCCCGAAGCCCCACCGGCCATAATCCCCATCCCGAACGCCAGCTCCCGCCGCGATGGCTTCAGTCCGGGCGCTGTAATCGGCATAGTAATAGCCATCGTTTGCCTCCTCCTCGCCGTCCCCATCATCGCCATTCTCCTCCGCCGATACGAGAAGACGCGTCTGCGCGAGACACCCAAGCTCAGCCCAGGGAGCAGTGACGTCAGTCTGCGCAGTGTCCAGGAGAACCATAGTTTAAAGAGCATTCTTGTGACGAAGGAGTTGTCGAGATCGAGTATGAGGATGGAGAGGGTGGATTCGGGATCTAGTATTAGGAGGCCGGAGGAGTGTTATGGGCATGGCAGAGAGAGGGAGAGGGGGTGGAGTTGCACTGAGGTTAGGGGTGGGTGAGAGACTGGAGGGGATTCAAGTTTTTGCTTTCTATGGCGACTGGTCGTCATATCAGATCCTTGCACACCATGCGATGAGTACAATCGACTCCTCGCAGGCCTCGCACCGCAACTTGCATTCATCGAGATGGCGATAGGCATACGCCCATTCAGCCGAGCCTGCGAGGAAGTGTCTACCGATGATGGGAGTGCGTGGGCTTCGCCAAGACTACCAGTCAGTTGGGGTGACTATGTACCAAGGGGCGTATAGTACGTCGGGCGAGAAGATTTTGGCCGAGAAGCTGTACTGAAGACACGACAGAGGCTCCACTGGTGGACATCCCTTCGTGGTTCGGGCTCGCTGAGTGTTGAAGTAAGGAAACCCAGCAGGAAGTGTGAACTTTATAATCTTAATACCCTCGTCGCATACACTGCGACACCCTACAGCTTCCGATAAAGGTGCACCTGCATCCGCATATTCTCCAACTCAATCGGATATCGCAGTCTCTCATCCAACCTATACCATCTACTATCGTCCTCCTTGATCTTCTCCCATCTGACAATCTCTTCCTTGCCGCGCTCGTTCAAATTTCCGCTAGCTTGCTTCAAGAGTGTGTGGTCGAGGAGCCATTGCATTGGGTACTTCTTCTCGGCGCCGTTCAGAGTGACTGATGAGTAACTTCCGGGGCTGTCGACTACAAGGAGTAAAGCGCCGGGCTGGAGGATTGATGTCATTAGGAGTAGAAACTTTTGGGTTAGAGGCAGTGATGCGGTGTAGAGTTCGTTCAGCGTGAAGAGTAATGTAACGAGATTCGCATCGGCAAGTTGCTCGGAGAGTTCCTCAGCCGAAGCCTGAAGTACATCTTGCTGCTTGAATCGTACAGCAACATCTTCAGGGTTAAGAGGTGGGATGTTTGCAGCTCTCGCAGCAGCGGATGCGTATTTCGACAATTCGGCGGGGACCGTGAGTTGTTTGGCGAGGTTCTCCACGACCACACTCCAGTCGGCGATGTCGACGGCGGTAATTTCCACATGGCCCCTGAGACCCTCGCTGTCTTCCCCATCTTGTGAATATGTGGTAGACATCAGCTTTTGCAGGCCGCCCAACGTCACGATTTCCGCGCCTGCTCCACCGCCCAAACACACAATCTTCCGGCTCTTTGGCTTAGCCTGCTCGGCAATGGCTTCTTGATTCTCCTCTTCATCTTCCTCATCAACCCATAAGTCGTCCCTCAATTCCCACATCAGATCCAGATACCCCAACGCGCGGCTCGGACTCCACCTCGCCGCGTACGCCTCCAAATACTCTTTCTTCCCAAAAGCAGTCGCGAAGTCACGCTTGTAGAGATGTCCCTTGACTTCTTGTAACAGCGGTGTAATATCTGCGCTCATTCTTTCTGCGAATGAGTTCCGGAAGATGTTCAATAAGAGTTGCTGGAGTTCGATAGGAATGTAGGAAATCCCAGGTCCTTTTGCGCCATTCGCCTGACGCTTTTCAGTCTTCTTGGGTTTTGCGGGTTGGGTTCCTTCTCTTTGCGCCTTGCGCTTTGCGTTTAGCTTGGAATTGGGCGCCATTCCTGTTGCTGATATTGTTTGCAGCCAAATGCGACAGTCATCGGACTAGGTGGGAAAGGATGGTGAAAGTCTCGTTATCGATAAGTGGTAAGCGAAGAGAGTCGTGATTCGTTCCGCCGGCTCAGTGATCGGAATGCGTTCCGATGTCTCATTGCCGACCTCGGGACATGTGGTGACGAGCACGCAGCTTGACTCATCTCGATCTCAACAAACAGGTGAGCTTGCCTGTGACTCAGGTTGAATCTTCATCTATATATGTTGACGAGTGGCATTCACAATTCCTCGAGCAAAACACGTCCACCAATCCCACAATGCGTCTCCCCTACGTTCCCGACCCGCCGAACTTCACGTCCGAAGAAGACAAAGCCGTCGAACAGCGCGTCAGACAACGGCGAGGCGAGAAAGGGCTCATAGCTCTAGACCGAACTTTGCTTCATGCTCCCCCGGTCGCAGATGGATGGTGAGTTCTCAAGTATTCCATCTAGATGTTCTACGAATCCGCACACGACGGAAGGGCGCATAGCACAGCCATTCACACTCCAACCACCTTTCCACTCCAGTATGCGACATCCTAACAAACACAATCAGGAACTCGTTCCTAGGCTCCATCCGCACAAAAACCAGTCTCCCCACCTCCATCCGCGAAACAGCCATCTGCCGCGTTGCCGTACTGAATAAAGCATGGTACGAGTGGGAGTCTCACTCGCCGATCCTAGAATCGGGTGAAGGTATTTGCCATATCCATTAGCATGAGCCTCTTCTCCTTCTCCTCTTCGTTCGCTGCCTAAGCACCTACTTACATGATGACATCTAGATGTATCCAAAGACCAAGTACTCGCCGTCCTAAACTCTAAACCGCGGGAACCACTGGATGCCTTGGGCGAGAAGCTGGGCGCGGTACTGGCTTACACGGACGCCATGACATTAGACGTTCGTGTGCCTGATGCGGTGTTTGAGAAGTTGAAGCAAGTGGGGTTCAGTGAGAAGGAGATTGTGGAGATTACGGCGACGGTCGCGGCGTACAACTGCGTAAGCCGATTCTTGGTAGCGTTGGATGTGGGGGAGAGGAATGCGCAGACGGGGCCGAAGGAGGGAGGGAAGGAGTAGTATGTATGTATGGACTCATTTCGTAGTTGAATAGATCGTTCGGTCTTGAAGTTTCTTCATGTTCTATCAATACTATCGAGTCGTCTTACATGCATACTCCCCCATATAACAGCATGTTACCAAATCTCCTTCCCGCCCAAATGTTGTCTTCCAATTCCTATCACGCCACTCTGCTCTGCCTCGCAATCTTCCTCCTCTGCGCCAACATATGCGAGAACAGAATGTAACTTCCCGGGACATAGATTGCCAGTATAGCCCAAAGCGCATACCCAAACACTTCATTCCTCTCACTAGCTAGCGGAATAGCCTGATACACCAACCAGCACTCACTCGAGATACCAAGAGGATACAGAACAAGAAAAGTGTTGTATCGCAGCCAAGTCCATAGTTTGGGGACCCCGGCACCTGACAGCGAGAAGACAAAGTAGGAGTAGCGGATTACTTCTGTTACGCTCCAGGCGAGCAGCATGGTGCTGTAGGCGGGGGAGTGGCGTGTGGAGAGAGGGAAAGCCGGGGGCGAAGCGATAAGGTGGACGAGGAGGAAGCGGGATGCGACTTGCATGAGGGTGGTTAGGAGGGGGGCGCGGACGAGACCTGGGGCATGTTGTTAGTAGCTTCTTTAGCTGGTGATACTGGGGGTAGCCGTACCAACTAGACTGTGGAGGACTTCCATCCCAGCGAGCGTCTGCACAGTCCTCGTATAGCCCTCCAAATTATCATACACCTTACCGCTTCCCAATCCCCTCTTGACCGCCGTAAACCAATCGTCGCTGCCAAAGAACTTTCCCGCTTTCTGCGCATTCACCACTTCGTTGCCGCCAATGGTGATGGTTTGGAAGAGTACGCCGGCCCAGAGTGCTGCGGAGACGGCGTTGTAGAGCATGAGGTATGCATTCTTCGCTCCCCCGGATTGTTTGACGGGTCGCTGGTCGTTGGGCGCCGCGGCCTGTGCTGTTTTGGATTTGGCTGACATTTTTGTGGTCTACCGAATCGATCGTGATCAAGTGATTTGAGGCAAAGATGGAAAGGACGACACTGGAGTGACGAGTGTCGATGACAGGATGTGTGCGTGCCTGAGGCCCAAGGACGCATGCAGCTCGGATTTCTCGCATGGTCTCGTTCGCGTACCTGAGGACCCTTGTTCTTGGCGCCGCTGACGCCGGGTTCCACGTGGGATGAGATCATCGTACATCATTTCGCTGTAAGCTCCCACGAGCTTTATCATTGCAATGAAATGCGAAAGCTAGATGTCTCATGAAATTGGGACATGGAACAGGTCAAGGTACACAGACGATCGGTCCGTGGGTCAAACATATTGCGGGTTCATCTCAATCCTTGCACGCTAATTACACCCGATCTCGCATATCTTGGTCTTCTTCTATTTGACCGGGACAATGGGCATGCAGAGGGAATGGACCGCTCATTTATGCCAATAAGCCAGGTGTAAAATGTACAGAACAGCCATCCAAAACGCCATGCTATGCAAATGCAACAAATGCGAATAGATATGATAAGAGCCTGAAATGAGATGCAAGCAAGGGTATCGTCAAAACACCCAATCATGACTGAGCCTAGATATAGGTCCTGAAAAGAAAGATACAGATCCATCTCTTGGACTGCGTGATGTTGGGTGATCACAGAAACACCTGAATCATGCTCTTCTTGTGGGACACGTTCTTGTCGCAGTCCTCGACCACGCAAACCTTGAATGGGTTTGTGTTTGCGGGTCTTTCCTTGCCCTTTGCACTGCGCTTCGCCGATCGATTGGCTGTACACTCGCCGCAGTAAACCTGGTGTTGTCAGCTTGTCGTCGTGCCATCCGTTAAAGCTGAGACTTACATGACCGCATCCTTTGACAATCCACACCTGCCTCTTGATCTCGTCGCTGCCGACACACAGCTCTTCTTCGCAATTGGGACATATGAGTGCTCCTCCTTCTTCTTCCGGGCTCCTCGTGAAGCCCTCTGGGGCTGGTGGTGGCGCGTCATAGGTAGCGGGAGGAGGCGGTGCTTCGCGTACCCGCGGGCCAAGTTCGAAGCCTATAACATCGAAATCCAGCATGGGCGCTTGGAATGCGCCTACTCGTATGTGCGGCGCACGACCCCGAGAGGCACTGCGGGAAGGGGCGACAGGTTCGTGGAAGCGGTTTGCTGTCCGGTTGACCTGTTCGTGGAACCGATCGACCTGGGCTCGGAGATGTGTGAAACGCCCATTCAATGTTCCAAAAAGATCCATGACGTTATCCAGCTGCTCGTTTCTCTGCCGTCTCCGTACCTCTGCCTCTGGTAACGCGTTCGCCCGTATGAACCGCACATCTTCGCCATCGGAGTCGTTCCCGTTGGTTGGTTGAAGGGGGCGCTGACCGTGTATTGTGCGGGAAGAAATGAACTCAATCTCGGGAGAGCTTGCTTGTGGTGCTGGTGGGTCAGGAAACCACTCTTCTTCGCCGTTGTCCAGGTCGATGATGATGTCCATGCCCCTTGGCAAACGAGGTTGGTGACGGCGACCGGGATGCGACTCTGGCTGTCCTCTGTCTTGTTGTTGCTCGTGTGCGTTGTTGCCATTGTGACTCGCCCCGTCGCCCGAATCATCAGCCGTCAGATCAATTATGTCGTCGTCCTGGCTCAGGTCGATAGCCACATCGTCCTCGTCCCCAGTCAGGTCGACAGACGCTGCTGTGTGTTGACTTGCCGAGCCAGCCGGCCGCCTGTAATCGAAGCCATCGCCCGCGAACCGTCTTGATGCCGAAGACGCCAAAGATGCCATGTTGCCCAATCTTGGCAGGTGTAACCCGGCGGTATGTGAGTGCTGGGCGCTTGAGGAGGCGCGTTCTATGGGCGGGCGGGCGTGCGATCGCAATGCAGACTCGAAGCTCGGGGTGGGTTGGCGGTCGAAACGATAGCGGGCGGGTGGGTCGTAGATATCGTTAGCAGGACTCTGCCTATCGTCATAACCGTATCCGAAGGGAAGGCCGTGGTAGGTTGAGGGAGCTTCGCGGTTGTCGGGGAAGGATCCATGTCTCCAGGCAGGCGAGGCAGAGGCTTGCTCGCCGTCCATTTGTGCATGTGAGCGCTGCAGCAGTCGTAGTCAGCGCATGTTCACCCCGTTGCCGCTCACTTTGTCGGTACCACCGCCGACGGCACTCACCTTCTGCTGTCTGTGCGTGAACCCACTAGGTCGTCCTTCTCCTTCCATGCCGGACGTCAGGCGGGTGATGGTATGCGGGGTTCGTGGTGAGGTTGGCGGCGGGCGATAGTAGCACCGGGCGAGTGTCGAAGGAGGAAGGTTGGGCCCGTCTCGTGCCGTTGGGGGTGCTGAGTTCGGCGAAACTGTGGTGGCGCTCCAACATCCATCTGGGCGGCATGACAAACGCCAGAACGTCAAATCCCAAATCATCATTCACCCTTCACCGTTGATTGGAATCGGACAATGGCTATAGGCCGCCATTCTGTCCGTTTCTAACGTCTTCTGTGACTCATCCCCATCACCGTAGCGCATTGTTCTGCTGTGCATGTGCGAGATGGATCGTGACGTAGTGTTTTACAGCATGTGGTAGTATCTTATTCAAATTTTTGGTCGTAAAAACCCCTGCCTAAATGCATTCGCTCGTTTCTGATTGAACACGCTGATGAGACAGCAGCCACTTTATACATCTGACTGCCCTGTCACAAAACTTTACGCCTTCAAAATTCAATCCTGTAGCCCCAAAACACTTCAAACTGATGTCAACACAACCAAGCCACCCTCCGGGTTCAGGGCCACTACGTTCTCGGCCTTGCCACCCCAGGCGACATCCTTCGCTGGAGCTGCCTTCCTCACCAGCTCGGCCCAGCTCTTCGAAGCCTTGGTATATTGTTGCACAGAGACGCTGCCGGTACCAGCAATCGCGAGGAACGTGCCGGTGTAGTCCCAGCTGCAGCTGGTGACTGGGCTGCCAGATTCTAGTGTATGGATGGCTGCCTGCTTCCTGATATCCCAAATCGCAACGCTGGAGGAATTTTGCTGTACGACGGCGAACCACGTTCCATTCTCGGAGAACTTCAGATCCGCAACGGGCGCGCCAGTCTCGAGTTCAGCCATCTTGGCACCAGTCTTGATGTCGTATATCCGAATGTTGCCGTCGGAGCTTCCGAGGAAGAAGAGCATGCCGTCGACGTGGAAGGAGACGCAGGTGATTTCGGCCTCAACGTAGACTTGCGAAACTGTCTTGAAGGTGGTGAGTTCGTGGATTGCGTAGCGCTTGTCGGCGCCGGCAGTAGCGAGCATCTTGCCGCTGGGGTGTAGAGACATGGATGTGACGGCTCCAGCGTGTGATCCGATCTGGGCAACCTCATCGCCGTTGGAGAAGACCTTGACTGTGCCTGTCGAAGTGCCAATAAGAGCGCGCTCTCCCCACCATGCTGTCGAAGTGACCGCGCCGCCAGCGTTGAATGTCTCCAGAACCTTGCCTTTGGCCAGCGAGTAGACACCCGCGGTTCCATCGGCTCCACCAAATAGGACCAGCTCAGCCTCGTTGACAGCAATGCAGCTGCTGCCTGGAAACAGCGATTCGGTCGTCTTGGCAACGTCGTAGTTGGAAATGGCGTCTCCAGAGGCCCAACCTGCCGGTACAGGTCTCTTTCGTCGCGAGCCGAACAGCCTGTAGTGTAGTAGTTAGTAAGGTGGGTCATACTACTTGTGGTCTCCAGGAGGTGCTGATCGAACTCACTCTTTCTGTGTTTCGTCAACGAGGGCGGCAAGCTCCCCAGGCAGGCCCTGGCCGTCCACCTGCATCGCATCGCCCTGGCCGCCGCCTCCACTGACGGTGACGTTGGATAGAGCTTCGCGCGCCTCGTCTCGCTCTTTTGATATGCGCGCAATAACCCGTGTCGCAGCGTCGTTCTGGTAGAGAGCAGTACTCAGCTCCTGCCTCGTTTGCGCCAAGTGCTGCTTGAGCGTGTGTGTCTCTAGTACCAGCGCATCCCACTCGTTCTGGAAGGCGCTGAGCATGGCGGGTATCGAGGTAAAGCTGGGGGCGCGTGGGGTAACGACATTGGGTGACTTGAGCTCGATGAGGTCCTCGGTCGCGAGGTCTTCGCCAGTAACGGGGTCAGTGTGGTGTTCCGAGATGTGCGCCTCGATCAGGCGCTTTTCGAAGACATTGCCCGACTTGCGCGAGGCAACGGGTTCGCGGGGAGCTTCGCCAGAGATTGCGCAAAGCATGGTGACGTGTGGTGATGTTGGAGGCTGCTGCTGTCGCGTTCGTGAACTTTTCGGTCTTGGGCCAGAAGGCGCGCTAGTGTCCTGCACGGATCACCTCCGCGTACAATGCTCCAGAGATGTCTCGGGAAGACGTAGCCCAAACATTGGTCAGAAGTATACACCACTTTCTCATCATTACAGCGGCGACGCGGGATACCACATATACATCACAGGCATTTTTGCGGCACAGTCTCCCACCTGAGTTGCTTCGTACAATAGCTGAGAACAGCACACTCGACAATAAGGTGTGCCCTTCAAATGTCTTCGAATGAAGCGAACCTATCTCCTCTCAAGTATCTGCGCAATGAAGCTTGTTGTACCACAAATGAACAGTACAACTCTATCTTCACATCTGGTCCTCTCCAACCAAACTCTGTCATGCAATAGTGGACGCAACATCCTAGACCATGAGTTTTGATTTGCAGGTAGCCATCCGACGAGGAAAATCTTGAAGAAACAGAACACTGCTCGACTTCCGGGACACAAGCAGAACACATAGAAATTGACGTTCAGACCAGCACTCACGACATGTCACCCAACTTTAGCCTTTGCCTTGGCTCTGTTCAGCCGTCGGCTTGGCGATGGAAGCGCGAAGGCACGCCGGCACCATATGTCGGACCGGCATCTTCCACTCCCGACTTCCATCGAATCAGCGTAACCGCTGTGCGTCGCGCCTCGCACCTGCGTAAACAAACCTGATCGTTTACCCCAGAGTTTTGCGCCTCTTATGTCCTCCATTCGACCCGAACCCCAAACGGGATCCTCTCCGGGTAAACAAGCTCTCCAGAACGTGAATCTGCGGAACCAATGACCCCGCCATGTTCCCTCTCTGGCCCTCGCATCGTTGCCAAGCCATGCAAGACCGACCTCCATGATGACGGTACTGCGGGGGAGCGCGCCTTGGGTGCATATCCGCCTATCCCAGCCATGCAAACGGTAAGTCTGAACCGAGATCACGATGCATGCTTGGTTGTTGTAGTGTCCCAGACTAGTACACACGGCTGCACGCGCTCGAGTATAAGAAGGCGAATGTTCCCTCGGAGGATCAGCATCCAACACGGTCCTGACTTTCTCAATACCTTCAGGCACCATGATCGCTAAAAGCCTTCTCGCTCTTGGGGCGGCGGTACCTGCATTTGCAAGTTCGCTGGTTCAACGTCAAAGCTCTTCGCTTGAAGCATGCCCCGGATACACAGCCAGCAACCTTCAGGATAACGGCTCCAAGGTTACCGCGGACCTCAAGCTTGCAGGCACCGCTTGCAATGTCTACGGTGACGACTTGACTGACCTCAAGCTTGAAGTCGAGTACCAGACTGGTACGTTCTTCACCCTTCCAGAATATCGTTCCCTTGCTAATCAATTTCGCAGCCGAACGCCTCCATGTCAAGATCTTCGATGCCGAAGAGCAAGTCTTCCAGATCCAAGAGTCTGTCTGGCCTCGCCCTTCCGATGACGAGGGTGTCAGCCCCGAGGACTCTGCCTTGTCATTCACATGGACCGACAGCCCTTTCTCGTTCGCCATCAAGCGCAAAGAGACCAACGAGACTCTTTTCGACACTTCAGCTGCTTCGCTCGTCTTTGAGTCGCAGTATCTTCGTCTGCGGACTGCTCTGCCTCCTTCGCCCAACCTATATGGTCTTGGTGAATCGACTGATCACTTCCACTTAAACACTACCAACTACACTCGCACTCTGTGGAACCGTGATGCCTACGGTACCCCAGAGGGGTCCAACCTGTACGGAGCTCACCCCGTCTACTTTGATCATCGCGGCGAGAACGGTACCCACGGTGTCTTCTTGGCCAGCTCCCAAGGTATGGACATCAAGATCGACGACTCTGAGGGCCAGTTTCTTGAGTATAACACTCTCGGTGGTGTTCTTGACTTCTACTTCCTCGCCGGCCCTGGACCAAAGGAAGTCGCAGTTCAGTACTCTGCTCTCTCTGGTCTTCCCGCTATGATGCCATACTGGGGTTTTGGATCACATCAATGCAAGTACGGTTACCGCGATGTCTGGCAGGTTGCTGAGGTAGTTGCCAACTACTCAGCTGCCGACATTCCTCTTGAGGTGAGTTCTACCATGCTACAGAGTATCCATACATCTTTGCTAACACTATCCAGACCATGTGGACCGACATTGACTACATGGAGCTCCGTCGTCTGTTCACTCTAGATCCTGAACGTTACCCTCTTGATCTCGTCCGCCAGCTCGTTGACTACATCCATGCCCACCAGCAGCACTACATCGTGATGGTTAACTCAGCTGTCTGGAGCGGCGACTACGATGGCTACAACGATGGTGCTGAGCTCGATGTATTTCAGAAGCGTGAGAACGGCTCTTTCTTCGAAGGCGCTGTCTGGCCCGGCCCAACTGTCTTCCCCGACTGGTTCCACCCCAACACTCAGCAATACTGGGACCAGAAGTTTGCTGAGTTCTTCGACCCGGCGACTGGTGTTGACATTGATGGTCTGTGGAACGACATGAACGAGCCTGCCAACTTCTGCCCGTATCCGTGCCTCGACCCCGAAGCCTACTCCGAAGAGTCCAAGAACCCGCCTGAGCCGCCGCCAGTCCGCACCTCCGCTGACGGCCGCCAGATCCCTGGCTTCCCAGCAGGATTCCAGCCTCAGTCGAACTCCAGCTCGCTGAAGACTCGCTCAAGCTCTCCTCTTAGCAAGCGCTCCAGCTTCAAGCGTCAAGCCTCCAACAACACCGGAGACCTTGCCGCGCACCCCGGTCTTCCCGGTCGTGACCTGATCAACCCAGAGTACCAGATCGCGAACGCTGCTGGCTCGATCAGCAACAAGACCCTTGATACCGACATCCAGAACTACGACGGAACATACCACTATGATACCCACAACTTCTGGGGCTCGATGATGTCGATCGCTTCACACAAAAGTATGCTTGCGCGCCGTCCTGAACGTCGTCCTTTGATTATCACCCGCTCTACTGTAAGTCTTTGCTACCTCATCATATCATAACGCAGCTAACAAGGTCTCTAGTTCGTCGGTCTTGGTACCTACCTCGGAAAGTGGCTCGGTGACAATGTCTCGGAGTGGACCCAATACCGCTTCTCCATCGCCGGCATCTTGAACTTCAATTCCATCTTCCAAATCCCCATGGTCGGACCCGATATCTGCGGTTTCGCCGGTAACACCACCGAGACACTCTGCGCACGCTGGGCAACACTCGGTGCCTTCTACCCATTCATGAGGAACCACGCTGGCGACACATCAATCGATCAAGAGTACTACCGCTGGCCCTTGACCACCGCAGCAGCCAAGAATGCGATTGCCGTACGCTACAGGCTATTGGACTACTTCTACACTGCCTTCCACCGCCAAACTACTACCGGAGAGCCCAGCTTGAACCCATTGTGGTTCCACTACCCCACCGACTCCAACACCTTCGCGATCGGATACCAGTTCTTTTACGGCGATGCCATCCTCGTTTCGCCCGTCTTGGAAGAGAACTCGACCTCGGTATCCATCTACCTCCCCAATGAAGTCTTCTACGACTACTGGACCGGCGAGCGCATCCAAGGAAACGGAAGCATGATCGACCTGACCGACATCGGTTTCGATAGCATTCCCCTGCACGTTCGCGGTGGATCTATCCTGCCTCTACGCGCCGAATCCGCAAACACGACCACCGAGTTGAGGAAGAAGGACTTCGTGCTGTGGATCGCGCCTAACGCTACTAACCAGGCTACTGGCTCTTTGTACCTCGATGACGGCGACAGCATCGAGCAGCCAGCCACATCGATGATCACGTTCTCCTACGACAACGGCGCGTTCAGCATGACCGGTGATTTTGGATACGAGACCGATTGCGTTGTGAAGAACATTACTATTCTCGGTAGCGGACAGAGCGTCCAGGGCCCTGTCGCCCTCAACGGAAGCTTCGAGTACAACTTCGGTGCTGGAGCTGGTATGCCAGAGTACCAAGGTAAGGCTGAGAAGCGCGGTCTTGGTATCGGTGCGGTATGGGGTGCTGGAATGGGCCTGGCGAGTGTGTTGTTGAACTTGTAGATAGAAGACGTAGTTGTAGTAGAGCCAGGATAAGACATGAAGCGACCAGCGCTCAAACCGTCGCACCAAATATACGTTTGAAGAAGACAACCCGCCAGCAGGCCACCTCCCACAAACCCCCCGTCATCACGTCTCCGCCAAACGGCTTTTCCCCACCCTCTTCCCCTCCCTCTTCGCCCTCATAGCCTCCGGGCTCGTAATCTTTCGTTGCGCAGGCACCAACCCCATCTGCTCATCCAACTCCCCCGCCGGACCAAGATCACCCAACAAGCTTATCCTCTGCCCCATGCCAAACGTTTTCTTCCCCCCTTCCTCCATCCACCGCTTCTTCTTCTCCAAATTGTGCTTCAGCGCCAGTCTCTTCCGTCCAAGCCACTTTTCGCTCGCGAGGAGTTGCCTCTTCGTTGAGGTCTTTTTGATAATGGTGCCGGTTTCGCCGTCGAGCGTGATTGCTGTTGCTTTCGCAACTTGTGCTGGTGCTGACGCTGGTGTTTGTGAAAAAATATAGCAGCGACTCGGCTTCACGTTCGCATGGCTGGTGGACCATTGATGCGGCGTTCCTGTTGGCGGCGCAAGCGGCAGAGGTGCCAGGTTAGGCGCCTGCAGAGGCGGGAGAGCGGGCTTATTGTGGTGGGTGGTGAGCGAGGCGAGGAAGTAGTCCAGCTACCTTTGGGTGGTGGAGAGGTAGGTTGTGTGGGTGCGAAGAGGATGTCAAAATTTTCGAGGAGCAAGATATGAGGAGGTAAAGAGGGTTGTAGGTGTCTGGGTGGGTTTTTGAAGGAGGGACGGCGTGGTTTTGATACCTTGGGGGATGACAGGAGGGATAATAGGAGTAGCAGAATAGAGGTGTAAAATAGCTCTGGAGAATACGATAGGGTTGTAGAGAGGCATGGCTTTGCCATTGTGGTGTATTGAGACGAGGTGAAAGTGAAGGGCAGCCTCGGCAGTCGCAGGGTTAGGAAAAGACCAATTCGCCAGAGTCAGCGAATGGGGAGTCAAAGATGATTTTCAAATAACAGCCCAACCCGTGTCATCGTCTAGAGGAGGGGAAGAGTTTGGAAAGCGTCGCAGGGCAAGTGCTCGGAGGTGCGATTGTTCCGGTCAATCCGACTATCTATGTTTCCATATACATGCTCTCATCTATCCATGGTCTAGGCGGACATGTCTTTACCCACTGTCGATGTAGCTTTCGTGTCTGTGCAACGCTGGCAAAGAAGTCGGTCCAATACGCATTCCATGCCGCTCGCTCACTTTCCCTCTCAGCAGTATGAGGAATGGCAAAATATCTTTCAGATATGTCGATATTCTTCTGGATGCAGAAGCGCAAGTTCGCGATATCGGCGACCACATCTCTACTGACGTCCACCTATGTCTCATCTGGTCGGGCTATTGATTCCGAGTCTCCTTCCTGAGCTTTTAGATGATCGTCCAGTGGGATGGCTTCAAATGCGCAACCGGACCAGGGGGCATCTTCGAAATTCAGATATCGTTGGGGATTGTCTTCGGGCATATAAGACGGAAGTCTACGTTCACCGGCACATGTCAGAACCAGGAAGATGTTAGCCAGAGTAAGCGACAGATTCGGGAGGCCAAAGGGCCAAAGTGAGACGTCCTTCTGCGATGCCTCGTTCTTTATCCTTTGTACCAGGGGCTTGCGCTGTTGCCACATTCTCGTCGTCAGTGGTCCCTGGGACTTGGGCGGTGTAGGCCACTCTGGTTCTGCGGAGGCCGGCTCTTGCAATCGATCGGAACGCACGTATTGCCTGGTTGTCAGGTTGCGGAGTACCCACTCTGTCTCCGTGGAACGCAGATTTGTCCGCCTGAGATCTCGCTCGATCTTCTCCCGGTCATTTAGTGGAATCTCCATCTCATATTTCATCGACTTGATGTCACTCGGTCTTGAGCGTCGATATCTGTAGGAAGGAAGGAAAGAGAGCAAGACGCCAAGCCATATCTGGCAGGCAACTGAAGTGTTCCCATGTCCAAGATTGGATTGCAATCTTCCACGGTATTTTTGGGTGCCCACGACGGTATTCAATCACATCTTCCATCATACCATAGTTGTGCCCTTGCTCAGCGGTGAAGGCAAAGTTGTAGTGGTGAAAGCCAACCTTCTTGCCTGACCAGTTAATCTGGTAGTTCCGGTGAATGCGCTTCAAGAGCATTGGCCACAGGCGAGCAGACGAAAGGCCCAAGATATCAGGTCGTCCAAGGCTTCATCTTGAGCCTTGCTGTGTAGCAGCTCGCTATTGTAGAGATCAAGGTTGAGGACGTAGTCCTTGTGAAGCAGAACATAATCGAATATTTCGTCAATGATTTCGTTCGGAAGGCGTTCGAAGAGGCCTCCAGCCGGGGGGTGAAAGTTTTGAATCCGCTGCGCATCTGGCCTGGGTTTTGCGAAGGTATCGTAAAACCAGGTCTCGTCTTTCGATTCGAAAAACGAGTGAAGTTTGCACCTGTATTGGGTGAGCGGTTGGCGTTGATTGAGCTCTGGGCAGATGAGCCAGTAATTATATGGAAAACACCAAAATTGAATGAATGGCATGGTCTGGGAAGTGTAGATGGATTCGAGTGGGTTGAGCGATCTCGACTGCCCTTTGTTGAAGTGACGCTGCGCCGCAACACAGACTTAGCCCAAAGCGGAAGGAACAGCCCGTATACCCGCCAAACAGACAGCATTAGCCGAAACATAGGATTTTGGAAGGCGAGAAGAAACTACCATCTAGTGTTGCAGCTGAACTTGATGTTCGACTTCTAGCAGCTGCTGAGGCGGGTACATCCAAGTTTTATTGGTTGTAAGAAACGATGAGATGTAGCCTAGAGGTATCTGCGGTAATTGCCTACTCAACACCCCTCGACCCCCGCTGCCACATCAATATCTCCTCCGGCGTCCCCGTTCCCGGTTTTGGCTTGCGAAATGTGCGCGTCGCACCTGCTCACACTCAGCCGCTGCTCAACCCTACTTCCTCCTTCCATGTTTCGCAATCAAGCTTCTTGACTCACCACACAGCCAGATATGCGGCCCGGCCTCACCGTCCTTGAGACCATGATCGTTGATGATATGCTCGATCTGTTTTGCGCGACCGCGGTTGGCGCTCAGGGTGGTGAGGCTTTCGGACCAGCCGTATAGGAAGATGGATTTGTTGAGGTGGCCGAGTTCGGCGGCGACGGCGGTGGCGACGCTGGGGAGGTTGTCGGTGATGGTGCTGACGTTGGGAGTTTTGACGGTTATGGGAAGGGCGAAGTTGGAGGGTACTTCGTAATCGGAGAGCGCGGCCTAGAGATCATGTTAGCTTATATCATGTGTCGTGATGCGATTCTACGTACCCATGCGTCAACGAGCTCTTTCGGCGACCACGACTCGCAGCCACCTTGTCGAAGCAATAGATCCGCTCTTGTCTTCTCTGTATCAGTCGCCAGAGTTTGCACTATCAAGTTCATCTGCTCGACAGCTTCGCGCGTGCACACCATCGGATGTGCTCCAATAGCAGGGTATAGATGTGTTGGTAGCAGGTGTTCTTGGGCCTCCTCTTCGATCTGGGCGCGCACTTCCTTTGGATACCAATCCAGTATTGGACATGGCTTGTGAGAGATATCGGAAATGAGGGCGAGTAGAATAGTGCAGTCGATGTTCAATGTATCGCTTAGAGCGCGTGATCGATCGATAAGTAGGCGCGGTAAAACAGCGTCTATGGAAAGGGCGGGCGGTATGTCTTCACCACACTGTACTATCGCACCTGTGGCGCGTATCTTGTTGATGATCATATCGATGGCTGGTGTTTTTCCAGCAGAGATTCGTGTCAAGACGAAACGCACCTTGGGCGGTCGACCGCGAATAGGGTTTGCGCGCGCAGCTCTTGCAAGACCTCGGGCATTTCGTACCACGTCGATTTGTTCTTCATCGTCATCGTCATCTTCGGGGGGAGGTGGCATGTCTTCATCATCGGAGTCTGAGTCGTTCACCCAACCTAACTTGGCAAGATCGAAGAGAATTCTCTTTTCCGACACGGTTGAAACTCGTATCCACTCGGCACCCTCTTCGGCGACGATATCGACGAGCGCAGAGGTTTTGTTCTTGGCTTGGCTTCCTTTCGCCAAGCTGACTCCTTTTGTTGTAGACTTGCCTGCTGGAGCTTTGTGCCGGTCCCAGAAGAAGTATTTGCGGAAGCTCTGGATTCCCATTGAGCGCTTTGCTGCGCCCCATAGTGCCTCATAGTAGAGGAGATTCGAAGAAACGATATAGTGCCGGGCCTTTTCCTCATCTATAGTCGACCCCGCGATCTTCTGCAGGAAGGCTAGCTCGTTGTGCATGTCATTCCGAAGATTTCGGTATCTAGTACAGTTAGTCATGGTCTGAGGCTGCCGATCCAATTACGAAGCAGCTCACCCCTTCTCAGACGAACCTCCCCTGGAGGCATACGCTATGCTGTACACTGTCAATGTGAAAGCAAACCCACCGCGAACACCTCCAGGGTCATATGAGGTACGCTCTGGGAAGGCGGAGAACCTTCATGTAGGTTACTATATCATGACAATCGCATAGACGTACTCAACTGGATTGTAGACCTTCCCGACCTTTTGCTTCTCAAGAACTGCCGCGATATAGGTCTCTACCTCGTCATTGAGATGGTTGCCACGTGCCACTAGCTCTTGAATTGTAACTTCGAGCTCAGCCCTCGGGATGGGCATTTTGCCGTCAGCCGGCTCTTCTTTCCCAAGACCAATCTGGCTGAAGTCTTGGGTGATCGACTCTGCCATGATCACCTCAGATCAGGAATAACCTGAATAGGCCTGCAGACTACACTATGAGAAAACGAGCAAATCGGAAGGTCTGGCGACAATATAGGCTCCAGAGTGTTCAGTCTGTTCCCTGTAGGAGGTGTGGTGGTGCCACTGTTGTGGTGAGTCTGGTACGTTTGATAGTGCACGCTGGCTAGCTGGAGTATGGCGTAAAGAATGCGAAGGCTCTTTGATTCCAATGCGCTGGCTTAGAATCCAGCGAATACGTCCTCGTCCTATTCAACACCCGGCGTCCGAGAATTGTTCCTGGTGAGTAGTAGTCCGGGGCGGTGGAGAGTTGACGGGAGGGGTAGATTTGGATTTTCGAGATGAGCCTTGACTCAAGCACTAGTCTGGCCGTGGAAGGTTCGAGGGTGGCGCAAGCATCAAAGTGCTGTTGCCTGATAGGTCGAGTCTCGTGTCAGCCCTTTTCTGCATGCTGGGTTCCTGTCGCGTGGTACCTGGATAGAGTCGCGATTCTAGTCTGGCCCGACGATTCCCCGACCGACCCCGCCAAAAGTTGCCCGCATACCGAACCCACGCACCGACCATCATCTCTCATCTTCGACCTCAGACACCCTCAATTCACCATGCCCTACTTCGCGACGAGCCAGGAATGGTACGAGCAGTCGTCGCTCCTGCTCAAAGCGCGACCGACATCCGTATGCCAAGCTCCACTCCACGCACGCACGCGACCCGCCTTCTAATCGAGCTACTAGACACGCATCACGTCCAAATACTCGGTCCTCAAGCCCACAGCCTCCAAGATCAAGAAGCGCCAAAAGTACGAGGAGAAGAGAGCCTCGAAGCCCACAGACACAGCGCGCGCATCCTCGCCACCGCCGCAATCGCAAAATCCCGAGGACGTCACCGTGTTCTTCACGCTCAAGACGTACGACCCCGAGTCAGGGACATGCCTACAATATGAGACCAACAAGGGCGCTGAAGTCGGCAGACTGATCGGAAATCTGGGGAGGCTGGGAAGGCACATGGCAGCACTGCCGGAGACAACGGATGATCTGAGCATGCCAGCTGGCGGCGAGGCCACATCCACACAACAGGTCGACGAAGGCGGGGACGTGAAGATGGGCGGCGTCCCAGCGGCTGGTGCAGGAACAGGAGGCAAGAAAAAGAAGAAGGGCAAGAAATGAGTAAGAGCATATTACGACTATGAGATATTGCACGCGCCGCGCATAGCATTCAAGGCGGACGAAGACACCGCGACGCACGCCCACGATACCACGAGGCTCATAAGCATATCGGTTGCGATTCAATGACTGATACAGGACCGGGGCATATAGCGCGGCCAGTCTGCGAAATGAAGATACCCAATTCCCCATCCAGAATGCCCGTCCGTGAACTTCTCACACCTGCCGTCCATACTAAAACTTTCTAACAGCAGCAGCAGCAGCAGCAGCAGCCTCAGCGTATGAGGCACGCTTCGAATGCTTCTCCGTACGCTTCTCCGCCTTGCGCTCTTCTTTCTGCTTCTCCATCCGCTCCTTACGCTCCGCCTCCTCCTGCTTCTCGGTCACGGTCTTGCCGATGAGGGTCCACTCGTCCTTGTCCAGCTCGTGCAGCGCTTCCTCCTTGTCCACGACTTCCCAGTTGCCGCTGTCGTTGGCGCTCGACTCGGTTATATGTAGACCGGCGTTGTTGGTACGATGGAGGAAGTCCTCGAGGTCTGACTTTCGGCCTTGCACTGCATTGGTGGGGATGCTGGAGGACATAGTAGTAACGTAGTGACTAAAATAGTTTGCTGAGAAGTGTTTTATGACTTCAGTGAGTGATTGTAGGGTCGAGAGAAAGTGTAAGAGCTTAATGTAGTGAGCGTTCGACGATAGTGCTCTACTTGGGTCCTGCGAATGGTTAGGGTGCTGTACTGATGAGAAGCAGGAGGTATATGTACCGGCCAGTCGCAATCACTTCGATTCTGTATTCTCAGTCCTCGATCTTGGCTCAGACGCTGCAGTGAATGTCGAATGTTTCACTGCACAACCATCCGTGCGTTGCAATGCGCCATTGAAAGGCGGCGAAATATGTTCTTCCGACTTGAACCATGGTTCTCACATAATGGGCGCGCGCGCAAACGGACTCTTGGTCATATTGATTGTGGTATTGCATGTCACAACTCCGAACGACGCAGCTAATCGGACCGCACTCGAGAGTGGGTGGTCGATTAAGTAATGCCTGTCCATCAAACCATTTGTAAATTGTCTGATGCTCTACTGCGATGGTTCTCCTACGCTGCTCTCACTGAACGAAGAGAGATCGATCCACTTGCAGTATGCACTACCCAAGCTCAGGTTCGAAGTAATGATCATAGTGTAAGCTATACTGGGATGACCGCATACTGGATTGCATTCGCAGCCTTAACCGTTAACTCGCCTTCCTCCCCAAACGTCCCAGATAGTAAAGCCAGCGCGTAGTACATGCCACGGCGGCATATTGGAGGGTGTTTGGAACTCTCTAGGCGTATGATTGAGCCAGGCTACATGCCATTGCTGCAGTGAGTCGCCCCTCCGCTCGCGCATAATCTCCTCCGGATCGCACACGGTGCCTGGTTGGAAGTCGCAATGAATAAAAGGGTGATCACCATTGGTAACTTGCTCCAGGAGCTCCGGGAAGGTCTCGTATACGTATGCGTTGCGGAGTCTGCGCATGCGCCAATCGGGCTGTGGTAGAAGATGCCGTGCGTAACTCAGGTCCATGGCAGTTTGCCAGGCGGCATCTCGCTGTATGATGTCGAAGACTCGCGTAGTCTCCTCTGGGGCGGAGTCGCATTCGAAGGTTAGCTTGAAAGAGCCCTCGGGCATACCCAGGGAGGGCAATGTAGATGCTTCTGCCATCCACTTCGCAACCGCCCTTGAAACGTAGTTGGAGTCAAGACGGTCGCCTTCCAAGTCTCGCCCGCCTGGCATATACCGTAATATTTTGGTTACAGGGAACGCGTTTGCCCAGAGACTGACACGCCTATGAACGCGCAATTTTGGGTGCGCACGACAAAATGGTATAAACCCCCTGCCATGGCATTCTGGGAATGAGATAGACTCTCGGTCCTCGATGGATTCGATCTGTCGCACGCTCTCACGCGTCTCGATGCGGAGAGACCGAAGGAAACGTATTGCGCATGCTGCTGCTGACAAGGAGTGTTTCACAGTCCCGACACGATTATTAGTCTTGGTTATGTCGACTAGTTGCTGAAGTTCGCGATCGAATGTAGCCACAAGGTCGTGCCTATGATGGTCCCGGGCGCAATAGCCATACTTTCCCTCTTGAACATGTGGGAGTCTGCCCTCGTTAGGCGTCAACCAGGGTACGGGATTCACTTCTCGGAGACTTCGGCGTTGGCGTTCCGAACGCTTCCCGTCCAGTTTGGGGTGGTGCTTGCGGTCATACAAGAGATTCAGAGTGAAGTGAACAAAGTCGCGGTACGTCGAAGGTGGCTCTCCCAAGGTGTACGCGCATCCACTTAGTGTGCCCAGTTTTGAAAGGATCGGTGAGAACTGTGGATACTTGAGGGATACCTCTTTCTCGATTGCTCCAGTCATTAGCCGCGGAGCTTGGACATTGAGTAGATCGAATCTGAGGGCGTGTAATTTGATGAGCGCTCTGTGGAACATATACGCATGCGTTTGCATGGCATTCGTGCAGGTTGTTTGGAAGACGATCTTGTTGAGCTGCAAGGCAAGGCCTCGAAGCTCCAGTGCGACCACACGACATGTATACGTCAACGACAGATCGACAGGAAGCTTGTTGGTTTCGAAATTATATACCAGGCCGTCTTCGTTGAACAGGTAATAGTGATAGATGAGATCTCGAAGTTCCCTGGGGAGGCGAAAAAGGCGCGACTGAAGCTGAGGGTTCAGAAGCGGCATAGTGGACGTCGTATCGCGCTGGACTGCAGATGGTGGAGACTCACAAGACAGTCTGTCGCGGAGAGATAGCAGATCTTCATTGCCCATGTCTTATGTAATTATGAAAGATGTGTCGAACGTTGTTGCCGTGATGAAGATATACATATGGCGGTCAAGTGTGACTCATCAGCAACAGAGCCTGTCAAAGCCGCATCGAGCGTAGTAGACCAAAGACGTGTCAAATACTCTGAAAGGACGTATTCGGTCATTCGTAACGGGTGTTGACCGCAGCCTGTAGGTTACCTCTATATACCGCGGTACGGTGACTCCAGCTCTTTGTAGACAGTAGGAGGGATCGCATCCGAAGGGCGGTTGTAGTCATCATCGCACATCGTGTTGGCAAGATGGAAGCAAAGAGTGAGCAAAGTCCACGATATGGGTGAGCGGATTGAGCCGGTGATTATTGCGATGTACATATGACTGCAATCAGCGTGAGTACGAAAATTTTGTAGTGGGCGCATTACGAATGCGCACGTAAGATTGAAGGGTACCATGGACTTGTAATGGCACAACGGCTGGCGAGTCACCTTCATCAACCCACATCGCAGTATTATAGACAAGTCGCTTTGTGCGCTTCTTGATAACTCTTATTATTACATGCTATACCTCCAACAACCCCTTCACCTCCTTCACCATCAAGCTATCCTCACCAGCCTTCGCTTGAACCTTCCCTATCGTACCCGCAGCATCCATTACCTTCCACGTATCCCTCAACTCGCCCTGCATATCCGCAGCATACACCAACCAACCAACACATATGACACCCATCTTCTGGTTTTCGCTCCACTGCTCTTCAGTGCCAATATTTTCCAGTAGCGACGCCAGAAGCTCGCCTTGCTCCGCCTCCGGTAGCTCCGTCTCCGAAGATAAGGAGGCTGACGGGTTTGCGCTGTGCTTCTTCATGCGTACTTGTTGGTTCGAAGATGCCATGTTCATGGCTAGACTGAGAGCTGAGGCTTTGAGCGCGGGGTGCTTCTCGTCGAGGAGAGCGGTTGTTAAGATGGAGATTAGCGTTGATGAGAGCGGTGGAGAGAGGAGGTGTGGTATGAAGAGGGGTGATGAGAAGAGATTGCATGCGAGATGCAGTGTTGTAAGTCCAAGAGGGTAAGGCGCGGACTCGCCGAGCTTGTCGACGTGGTCCAGCAGATGGTGTATAGTGGCAGGTGTGCCAGTTGCTCCCTTGTGTTCTTCCGCAAAGAAGCCGGCCACGCGGACGTCGGTCAAGGCCACCCTGAGCAGATCTAAGGCCGTGAACAGAAGCTCTGGTGGGAGTACTGAGGTGCTGTTCCTCAGGAAGTTTGCGAACTGCGGAAGATCTCCCAGAGGTGCTTCTATGGCCCCAGATTGTTCGCGAGTCTGTATAAAAGACACGACTGACGAAACAGCTGGCTCCTTTCCTGCATCTCCCATCTTCGCGACAAGCTTCTCCAGTGGCGGCACCTTGGTGAACTTGACAGGCCTTTGACTCTGCCGTAACAGCATGGGTGTGCTTTTCTCGAGATGTGGGTGCGCGGGGAACGCAGCATTAACCAGCATCTCCACGTTGTTCCGCAGCTGCCTCGGATCAGCTCCACTCCACTCGTCTCGCTTTTCGCCTTTGAGGTATGTTATGAATGTTGGGGTTGCGCGAACGTTCGGGTAGCGAGTGTTGATGGAGCGATCGGCGTGGCTGAAGTCGATTTTGATGAAGACACATTTGGTGCCAGTCTCGGCGGCGAGGTCGTCGTACGGTTGGTACACCAACTTGCATGGCGCGCATGTGGAGCTCGTGAAGAAGATGATGGCGCAACGGTCTTTCGCGAGATCGAGAAGGCGGTCCACATCCTTCAGTGCTGTTATGTTGTTGACCCTGCCTGTGTTCATTTCCAAAGCACTACCCCCAGAAGAGACCCCATTGGATGTATTTGCGCTCGACGTTTTCGAATGGGCTTGCGGTTGTACCGGCTGCGGTGTGGGCGCTTGAACGATGGGTCGCATAGCGGCGTCGATTTGCGGTTTGAGCATCTGTCCGAACGGCGTGTTCAAGACGGTCTGTGGGAGGGAAGTGATGTGACCTGGTATTCCTTTGCCGACAAGGAACATGGCGAAGTCGTTCGAGAAGTTGTTGCAGTTGTGTGCGAAAAGATCGTAGGACTGGCTGGTGTTAGCATAGCCACAGCATGCATCCAACAGGCACCTTACCTCAGCAGTATATATCTCCTTTAGAGATTCTAGGTACTCTAATATGACCTCCATAGGGAGCGCAGTCTGCCCAAGGTTGATTACTTCCATCGGCCGGCCATGGTGAGTGGTGCCCGCCCGACATGTCTGCACGCCTGATCCGTAGTAGTATTCTATGCCGTCGAGTACGATTGAGGTGTGATATACGGCATCGATCTATTCGAAACGATGTGTCAGCAGAAGCACCGAGTATCAGAAGATATCTGGCTTACCTGTATGCCCAAGAATTGCCGCGACATGCTTCGTGCAAGACCCTAGATGCCGTCAGCTCTGAACACGTCTAAACAGCGCCGCGAAAGATCGCGCATGTACATCTGCTCCAGCCACTTACTTGAGAAAGGTCATACACATACAGTTGGACGTCCATCTTAGAGAAGGTTTTGCAACGGCTGTAACAATGTCTAGGTGGTAACACGCTTCGTGGATATGTGCAGGCGTTGTTCGGGGCGCTTAGATAGATAAGAAGATGACGTAGAACATTCCGGAAGGCTGACGAACGCTCGGGCGACGCGATCCGCAGTCATCGCGCTAGCACCTGACATCACACACGCGTCGCGCTTTTGCCAATCTACCAATCTCTATCATTTGGTGATCTGAAATTACAATGCCTTCTTGCAGAGATACCAGCGTTTTAGCGCCCACTTTTTCCCATCAGGGCAACAAAAAGACTGCAATGCAGGTGACATCTGGACGACTATGACAATTGCATCAGGGTCCGACAATGAAGAATCAATCGTTAGCAACGCTGCTGTCGTCGGAGCCGCTGTCATTACTGCAATCATAATGACGAACGTGAACATCACGAGGAATGATGAACATCAGCTGCATTCAGATCATTTGGTGGGGATTTTTCAATGCTCGACCTGACCTTAGACCAAAGCAACGAATCGAGGTATGTTTTCTAGACCAATGTCACCTGCTGCACCTTCCTAGTCGCGAAGAACTCATCATCCAGGAAAAGATGATCCTTCTCCCTTTTGACCATCCGATCTTTCATCAATGAGCAAACTGAAACTAGTGGTCCACAGTACTCATACGCATCACCCTTTGGCCGTAGGATAGCAGGCATGCATAAACCTTTCAATGCCCACGCACAGTCATTCTCTCCATGTGTCCGGCTCATGACGTTAGTCTCTGTATGCTTCAAGAAGCACACCATGATTTGCCCTGTGGAAAGAAGGCAGAATCTCGGATCTGCTAGGCGGAGAATCGCGTACAGCAACTTGGGGTCGCGGCAGGGGGTCTGGAAGATGATGTGCTTTTGCGTAATACTCGAACGGTTGAGACCATCGAGGGCTTCTTGGGGGATATCTTCACAGATATCGTGATAGCGTCGAAGAAGTTCTTGCATGCTGTCAAAATTCTTGAAGTTGGAGGGAAGCAAGTCCCCCTGAGCATCTACTTGCTCATTCAGCCAGAACTTAAAGATCTCGCTCTTGGGCTTGCCGGTGATTTGAGACGCTGTTTCGAACAACTCCTCGTCCAAGTACTTGAGATGTTCGCCCATAGTTTCGCCTGGACGATCTGTGCAGCTACACTTAACAATTTCCCCAAGAAAGGTCCCCTCTAGGGTAAGACAACGTCCATCTTCCGAGAAAGAGTGGGGGTTTCTGCCTTTGGAAACAGTGATATGCGTGCTGAGCTGACCCGTAAAACTTGTCGCGTGTGCTGTCCAGCTAGGACAGTCTGTAGATTCATGACTCATAGTGCATTCAATGATCTCCAAATCACCAGTGCTCTCGATGATGTATCGTGTGTATGCCTGGGCTACTTGCTCAACTGGTAGGCTGTAGTCGGGGAGCAGTGATCTAGGCAGTTCGTGGTGGTTTAAGAAGCCCAAGATACCGTAGAATCGGTCTACTGGATTGGTGCACCGCCTATTGGACAGTTGCTGTAGAAGATGGTTCAGTCGCTCGCCTGGTGATAGGCGCGTCAAGCCTCCCTCGGCGTTGCCAACGTATGATGAACCGTGCCATTCCATTCTTACTTCATGCAAAGTGATCAGAGTTGCCGCTTGGCCCACTGTGGCAAAGACGAGGGCTTTCGAGTGCTCGTTCATCAAATGGGTTTCCCGCAACAACCGCATCACCGTACCAATAAGATGCTGCAAATCTAATACAAAGCTCCCAAGAAGTGCGATCGGTGTTCTGGGATTCAAAACGTACTCCTGTATGATCCAAACTCTTGTAAGGTAGGGTTGACTGAGGAGACTTGCTAGCTGTCGTGTAAACCTGTTGAAAGGCGCATGTGCGTCTTCTGATGAGAAGTGACCATAGATCTGTGTATACTGCTGGAACATCATGTCCATCATAGGGCCGGGCTCGAGCACAAACCCCATCGCTCGCAGTCGAACGATCGTCCTTTCTATGACCACTTGACGCTGATGTGCAGCAAACTGCTCTATCAAAGGTGTATCTGGAGCTCTCCTCGTAACTCTTAGTTTGCCAGCAGTGACTTCGCCGTGGTAATAACCTCGTAGTTCGTCTGAAGGGGGATGTTTGAAGGAATCTTGTACACCGTAGTCTAAGCCTCGCTTCAGTACTTCTAGATCAAAGTCTTCGCTGAGGATCTTCGACGGCAACCCCATCCAGATCCATACCCGACTCGCCATCGAATATATGTCGCCCATCCGAGGTACCTGTTCGTTTCTCTCGTTTAAATCGTTCTGGTTGATGCAGATAGCGTCGATCCAGAATCGCGCAGGCATGGTAGCGGGGCCGGTCACTTTGCCTATAGATGACCCGGCGACTGTTTGAGCATTTCCTGTGTTGTAGAGTGTTTTGTAATCTAGGTGCTCGTGGTGCGATAGGAAGTTCGTTTCGTATTTGCGGGTTGTCTCCAAGAAGTCGTGGAGGTTCTCCGTTACGTCCAATCGTTGGCCGTTCACAACAATGGTCTTCTTGTATGTAGAATCGCCCCAGACGTATGACAGCACATGGAAATCAAGCGCATCAGTAAGCGGCACTTGCTCCATAGTAAGTTTGAGCTTCCCGTCCTGCATCGCAGGATCGATAGTGATTAGTCGAATGTCAGGGCCTTGAAGTGGATCATAGCAAAGAGTTTGCATCTCAGCAGCCTCTGGCGCACATTCGTCGGTGTTTTCGTCATTGTTGTCGAGGTCTGCGGATTCTGAGATGTCGGAATGTGGTGGGTCATCGACTGGCCGCTTGTCAGGGGCAGTGGAGGGTTGTGATCGCTGAACTCGTGTATCGTTTTCTGATGTGTTTACGTCCATAATGAGTGATAGTCGCGCAGATGTTTGGTGAGGCTACAAGATAAGGCAAGTGCTGTTCACAGCCACGTTTCCACGACAAAAGACTCTGAACTTGGTGACGTCGCAGCTTGCGAAAACACAGCTTGAGGAAACGGGAGGGGTCTCTTGATGGAGGAGGTATAACGAGATGTTGGGCAAAGGAACGAATTCCAAGTCCTGTCAGCTTCAGCGCTGGAAAACGAGGAGGAAAAGGCTCATAGGAGCAGTGCGCAATCTCACAACCGGTCACGAGGACTTAGGCAGCCATTCTACGTATATACCTGCAGTCTTACCGAACGACGTAAGCAGCATCTGCAGCCTGAGTGCCCCAAAGGGGGCTGTGATATATAGCCAACCGGTGTAGATTAACCCCGCAGCAAGGCTGCGCTCGGGCTGTGAGAACGCTGACACAGCTAAATGCTGCGACATCACAGACGTGAGGTCTGGAAGGCTTCGGAAATATGCAAACACCTGATACATCTGGTATACTGATATCAGAGACGGAGCCAAGGGCACGTTCTAGAAGCCTTGGTGATGGCGCGGATGCGCTGCCTGATCCAGCGTACCGTACGGCGCAGGGGGCTAACAGAGAGATCGTCATGTTAACCTTTCACATGGCGTTATCCCTACGTTTGCTTGCTAAAATTACAAAGACACTGCGCTAGGTGCGATATAGCGATCTCTTTGTGAGCAAAATCCCTCTTCGCGCGCTACAGTATTAAGAGCACTAGATTGTTGCTCGGCAATCTGTCCGAGGTTCAGACTCCCCGTCTGCTCAGCCGTATACAAACAGTCGTATGTTTTTGACCCAACTTTTTAGCCGACCTTTTGCGCAACCAGACTTGCCGCCGACTCTATTTGCGCATGCATGGAAACGATAACGCCGTAACACCAGTCCCTCATGCACCCCTCAACACCATGCAATCACTTCAACTCAAGCTACCTACAATTCGCCGGAAACATCGATGAATGGGTGCGCAGGGGACATTCTTACACACTCGAAGGATATAAACATAGCTATGGTGAAGCCAGATCCATCTGGGACGACTTTGTGGAACACGTTCTGGAGTTGATGTCCGAATGCCCTGACTACGCGGATACTATCAAGGAATTACCGGACAGAGTTGCGCGCTGGCCCCTGAGAGGATGTCACGATCTGTTGCGACTAAAGGACGCACATCTCCAGCCATGGCTCATCCTCGATCATGCTGAGCTCGAGCGCTTGTCAGACATGCTACCGAGCTTCTCGGAGACCGAGCGACCGTACGAGAATACGTGCTATGACTATTCAGCAGCTGCTGTGGCGCTGCAGTTCTTCGCTTCCTGCACCAAGATGATGCGATCTTCCGTCCGTAAGATTATTCTTAAGGAGAACGATGTGTCGGTAGCACAACTAGAATGCCACGGTCGAGGTTTCGTTCCAATATGCCAAGAAAATACATCACTCCGCATTGAACGCCGCGTCAGCCTGTGGAAAGCCGTGTTCTTGGTTTCTCCACGCCGCCATCAAGAGTACATCAAGAAGTATATCACAGCGGCAGAAAGTGACCAGGACAGCAGTAACTTTCAGGACGATCTTTTGCGCGCTTATACTGTCACAAAGTCGATAGGAAAATGGGTGACTGAGGCAATGGCTTTACAATCTCTCGGGATGCCGGAAGGTTCGCATACGCTTGTACTAGAGGGGGACTCCATTCCGAATCACACAGCCAACGTGTTCCGAATCGTACAGCGGGATGCTGCATGGCAAGCTGCACTGGACATATGTTACTCCCTCGATGTATTCGAGTTCAATCCTTCGTGGCTGAGTAGGCGCCTTCACCAGGCTTTTGCCTTCAGCGGGCTGCCTGAAATGGTTTGTACGCTTTCCACGGATAGTGCTCCAGTCAGATGTAACTTCCCATTGCACTCGCCGTTCGATCTCGATAGCAGTGTCCAGGAACTACTTGAGAGATCAGGAAATCTCTCAGGTCATAATCATAGATGGAGGTGGGCGGAGGATTGGGGCACACGGTGGAGCAGACACAATCCGTTAGAATTCCAGACCGAAGCACCGTTGCCTCCGTGGCATATGCTTCGCTGGCGGCATGTTCTGCAACAGATCCCTCCTACGTACTTGAGGCGGTAGCAAATCGAGTACCTTCGGCACGCGGTCACCCATATCGATTACGGGACGTGATGCACACACCTCATGTATTTCAAAAACCGAACGGGTCTGGAGACTACATTAGGATAAAACAAGCAAATTACAAAATCTGGTGTTAATGTAGTTACTCGCTAGTAATTTCTTTTGCTGTGATGGCTAGTACACTCACTGTCTCCTTGCCTGCGTGGTCCATCCCTTCCGGTACAACACCATCACGGTAGCGTGCCCGCTACGAAGTCGCGACGCGGAAAGTGCGGGGCGTGGCCAAAGCGCACGATGGATGTTGACCCGCCACTACCTACAGAAAGGACGCCATCACACCGCCATTTCTCTACAGATGAGATCGCATCCGATGTGCATTACCAGCTTTTCTTGATACCCAAAATAGTTACCATCATCATACCATTGAAACATGTCTCACGTGTGGTCAGTCCATGCCCCATATTGGCAGAGCCCCAATCATGCCAGTCAATTGGTGGTCGACAAAAATCGTGTTTCTCGTGGTATTGTACAGCCGAGACCTGTACAAGTAAGCTGTTGCGCAATCGGTTCTTTTACGAAACGAGACTGACGTAAGAAGCAGGAAAAGCTCAAGAGCATACCAGATGCATTGCCGGCGCTAAAACTCATACTACATGAAGAGCGCCGGAACAGCCTCAACTTCTTCACGAATACACATGGCGTTCGAATCGAGCGCCATGCTATTGCGCATACTAACGGCGTTGTTCAGTACTTCACCATCTCGGAACCAGAGTCAGATGGACACATAGGCAGGCATAGCATCGTTACACGATGGAAGTCCATCAACGGCGAACCGGAGCTCGATATCAAAACCGGTGGAAGTACTGAGTGGATGTGCATGCCTGCCAGATCGTGGCTGATAAAAAGATATGGCGGCGATGTCACTCGTCGCGACTTGTTGGACGAGTGGTTCGATCGTTATCACACGTCGTTTCGATTCATGGACCTTCCGCGTGAACTGCGGTTTATGGTCTTCGAGGCATCGATAGGGCCGGTGTTATGGCCTGATCGTAGAGTCTCTGAAGAGTCGGAAGCAGCTCCGAATGCTGGCTGCCGTGCACATGATGCAGCACCTGCATCACATCATGATCAGAAAGAAACACTACTTGACACATCTGTAGAAGAGGCGCAGTCAAACGTCAACACTTGGCCCAGGGGCATGTCCATCGACGCGCCAAGATTGAGAGACAAAGTATCTTGCCATCACCCACTATCAAGCCGTCCTTACGGATCGACCCGCGAAGCTACCCGTTGGATCAAAACCCTACTGCTCGTCAGTAAAGCATTTGGTTCCGAAGCCCAGAAGACAATCTGGGAAAGCACAACCAAGAAATTCGGCAACATAGCAACTCTGACCAGGATGATCCCCCACCTTGACGCCCTCCCATTCAACACCCTCCGCCGGGTATCACTCACATTCAGCGATCGTGCATACCTCCGTCTCCTCGGATACAAAACCACCGCCGAACTGGCATTCGCGCCACTTCCCACCGAAAAAGCCAACAGCTTGAGCGCTCTGACTTCCATCAACAGCATCGACTACCTCGACCTCCACTTCCAAGCCCCCCTTCCTTTCCGATTCTTTAGCGGTAGAATGCATCCCGTTACGCAGTTCAAACTCGATCCTGTCGTCATTCTGTGTCAGAAAGTGTGGATTGAGTGGTTTCTCACGCTGTTGTATGAGAAGTTTGCGCAAGGGTATCAGGAGGGTAGTAATGTGCCGATGGTGAGTGTTAGTGGAGATGTAAAGGATAGTACGAGGCGGGAGTGGGAGCCGGTATGGGGGGAGTTTAAGCATGGAGTGAGAAGGGACTTTGCGCAAAAGGCGGCAGAGATCAAGGCTACGCCTGCTGCCACGTGGTAAGTATACTCGCTGTCCATCGTTTTGTCGCACTAATGTTGCTTAGTCCACCGATTTGCTACTGCGATAACCCGTGTGCTTGGGTAGAAGCCGCATTGCCGAACCCCGGTTGTGGATGTGAAGTTGTTGCCGAGTTTAACTGCAGGGGTTAGCTCAACATGCGGAGTATATGATAGACATCATCTTGAATCACTGAGAAACATGCCGCCACGAAATGTAAAGTGGATAGATTTCCCATTGGTCTTTTTCGACTACTCGAAGTACGCAAGTCATCTCAGCAGTCCAGACTAACAATCGCGGCACTACTCCACGGCACCTCCACACTCATCATACCCTTGCCATCCACCTTCACACTCTCTCCACACGTCACATTATCCATGCGCACAGGCTTTCCCTCATCGAGCTCGTAGTTGTAGCTGTAGCCATCCCAAGTAATACCCGTGATAGCATCACTTCCATTGGCTAACAGCCTCTGCACCTGAGCTTCACCCTTGCAATCGCTCGGTAGCTGGAAAGAGTACTTCTCTACCGGACGTGCGAAAGGTGTGGTGTAGTTGTTATCAGCGGTTGTGTTGTATGTGTGAAGATCGACGAGGAGAAGGCGGGTGAGCATGTCGTCAATGTGAGCGGCGTATTGGGTTGCGTAGATGGAGGATGAGGGCAGCTCTGAGATCTTGAGCTCAGACTCGGATGAAGGTTTGTGCATGAAGGCTGCGACGGCGACGTTTCCGTAGTATGGTGGCTTCGTTCCGCGAGCTGTGAGGTTTGTTTGTATTGGTTGCCAGGATTGGTAGCTTTGATGACGTTGTTAGCTCACGATGGTTTTAATATGAGAACAATGAGTACACACCGGTAGTTGGTTCCTTGGTGCATGTGAGAGCGAGACAGGTTCTGCGACGCGAGATAGGTGTTCCAGTCTACGCCCCACAGCGCAGCACCGAAGCTGTTGCTGAGACCAGGTCGTCCCTGTCGGGCCAGCGAGTTGTGTTCGCCCATGACGAAGGGGACGTTTGGAGCCAGCGCGTCTCCTAATGCCTTGATACCATCTTTCACGTTGATCTGGTCCCCTGCCTTGGCGAGAACACTGCTGTGGTTCATCAACGTGCCTTGCAACGTGATACCGGGATTGGTGGAGACGCCCATGTAGTTGTGCGAAGCGATCAGACCGATATTCTCCTTCTCGTCCAACCCCTGCTTGAAGACTTCAACGGGGTCCAATCTGAAGTAGTCATTGACTCCGATGCCTGCAAAACTCGGTGCCATGAACTTAGTCCCTGCGAGTTCTGGACATGCGGCTTTGGTGGCTTCTTCAATGGCAGTGGTGCCATTCAGCCATTCAGACACATAGTCCGCCTCAGCCCAGCTGCCGTTTCGGTATCCAGACGCAGTGAAGAGATCGGGCTCGTTACCGTACTCCCAGAACAGCAGGTCACTCCCTATCGTTTTGCAGGCGTGCGGAACGGACGCCCAAGTTGCGGCCCTTGCAGCGCTGGAGTTGGCGCCCATGTTGAAGCCGTGGACGAATCGTGTGCCTTCAGGCATGGTTTTGTAGGACTCGAAGTAGGACGGGCCAATGGTGATGATGGTCGGGTAGTCGGCTGAGATGTTTGGGCGGATGATGCCGACGATGCTGGTCTCGAGCGATTCATCAAAGATAGCGATATCCCTAAGCTTTGAGTAAGCTACGCATTTCCAAATACGCTATGGAGGGGAAGTCTCACTGTGTATTGCCGCCGACGCGAGCAATTGGCATTGAGCCTTGCAGCTTGCCAAGGTTGCTCATGAGGTTGTATGAGAAGGCATTGGGATGCGATAAGTTGCCTATCAGCGACGATCGTCAGTAAGACTGTCGTGACGCTTTAGTATATCAAATGAGGCATACCAGCAAAGTCGGGCCATGACGAGAACTCGAACGAGTACGATACGAAAGAGTCCAAGGGAATGCCAGCATCGTTGGGTGCTGACTTTGGAATCGCAATTGGTTTTGACCTAGAGGAGATGTGAGCAGCCTCGGCCTTTAGAAAAGCACCGAGAGCCGCGACAGCAAGAGAGCGCTTGATTGAGGGTGACATCGTGGGCGTTCGATCGTTGCTGCTACACCATAAAGGCCGCCTGCGCGAGGTTTATGGGCGTCGCCGGCAACGGAACTTTGGCCGCGATGTCATGCGGCAATTGAAAAGCATGGCCTCGGTCAATTTTTTGGTATCTTGGTTGGAGATCTGCATTGTATGCGGGGAATTTACTGGGGTAAATACGTGCAAAGCTGGGGTAGCTGCCAGCCTCTTTTGCTGTCGGTGACGATCGCGTGCATGCACGCGTTGGATTAACCCGGGTTGCAGCTCGAGTTCGGGAACGCTTTGTCGAAAAGAGGATAGGCTGCCCTCCACTTCCCGAATTGCAGTCAAGACAACTTCATATGCCGCACCCAAAATGAATTTGTATCATTCTTGGCTTGCAGCGTTTGCTCCACTGTGACTGCTTCGTACGTAGATTTACTCACGGCATTTTTTCTCGGGTAACATCGAATAATTACACGTGAACGGCTAAGACCGTCTGCCTAGACGCGACTTTGCGGACTCGCGCAATGAGTACCTGTTGACCTCAAATCTCCACCTCGGCAGGCGTTGTACCACTCCCACCCTCAGCATCTAGCTCAGATTCTTCAACGTCTCAGCATCGCTTTCGCCCCATGGGTACACCTCCTCCGCGTTCTTGACCAACTCTCGGCATTTCTCACTCCTCGGTACGATGTTCACACGGTACGGTTTCGGATGGCTTACAACGCCAGGTTCAAATTCGACCCTAGGCTCTACAACCTTTCCATTCTCGACAGGCTTCTCGACATTGAAGACAGCTAGCGATTGCGCGATTGTCGTGAATAGAGCGTTGTCTGCGACATAGCGTCCAGGGCAGACTCGACGCCCGTACCCGAATGTCCACGTGCGTGGATCAGGCTCCGCGGTGTGAGTTGGCGTCGTAATGTAGCGTTCGGGACGGAAGACCATTGGATCGGGGTAGACGGCTGGGTCATGTGTGAACCACCTACATGCTGTCAGTCACGAATACATCTGCTTCTCGCATTATCATACGTACCAGTTGTTAGGCAAGATCATCGCTCCTTTCGGTATTCTGTACCCATTGATGCTATCCTCTTGCGTGCAGGAGTGGGGTATTGACATGGGCCCCACAGGATGCCATCGGTGCGTTTCCTTCACTACGGCCTCAATATACGGCAAGCTTGATTTATCGCTAGTGATTGGTAGTCGCTCTCCGCCAATCACACGGTCCAGCTCCTCTTGCGCCTTCTTTTGAACTTCTGGAAAGACGGCCATGGCCAAAAAGAACGTCATTAACGATGATACGGTGGTGTCCGCGCCGCCTAGGTACATGGATGCAGCGGACCATTTGTTGATGTACTCCATGGACGCGTCTGAGCCGAGGGATTCGATGGCTTGGGAGAGGAAGGACGTCTTCGCTTTCTTATCCTGCATCTGTGATATGACGAAAGCGTAGGGCTCTTCGGCCGTGCGTATCAAGGTTTTTGCCATCTGCCGTGCTGTACGCTTGAAGCCGGTACCTGGACACCAGTCTGGGAGGAAACGTACTTTTCGAAGTCAGCGCGCGCTACTGCATACATGGTAGCCCGATGATAAGGAGGCAAGCTTACAGAAGGGCATGACGTCGACAGGCCATCTTCCCGGCACACTCGAGTCTGCAAACTCGGCCATCGCTTGGCCTGCTATATCTACTAGCGGATCCGGTCCCTTCGCGTTCGGCGTATAGCCATAAGTGACTCTCAATATGACAGCACCTGCTTCTTTCCTGATGTGTTCAAACAGATCGTTGGGAGATTCCATGACATTCAGGAGGAAATGTGCAGCTTCTTCGTTCTGGACGCGATCAAAGACCGCAAGAGACGTGCTGGAGCTGGCTACTTTCGCAATATTGCGACGATGATGTTTGAAGTTCTGATCGGGTTGATGCATTGCCAACGTCTTGGTCCAGCCAATCCTGCGTCTCTGTCAGCCAGTTCCGTTTCGTATATGGTATAAGCGCGTCAGAAGCGTACATGTCTCCACTGAATACCATATGTGGCCTCCCTGAATAGATCGCCGCCCGATTGCTTAGCAGCTCTACTGCTATGTTCGCATCGTTGACGATGACGAACGTCTGACCCAGAACCGTGATCGAGCTTATAGGACCATAGAGGTCTTTGTGTTTAAGCCAATGATGGCATTCGAGGATTCCAGGCTTCGGTAAGTCATTAATGTTGCCAATGAGGGGAATGCCCTGGGGGCCTGGAGGAAGCGGAAGATCATGGCTTTTCTTGCGCAAGAAGAAGCGGCTGAGTGTGTAGAATACGAGAGTGCCAACGACGATGAGAAGAGGCGTCGATGCTAGAAACGCCATATTGAGGCCACCTTACTTGTGCTGGAGACGAACAACGGTATACCAACCGGGAAGGGATGCAACTTTTGTGACGAGACCGAGGAAGTATCTTCACGGACATATTGGAGTTCATGCTGAGTGAGCCGGGCGAAGCTTAGTTTTTTCGCCTTACGCCCGATGGCAGCACACATACTTCGAAAAGCTTAGTGCCTGTGGAGTCGTCGCGGGAGAACCTATCTTTCAAGGCAAGTAGTACTGCGGGTACAGGCATGCTGCAGGCGTAGTTGCTGACAATCAGTGCAACGCAGCCTTATGCCACACTCGGTAAAAGGGCAGTGCGATCGTTACCCAAAATGGAAGCATGTGTAAGCACGTCGCTGCACATCATATAACAACGATGTATGCTGACACCTGATCTAAGGAAAAATTGAACACTCTGGAGCCTACATCAACGTGAACTCATAGAAAGTAGGCGATCTAACGTCAACATAGGCTTTAGGGTGTTCAGTCTTCTTCCTTAAATGAAGTGCTGATATGCTAGAGATGTGATTCGTCAGGTCGGACCGCGGCTGCGCAACGGTGGGCGCCGGGGGACGGGACACGGTGGAGGTGATGTGGTTTCCTGCACCGCTGGTGGGGTCTCGTGAGCCTCGCCCACGCTAGCATGCAGGGCGCAAGAGAGGCAGCCACTCGCAGCCACAACCGCTCAAGGCGACGCAGACTTAAGGGCACATGCATAAGAGAACATCACACAATGTTCAAAGCGAGCTTGGGTGGATCAAATGAAAAACTGTATTGATGTTGTTAAAGCGGGTAGCTGAAAAGGGCTGTTAGCTTTCATCATTCATCAACACCATGCCATTGACATGTGCGATGGCGGACGCGATGCGCCTGGCCATGCGGGCGGAGACTGTACGATTACACAGTCATCCGAGGCCACGCAGCGAGCCAGCGACAGCACAGTGGAGGCAACAGTTGAGAAATGGAACGCTCTGTAAACACCAAAGTGTTGATGCAACAAAAGTATGTCTCCTCCATTCCTCGCCCTTGAGCCATCTAATCGGTTCAACGGAGTTGAGGAACAAAGGCCTCACCACCTTGAAGGGGGTAGATGAGGTTTTTTAATCTTGCTTCACTGTCCACACTTGCTCAACGTGAAAATCCGTAATGGCAAGCTCTAGCAATTTTAGAAGCGGAAATTGGTGTCTGTCCCCCATTAAATAATGGAAGGGATGAGAATCACGGAGGTCAAAGTGAAAAAAGAGAACTCCCTCAAAGCCAACACCTGTGCCAATCCCAGCCTAAGAGGTGAACCAACACATCGCGACACGCCTAGTGCTCAACAGTCGGATGGGATTGCTCCGCGCATGGGACCGGTGCTTGGGCACTCGAGCACTGCGTCCGTTCACCTCCTCGTCTGCGGATAATATCCTCCCATCTTGCAAGACCGGAGGCGCACCAGGAGGAGGGGTGGGTTCAGGGAGGTAGGTAATTCGTAGTGGAAGATGTCGACGCTAATCGCGTCCGACGCGTCTACATTAGTATGCCATGTCAAATGGCGAGCAACAAGAAGACTCCAGAGCCGCAAAAGGAATGGAATAAGGGAGTGTTGAAGAATAGACACGGAGGAAGTCGCGTTGGCTTTATAACCTGACGCGAAGGAGGGGAGTGGGAGCGAAGAATTTAATTGTTCGGGAAGGGGCCTGTGTTCTCCTTGGCGTTGGCCCATGCAGTCGCGTCATCGAAGCGAATGAGATGACGAACGACACCCACCAGCACAGGAGCACGTTTCGATCTTCGCAAGTACGCGACATGGTAAGTTCTGTGATGCATGCTCGGGTTATGGATAGCAATTGACACGTAATAGCCTCCTAAACGCCGTGGTCCTCCCACCAAGCCGCCGCCTGTCAAACGCCCCTCGAAACTTGCGAAAGAGAACGGCATCACCGCGGCGCAAGAGGCGGAGATTCGCGAAGCATTTGGCCTTTTTGCCGTATCGCATCCCGAACATGAAGACTCCAAGGAGGGCGTGTTGAAGAAAAGCGATGTGCGCCGAGTTCTGATGTAGGTCACGCGAATGCGCCCGAGAGCAGCGCGCCCATGCTAACGACTACAAAGCTCGCTGAATCTCACACCCGACAAGTCCGAGATGTCCTCTATCTTATCCACCATCGACCCTCTTAATACCGGCTATGTCGAGTTCATGCCCTTTCTCTCATACGCTGCGATCGCTATACACTCGAAGGAACAAGGGTCCGACGAAGATGACGACGAGGAAGATTTCCAGGGCGAGAGCAACGCAGAAGAGGTTAGCGCGGCATACAAGCTCTTCACACACGGCGCTGCGGGACCGATAACGCTGGGCCATCTGAGGAGGGTAGCGAAGGAACTGCGAGAAGACGTGCCAGATGAAGTTCTGAAGGATATGATCATCGAGGCCAACGGCGGGGTCAAGGGTCAGGAGAAAGACGTGGGAGGGGTTAGTCTCGAGGACTTTGAGAGTGTCATGAAGAGGGCTGGACTATCCTTCGGCTGAAGCGTTCGAGGCAGTTTGGGCGACTCACGGAACGCTGCACTGCACGATCATTGTGAAACGCTTACGAATACCACTGTCGAACTCGCCCATGGCCATCTTGCAAGGCCTCTCGCGAAAGCAATTCAACTTCCCGACTAGCCATCACTCCACCCCACCTGTCCTCTCCATGCTACGCAGACGATATCTGCCGCCAGCGAGCGCACTCAATCTCCATTATGGGAGGCCGGTATACGAGGGAGGGGGCAGCGAAGCCACGGTTTGAGATAGATCACATGTCGGGGAAGATATCTACACGGATTTGGGGACTAGATGTTGTAAAGGAGAAATATATTGTGGCAAGACATCCGTACTGTATCTGTAGCATAACCAAAAGATACCACGCCGTCTCGACTTGAATGCGATGCCAAATATAGCCGCTGCCGATAAGACCGGCGCGATTGGATAGCGGCGCGGCAGGGCTGAAGTGGAAATGTTAGTGCCAAGATTCAGGGACCTCACTCAACAAGCACACGAACACGAATGCAGCAGGCTTGCGTAACGCCAATCGCAATTTCACCTCCTCTCCCACTGCTCTGAACAGTCACTCCTGTTGTACGTTGACTGCAACTGTGTTCGCATTACCACACGTGCCTGGCTAACTTGGTTCCAGCTCAGCTCAATGACCGCGCCCTAAACTTGGACCCTTTTCTCCCCTCGTGTCGCCTAGTCCCATGTCCAGTGGAGTTGAGGTTCCCGGAAGCCAACGACGTCCCGGCATCTGGTCCTACTTTAGTTTCACTGGCCCACGCCGCCGCGTCTCCGTCTCCCTACCACGCAACGTCGACCCCAATCGCGACGCCAGCGACCCCAACGCCAAAGCCGACAGACACTCGCGCCATCGCTCCACGTACTCGGACGCATTCATGAACGACCACAAGGGCAGCGCCGTCATGAATCAAGGGCAGCGGATGCGCTACCTGAAGACAGGTGGCGTCATTGCTTTCATACTGCTTGTGTTGTATTTCGTCGCACCGCGCGATGGCATCTCAAGACCAGCAGGTAGGTTGAGGACACATGCTGGGAGAGACACGTGCTAACACCGTCATCAGTATCCCGTCCAGCAGGCGGCAACACAGCAGCCGGCGATGCAAAGGCCGAATGCACAAAGTCCTTTTCCAAGGACAAGCCGCTCATCCAATATGCCCTCATGATCGACGCCGGCAGCACCGGCTCCCGCATTCACGTCTACAAGTTCAACAACTGCGGCCCGAGCCCTGAACTCGAGAGCGAGAACTTCGAGATGACACCTAAGAGAGACGGAGGCTCTGGTCTTTCAGCATACGGAGACAACCCTGAGGCTGCTGCGAAGAGTCTGGACGTGCTAATGGACGTTGCGCTGAAGAACGTGCCCAAGGAATACCAGTCGTGCACACCCGTCGCTGTAAAGGCCACGGCCGGTCTCCGCAAGCTCGGTGAGCAGAAGAGCAATGCTATTCTCGCCGCCGTGCGCCACCACCTCGACAACGACTACCCATTCCCGCTCGTCTCGGAAGAGAAGAACGGCGTCGAAGTCATGCCTGGCGAGATGGAGGGAGTATACGCGTGGATCACAGTCAACTACCTTCTAGGCAAGATTGGCGGCCCGGATAAGAACCCTACCGCCGCTGTCCTCGATCTCGGTGGTGGCTCTACCCAAATCATCTTCGAGCCCACCTTCCCCGACACTCCCCGCGGCGGACTCCCGACAGAGCTAGCAAAGGGCGACCACAGATACGAGCTCGACTTCGCCAACCAGAATTTCAATCTCTACCAGCATTCGTACCTAGGCTACGGTCTCATGGAAGCCCGCAACAACGTCCACAGCACCCTCCTCGCTGGCCTCCACGAGAACAACAAGGACAACAAGGAGTACCTTCAGAAGCCCATCGTAAACCCTTGCATCGCACCCGGCATGACACGCGAAGTCGAAGTACAAATGCCCAAGGGCCACGCACTCGGCGACTCCATCACAGTCAACATGACCGGCCCCGCCACCGCCTCGCCCACCCAATGCCGTGGTCTAGCCGAGAAGACCCTCCACAAAGACGACGAATGCGCCATTGCGCCCTGTGCCTTCCGCGGTGTCCATCAGCCACCGTTCGAGCAAACTTTCGCGACCGAAGCCGTCTACCTCCTCTCTTACTTCTACGACCGCACCCAAGATCTTGGCATGCCCGAGTCTTTCACCCTCCGCGAGCTACAAGATCTTGCCAACAAGGTGTGCACTGGCGAGAAGGGCTGGGATTCTTTCAATGCTGTGCCCAAGGCGATTGAGGAGCTTAAGGGCAGGCCCGAGTGGTGCTTGGATCTCAACTTCCAGTATGAGCTGTTGAGGAGTGGGTATGGTATGCCGATTGACCGTGAGGTCAAGATTGCGAAGAAGATCAAGGGTAATGAGTTGGGATGGTGCTTGGGTGCTAGGTAAGTTCCTATATACCCTGATCAAAATTGTGAGGACCGTGCTAACATAACAATAGTCTCCCACTTCTTGAGGCGAACTCAGGTTGGCAGTGCAAGATCAAGCAGGTTCAATAGGTGCGTCTTGTACGACCTATTACTATGCTACAGGACGATTTTTAACGCCTTGATCTTTTGGACATCTCTGTCGCGATATGCATTGATTGGCGTTCTTTCTGGGTATGGTTGTGATGCGGACGTGTCAAGTCTCTAAAGGTGGCTGATGTCTGGTCACTAGCCTAGGTGTTGATATAGATAGACCGTAATGAATACCATCATTCTTCACATCTAACTTCAAAACACGTGCTTCTTTTTGATGGTGAGGCTGACATGCGCTCCAGTTACATCTACTGGAACATCCTCCGTAGACCTCCAGGTTCATTGTAGTCGCCATCCATGTAGCGGTCAGCTTTTAGAGCGGCTCCCAGGGAGATTGAACCTTATTGCTGCTCGCCCAGCCGGGCAGAAACCCAAGGGTATGGATCCGAGATCCTCGCTCTTATTACTTCCACGCGTACTGACCTTGACTTGGAGTTTAATCAAGGCGGTGGGATGTCTAGTCGGACAGGTATAACCTCTTTAGCTGGCTGTCGTTGTTGCGCGATCGAGAACGTGCCTTGCAACGCCACAGGATTCATGAATTACATTAGCTAACGGCAATGTCGATGCACATCTCATGACCTATAGCTTGGGAAGGTTTAAAGTCCAGCTCACAGCAAGTTGATTATTCTGTTAACCATCCTCTTGACTATCCTCTTCGTCCAAAGATCGAACTAGAAACGCTAATAGTCAACTACCTACTACTCGGCGAACAGTATGCCAGCTTCGAAAATGGGCCGGAGACTTGGTAGTATAACGGGCGCGTTCGCCGCTCTCACGGCATTGGTATCTTCAACTTCCGCGATTCCCTTTGGTGTACAAATCTATTCATGTACAACGCCTGGAGTTATTGCGTCGGCTTTTGATGACGGGCCGTGGATTTACTCGGAGGATATACTTGATCGGTATAAAAACTCCAAGATGAGATTCTGCGTACCCCTTTGCTGATCTGGACTTCTAGCATGGAAGCAGCGGGGTTTACAGCGACGTGGTTCATCAACGGAGATAACAAGGGGAAGATATACGATTACAACTCTACCCTACACAGGATGGTTAGCATGGGCCATCAAATTGGGTCGCATACGTACGCCTCCCCCTCCACAAACTTCACCCATACAAGAACATCAACTGATCGCAATACTAGATGGAGTCACGCCAACCTCTCCTCCCTCTCCCCCACCGCCATACGCAACGAAATGACATTTCTAGAAGACGCCATGACAAACATGCTAGGCTTCTTCCCCTACTACATGCGCCCACCTTTCCTCGCCGCAAACAGCCAAGCGCTCGGTGTGCTGAAAGAACTCGAGTACCACGTGATCATCAGCGACCTCAACACCAAAGACTGGAAATACCAATCCGCAGATACAATTAGAGAAGCAAAGGAAATGTTCGATCAAGGGCTAGAGAGGGGGTATAGTATTGTTGAGGCGCATGATCAGGCAGAATGGACACAGGGCGAGTTAATTGATTACATGATCAAGGTTGTGCGGAAGAGAAGTATAAAAAGTAAGCCGGCGTCCGTCCACATCTTCACCCTGCTTCTATACCAACACCCACTAACGAACAACCACCGCACAGCCGTCACCGTAGCAGAATGCCTCGGCGAACCCTCACCCTCACAATGGTACCGCACCGCCCGCCTCCCAGATCCCCTCACCAGATCCAAACTTAGCTGCCAAACACCCTTCGCAAAGTGCGAAACCGCGGACGACAGCATCCCATGGGAGAGGATTGCCCCCGATCTGACGTGTGGGAATAAGGGAAAAGGGAAGGGGAAGGGGTATATCTGCCGGAAGGGGCAATGTTGTAGTAGGCATGGGAATTGTGGGATTACGGAGGATGACTGTAAGGTGGAGAGGGGGTGTCAGGGGGAGTTTGGTGTTTGTAGGGGGTAGGGATGTGTCGTTGGGTTGTTCTTCTCGTTGGTGCTGATTTCTAATGGGTGATGGTGAGGCGCATGCTCTCGATCTGTTACCCCAAGGAACTTCCTGAGCACGATAGAAGAGCTCGTCCTTCCTTCGACCCGAGCGGTGTCGCCCTTTTCTATGATGATCATACGTCCTCGTCGCATCATAGTATGACTTCGGGGGATCTGGTAGTGACTTTGTGATGTGAGGTACCAAACCAAGCTCTTGTATTGACGCTACTTCTCTTGTCGAGAGGAGCTGATTGGAAGGGTACATATGGATTCCAGACATTGTGAGTCGCTCGTTCGTGTCGCGCCAAACCAAAAAGTCATGCATACGTACGAGAGTACGCCGCTATCTGACGACCTCTTTCATTGTAACAGACTGGTTCTTATGCCCCACGAAAACGCCGTAATGTCCGACGGATTGCAGATGCTCTCGCAACATGTCGACGACAGAAGAATGAGCAGCTTTTTCTGCGTAGGCAGAGGCTCTCTGGAACTGCGCATGGTCGCGGCCACCTTGTCCGGCATTAGCCCTTAAAAGGCAATATAGAACATCCACTCGTCCGCGGGCAGCAGCACATTCGAGTGCGGTCATTCCGTCGATGACAGCCCCTGGAGCATCTACAGCCGCTCCTTTGCTCAGCAAATACAGCACTATGGCAGTGAACCCGCCATGAGCAGCGAGTTGGAGTGCGGTTGCGCCACCTGTTCTAGCAGGTAGCGCGTTTACATCTGCCCCTGATCCATAGAAGAACTCCACCAGATCGAGACTTCCGATTTCTGCCGCTCGTTGCAACGGTGTACGTCTGATCCTACCGGAGGCAGGAAAGTCTATATCGGCATCTTCCCGCCGCGACAACAAACGAACCATGGTCATGTTCTTCGTACCAACTGCGGCAAGCAAAGCAGTGATCGTTGCGCCAGGTTGGCGGCACTCTTGATGTAGTCGCGAACCAGAACCATGCTCAACATGCAGATCAGATAGTCTGGCAACTACGGTTTGTGGAGTACATTCGAAGACATTAGGCTTGTGCCCGTGGTCCAGGAAGAGTTCTGCCCATGACGTGTCATTGCCTATATCTCGCGTGAGGGCGATGAAGAAAGGTGTGACCATCTGACGATCCCTTGAATCAGGATTGTGAGTAAAGCCGTTGGGATCGGCACCGTGCTTTAGTAGCAGCTCCACTGCAGGTCTGTCGTAGCGCCTAAGCGCGTCACACAGTACAGTCGATGCAAACCCCCCTCCTACTCCAAGAGGATACCTTACTCTGAGAGCATTAAGAATGGCTCCAAACGATGAACTCGCGTTTTGGTAGGCATGTTGTAGTGCTCGCGAGTCGCGCGGATCGGCGCCGTGGGAGAGCAGCCACGTGCATGCGTCCACAAAGTTCCCGCAAGTAGCAACCGTAAGCGCTCCTCCAAGTTCCGCTCCAGCATACCAGAGCCTCTCCATCATCTCGAGGTCTTGCTGTCTCACAGCTTCTAGGAAAGCAGGTGACTCATTTTTTTTTGGTGGATTTAGCCGGGCTCCCGCTGCTAGCAACTTCTCTACCATGGCATGATTCCCGTTTTGCACTGCGAGAAGAACTGTCGAGTGGTGATCATGGGAAAATACTGAATTCGGGTTTGCTCCAGATTTTAATAGAAGCTCGGCAATTTCATCTTGTTCTGCTTTGAGCGCTTGAACGAGAGGTGGGAGAATCTCATCCCGTCTTTCGGATACTGCATCGAGCTCCGCGCCGCCATTCAGCAACTCAATCGCCATATCGTAGTCTCCAAGCCTCGAGACCGAGCTCAGAGCGCATCCCAGATGGTGCGCTGGGATGTTTCGTCGTTTGGAAAGTAGCATTGCGAGTATCCCTTTGTTGCAAACTTTTACTGCGGCCTTCCAAGCATGAAGCCAAGAGTCCCATTGATCGAGACCCTCCAAGGCGTGGTGTTCAACGAGAATTTGAATTATACGTTCGTTTTTCGTACAAATCGCCTCTGAGTATGGGTCTGAGTATGGGTCTGAGTATGGGTCTGAGTATGGGTCTGAGTATGGGTCTTTGCCGTATTTCCTGTCGTTCCTTGTTGGATGGTCGTTGACCGTCGCCCCTTGCTTCAAGAACAGACGTACCAGCTCCTCGTCCTTGCCTCTGATTGCCGAACAGAGACTAGCTTTGTCAAGACTAATCTTTTCATGTAGCAGCCTCAGTACCACAGTGTGATGCCTATTGCTTGCTGCGATGTTGAGCATCCGAGTAGTCTTGGCTACGTCCAGCCTTCCCATGATCTCTAGCATTTCCAAAGCCATCCTTTCTTGATTTATGTTCCGGAGGAATGTTTCCCATATGTATTCTGTCCCGTTGGCGATCTGCCAATCATCGTAGTTAGCGTGAGCAAATTTCTTAAGTACATCGATTAGAAATTTGTGTTCTCTCGCAATCATTAGGATTTTCAAGGTTCTGAAGTCGAATCGGTCCATCCTTCCCAGAAGCGTGTTGAATATTTGAGGATCAAGCCTGTGGCCTCTGGGGCCGTGAAGTAGGGCGCAATTCAGAGCCCCGAAGGCATACATCAAGGTGTCTCTCCGGTCAAATGACTTGTAGACATCTGCACCATGACGGAGCATGACGTCGACCAGAGCTTTGTTCCTTAGCATCGAAGCGCGCTCTAAAGCTGTGTAAGGCTCCCCATCCACTTCGCAAGTCAGCTCGTTAATGTGAACCTGCAACATTCTCATCGACAGAATCGTGTCCACCATGGACGCATTGCCAACCTCGATGCAAGCTCTTAATAGTTGCTGAGTTATCGGTAATCTTAAGTGCCCTCCTTCGGACAGAAGCTTCACGATAACATGCTCGTCGCTTACCATTCTCAAAAGGTGGTAGAGCTGTTGACCAGAGATATTCCCAAGGCCAGCCAGATTGTTGCCGAGTGCGCACAGAAGATGGCGGTGCAGATCCGACATGTGGACGCCCATGCGCATACTTGGAATCGAGTCAGAGCCGGTGTCACCAATTCGGCCCTCTGTACATGGAAGAATCGAGCGCAATGCCGATGTCTTCGACATAAGTCGCTCGTACAACGCTTCGTTCGAAACCTGGAGCAAGGGGAGTCCTCGTTGAACGCGAATATAGTCTCGCAACTCAAGCATGTCGGTGCTGCCCAGCATAGGCGTGGGGCAAATTGGGGTGAAACGCTCGTAGATACAACGTTCTAGAGTCAAAAAAGGCAGATCGATTGTGAGGTCTTCGACACGGTCTTTGAGCTGAGGGCGAAGGACGTATCCCTTCGGTAGCTCTGGAGCTGTTTGTCATGTCAGGTTCAGGTTACAGCAAATGGTAGGACTGAGCTGTCCATACGGCTTGCATTGAACAGCTTGAGGAGAGGTACGTGACTCTGATTCTTGATCCGGTGAACTTCTCTCTCCGGAAGCAGCTCCCCCCATCTGTAAAGTTCGATCTCGTAGCCGGATTGTGCGTAGCGAAGGAGCGTAGTCGCGATTGCTTCGCTAACGTCGCTACTTCCATTCTTCTTCCATGACGCATCTGCGGCACCCCATCTTCTGATCCTGGTTCGATAATCTGCTTCTCTGTAGATATTGAGTCCCAGTCTCCACGACGATAAATATTGACTTACTTGGCGATGAAAGCATACTTGTCTTCTATTTCCTTCATGACTGCCTTCAATGGAAGCTGTCGCACCTTGTACAGCTCCGCAATGTACGGCTTCATCTTCGCCCAATCGGAAGCTTTGGGCCCCCGGCTACTGACCAAAGTTGAAGTCATGTTGCCCGGCGATCAGAGTGATGCGCAAGGTATGTGACAAAGTGAAGTAGGTTGATTCAGCACAAGATGAGCAGCTTCTCTCACGGAAGGTTAATGATTTCGGACCTCCCAAAGAAGGCTGCGCACGACGTGGCATGGTTAAGAGAGGCTGTGACAGCTGCATGACGGGATCGTGTGTTGATTGGTGCTTACCAGACTGTACATCAGGACCAGGAGGACGCTCACACTTTGGTATTTATGGCTGCGAACCAATGAATTGCGCTAGTGGTCCAACTAGTGTCCTTGCCCCACTATCTCACAGTCCCCCGGGACCCATGCCCATCCCAAAACATCGCTTCCTGACTCTCACCGTCTGAGGCAGAACGAGCATTAGGTTTGCAGTCTACATCGAGATCAAATTGTGCAAAGCAGCTAATCCAATGTCAACGTAGGCTCCAGAGTGTTTAGTTTCTCCCTTCGAGACCAGAATGAAAGCGTTGCTACTTGCATCAACCGATGAGGTGACAGCATAACAGAGAATCCATCCGAGTTCTTCGCTAAGATCCTTGGTGGAAAGGCCTTCACCGGTGCGGAGAATGGCGCGTCCACTTACCGAAGTGATTTTATTGGCTGACGCCAGAGTGGTGCTGCAGGTCATCCAAGCGCGCCACTATTTGGTGCATCAACTAGGCAAAGTCATCGCAATCATATCGCACATACAGGTACAATCCTAATAACCAGTCCGAGCTAAGACGAGGCCCCAGTCTGAGTCAAAGGCGCATTCTATCCTTCGCCACTATCTAGTGGCAGCAGGAATGCCTGCTCATCCGATTCATTGATCAAGGCTGAAGTGGTGAAGCGCCCCCTCAGACATGTACAACTTCCAGAGTGACCAGTCCTGTCGGCTTGCTCGTAAGCTTTCGGTCAACCACTTCAGCCTGGCGAACAACGAGCCCTAGTTGGCTCGCGCCAGACTGTTGCAGTTGCAAGGAACCCACCTCATAGTTTGCGAGGAGTAAATCACGACCTTCAATTTTGCTGATTCTCCCTGCTGGGAACCTCACATGGCAAAGACAAGTATAAAAAGCGCGTTTAGAGTCCTCGAGCCGCCATCTTCGCTCTGCTACAGAATAACTACATCGCCTCTTTGGTCCATACACGCATCACGAAACGCAAATGTCGATTTCAGCCGAAGTTCTCGTCGCGATTGCGGCTCTCATAATCACCATCCCAGTATCCGCAATGACAATCTGGAAAGCATACATGCGATGGACGATAGCACGTCGAGCAACTGGTATGTATTGGATTGCGCATAAGGCATCATCAACGCTGCTGAACATCCGGTTTCAGACGGCAAATCAACTGAAGATATTACATATCCAACTCGACGTCCTTCTTTGCTTGTCAGAAGTGGATCACGGGTCAACGTGGCGCGAGAAGAGGCTGAGCTCGAGCTCGGTACGAAGGGGATCAACTGAGATGTAAAGGAGCATCTCGAAAGCTTATGGTAAATTGAGGCGATGGGGACTATGGAGGTTACAGGACGCTATTGCCAAGCTTGACGATGGAATAGAGGATAAAGAAAAGAGCTAAGAAGCCCTAGAGCCTACATCAACGTCGGGCCACCTGCCTTGCATGTTCTTATGTCGATGTATTCTCTAGAACTGTTTAGTGGAGAATACGAAGTTAGTATATGTCTCACATGCGTTTTGCAAAAGTACAACTTACCTGGGTCAGGCAGCGGTTTGTTGACCGGATCGTCAGTAGACATAACAAATTTATCGCCGCTCTTGAGCAGCTTGTTGCCGCTAACAGCCGTGATGCCCCTGTGTACAAAAGGTCTGTAGCCGTCGCCAGACTCTGTTCCGTCTTTGGAAGACTGTGGCACGTCCAGGAGATTGATCTTGGTACCCTCCTCGCGCTCCTCTATTGAGTGTGGAACGTATGCAGAGTAGAGGTCAGTGAGATCGTGTTTGCGACAGTCTCTTTGCCTCTAAACTTCGCTTTGTGCTCGACAAAGATCTGGTCAGACCATGCGTCTACGTCGTCCTTCTTCCAGAACATGCGAAGGGTGGCCCAGGATACCTGTACTCAGAGCGGACCGTTTCGTTTGAGAAGGGACTGGCGTCTCATGCAAGGAAAAAAAGTTGAACAGATTTGCAGACTACATTAAGTTGGAAACATGCAAAGTCGATTGTCTGACCTTAACGTAGGCTCTAGAGTGTCCAGCTTCTTCTTGAATGAGGTGAGCTCGTGAACATGAACAAGTTTCATTCTTGAGAAAACCTGTACAATGTCAGCACTGCTTGAATAATTGATAGAGGCGGTTGTCTCACAGGGACACGCAAATCACCCATTCCTACCCACAATGAGCCTCTGACTACGTACCGCTTGGCCATTCAGGGTCGGACGCCTTCTCACACGGCCAGCACAAGACCTCCGTGGCCTTTGTCGTCCTCCAACAGAGAGTCTATAAAAGGATTTTCCAGATCAAAGATGGTTACAGGAATCCTTCTGTGGTTCTAGTCGGGTGCGAAGCCTCCATGGTCGGGATCGAGGTTAGACGCAGACCGCTTTGGTTTGTAGAAGAGTGTCTTGAACCCGTGTGCGGGGCGTCCAACTCGATCCTGAGTACCGAAGACCTTTGCTCGTAGCGTGAGTACCGGTTGTTCCCCGTACATGTACTCAAAGTGAAACAAGTCCTCCGCCTGCCAATGCGAATCAAAGTTCGTCCAGTCAAGGAGAGGGGAAATGTCATCCTTGTATCCACGGACCTTGGAAGCTTGACCGATCATGGCGTATATGCCACCATATCCATGTGCGTTTGTAACTACTACCATCGGTGGGTTTCCATCGCACAAGAGTGTACCGTTACAGGTTAGAAGCCAGTCATGCGGTCTGGTTCCTGGCGGCGCATATCCGAAAACATGGTGCATATGATCCAATATCTCTACCATTTGACGATCAAAATCGGGGCTTGGGTCATTTGCTGCACAATACAGGTAGCGCATGTGTGAGTCGCCTGCTTCTGGATTCTCATCATCCATACTCATGACGTCACGTAATTTGACACCACGCCACGTGTCTCTCGAATCGTCTTCAAAGTTCAGGTTGACTGTTGATAGACTTTGAAGGCGCGCCCTATAGGCTTCGCATCTAAGTCGTACATCACGTCCGTCGAAGAGGTCCATGTAGCGCTTGTGTTTGTATGGTTCTTGTGTGTACAGGAAGCGCCAAGGTACATCAATCGGGTGATATCGCTCAGCTATCGAGTCTAGTATTGCTGGCGCCCCATACGTGACATTGAAGATTTTCGACAGCTGACGAGGCCATTCAATAGGCGCTTCATGTAATGGCGCAGTCTCCGAGTTATCGAGATATAGGCGTAAGACCTCAATAGCGACTTGCCAATTAGACTTCCTGTAGTCAGGTACAGGGGGTTTGCCGCCTCCCCAATCTACCAGAGCCATGGTACCGAACAGCCGGTCTCGAACGTCGTTACATTGGAAATTCTGCATGGTGTCTAGCACTTCTGCCAAGCGGCGACTTCCCAACGCTCGAACGCCTGAAGCAAGCGTCAGACAACCGCGTTGAGATTCTATGCCTCGGAGTTCTTCTTGCAATATTGAACAAGAACCCTGTCGGCGTGAAAACCACGATTGCCAAGATAAACTGCTTGCCATCAACGAAACGCCACTGGAGAAAGAGTCGGTGTAGTCCGACATGTTGGTCCAGAAGTCCACTAGCATAGCCACACCAAAAAGATAGTCGAACGAACGCCTGTCCATGCCACAACAAAGCGAGATCTTGGGGGCAACATGTAGCTCTTGCAAGATCCAGACTCTTGAGAAGTAGGGACGCTTCATGAAGGCGATGAACACGGATGCTAGCGCTTGCCTTTGGGGAGAACTCATTGCGAACAAACACCGAAGTGTGACCCAAGAGCTCTTCGGGATAGGATTGGACGCTACCCAGTGGCGTGTATCTTTGATGGTGGACCCAAGAGAGAGTTTGTATATGCTGGCAAGAAGCAACCTGTTCTTGTCGATGGACCGAAACAGAGACGTGCTATCATCCGTGTGAGGCCCGACACATGCCAACACGTGCACCGATCGTGCATATATCTGCGCCATCATTCCGACTTGATGACTTCTTTCCATTGTAGTATTTTGATTGATGCAAAGAGCGTCCATCCAGTAGTACTGGCTTGCTTTGGAAGAAAACGCTTGTTTCAGCGCGTAAACGCAATCCTCACCTGCCGGGAAATTGAGTGTGTTGATAGAAATCCAATAAGTTGGGACTGGTGAGCCCCATGTATATCTGATGCCACAAGTGACCGATCAGTATGGAGCATGTAGTCAATGCACATGCGGAAAACGTACGACAGAGCATAGTACGCAGGAGCCCCTGCAACAGGCCAGGTGGTTAGACGGCAGACTACGTGACCATCTGGATCGATTTCTTGGATTTCCAACAAACGTATGTGTCTACCTCCGTCCGGAATGGTATCGTGTTCGAACTGCGCAGTTGACGGGCCTCCCTCCATGGTATCCAGAGTTTATGGGGGATGGTCAATGTGAGAAGTAAGCTGTATTCTGAGCTGGTGAGAAAGTTCAGCCTGATGCGCTTGACGTCACTGCGCGGCATACAGGCCGTATATGATCTATTGTGAGAAGGCCAATACAACATGCATGACTTTCTGCCTGCTGGCGTTCATGATAGGCTGGAAAGGTGTGTGGTAGCACCCGAGCTTGAGGACCGCGACAGTGGATGGGGCAATCAGCGCGACAAGCTCTTCTTGAGCCTCGCGAGTGCATGTGTCGAGACCCCGCCGCCTTAGCCATGTTCTTCGAAGGTTGTTGGGTACTCGTGTATGCGACAACTTGCCGGCTAGATTCGCACAGGGCATGCGATGATGCTATGGCCCGATAAGGCAGCCGAGGCGCCGCGGCAGAAATCCGTGTCACATTCTAAGGTTTGCTGCATGTACACTATTATAATTTAGTAAGTAGGTAGTCTCTAAGATAATGTGTACTTCTAGCTAGACATAATCTTATATCTTTCTCGATAATGCGAAACAAATTGTTGCCGCTTCTGGTGGCAGCAGCGACCCGCAGACCGCATTAGCGAAGAGCGGATGATACGTAATCATAGGTCTGCAAGCACATGAACAGAGCCACCCACAAGAAACCAAGTGCGAGCGCAATACGGGGTATCTTTTATACAGTCTATCAAGAAGAGTCGCCAATTGCCAGTAAAATGTGTCTATGCAAAGGCCGCTCTGGCAAGCCCAACAAGGCTCGCTCACAACAATGTCCTACCAACACCAAAAGGAATCTATACCACCGTCTCAACAAGTTGCCTTCCTCGTCGACAAACCCTATCCAGCAACTAAAACGACCCAATATTCCCCTTACTATACATAGTCTGCCTCCTCTTATGATGCCCCAACCCTTGCTGTCCCTTAACCCCATTACTCAGCCCAATCCCATCACCCAAAATTCCATTGCCCCCCACCTTCCCTTTCCTAACCGCCCGTCTCTTCGCTTCCCTCCTCTTTAGCTTCCCACTCCAATGCCTAATCTTGCGCAATATGCGATCAGCCATGAGCACGAGCAGCGTGATAACCATAACAGGGACGGCAATAACCCAGAAGAAGGCATCGGAATGGTGTTGCACGCCGTTGAAGCGCTCGAAGTTCTGTCCGAAATATCCGACGAGGAAAGTAAGTGGGAGGAAGAATATGGTTACGGCGGTGAGGATTTTCATGGATTCGTTTTGGAAGGCACCCATCATGTTGAAGATTAGGTCGATAAGGTTGTCGGCGGCACGCCGCATTTGATCCAGCGAGGCCGTAATCATGATGCAGTGGTCCTCCACATCACCAAGGTACGTGTGTGCGAGAGGGCTGATGTTGATTTGCGTCATGGTCTTGCGGGTAGCGAGGTTAGCGGTACTCTGGCTCATCATGGTGGCTTGAGCCATGGGGTCAGCCTTGTGATCACGCAGAGAGTTGATCAAGGAGACGATGGGTTGGATGGTGTTGCGGAGGATGGAGAGTTCGGAGGTGAGTAGGTAGAGGAGTTGGGAGTGGTGCAGCTCGGGGTCTTCGAGGACGTCGAGCTCGAGCTCGCCCATGGCGTCTTCGTAGGCGGCTACGACGGGGATGGCGAGATCGACAATGGCGTCGATTATGGCTTGCACTATCATGCTGCTGTCTTGGCTGCGGCGTAGGATGGTGTCTTCGGTGCGGAGACGCTTGAGTATCATGTCTTCTACGTCGTCGGCGGAGTGCTCGAAGAAGGATATCACGGAGTTGTCGGCGAGGAGGAAGATGCTGACTTGTTCGACGCTGACAGTCAGATGCTTCTCAGTGAGGGCTGAGTGCTGCTCAAGGTAGACGATTCGATCGAGATTGTAACCGCCTCGGTAGCGTTGGAGAGTGCGTACGGCGGTGGTGGCTGGTGGAGAGGATATCTTGACCTTCTCGAAGGGCGTGTCGTCGAGCTGTTTCTCTAGGCTGTCCAGCGCGCTCATCATCTCATCCTTGCGTGCCTGCTTCTTGGCTTCGCTCTTGGGGAAGAGCAGATTCTTCGCTTTCTTGTACAGCGACTTCTTCTTTTCTTTCCTCTTCTGGGGGTGCCGGGAGCGGGAGCGGGAGCGAGCCTTGTGCCGTCGTCGCTCGCTGTCGTCGGAATCTGAGTCGGAGTCGCTCTCGGAGTCCTCGTCCATGGGCGTCCGCACGAGTTTGGACAGAGTCAGGAGCAAGAAGGCCTGGTCAGAGTACCAATCCACCTTTGTCCTACTTTGAGTGCTCATCAAATCCTCAATGGCCAGCCTGTGCAGGTTCTTGTGGTTTCCCAGGGAACGAATCACGTCCCAGGACAAGCCATTAACATTGATCCAGCGACACGCCACCCAGTCTTCTTTCGGGTAGTTGAGAAAGTCCTCCAATGTATCGTTGTCCAGCTCATGGCACTCGACCTTTTCGTCGGAGAAGTCTACGACGGTAATCTGGCATCGCGCGTAGAGGTGGTGGTAGTTGTGGCCATCGGTCTCGTTCTTGGTGTCGACACCGGGCTCCGCACCGGGTTCCTGGTGCTGGTACGGGCGTGTTGGAGATTGGTAGTGCTTGACGGTATGCGATCGCGTTATTCGTCGACGCAGGGTCGAGTCTACTGAGAAGCGGTCAGGGGAAAGGATCTCTTCTCGGTTTGTCGATGCTGCAGTAGCCGTGGTCGCAGTTGCAGAGCGGCCGCGACTTCTCTGTTCGTTGAACTGGGTATCGATAGTCAGATGTGGAGGGGCGGCGGAATCTGAGGCAGAGCGCTCTGGCTGGTCGGGCGCGGGTGGAGCGGATGCGAAGTCTTGGACTTTTGTCTCATGGGGAGAGGCGGCCATCGCGTCCGAGACTGTGGAGCAAAAGGGTTGGGTAAATTATTCAGGTTAACGAGAGTGAAGAACAGAATGCTGCAGCCATTGGTATGGGACGGCGCGGATTGGCTGGTGGTTGGGGGGTTCTCCTTTGCAGACCACGTTGTGAGGTCGCAACCTCTGAGCTGCGCGCGAGTTTCATGTGCCCAATGGCCTTCACCATGACGGGACAATTCTGTAAAGACCCTGTGCACCCCGCAGAACTATCCAGTGCCACTGCACTCTCGTCACAGCGCAGGCGTTCTTGGGCCGGAATGCGTGAATAATTCCCTATGATGGGCAGCACGTTGAGTCAGATGCGTCGAGTCCGTAGTGGTGACACTGCATGGCATGGGCCCTACGAGAGGGCCGCCTTTGTCAGCAGCCTTGGTGGCATCGTGCAGCTGGCCGGCGCCCCACGCAGCCTCTCGAGAGCCGCCGAAAGATGCAGGCGCCAGCAGACGCAGCTCGAGTAGTCACAGTTCGCTGGCAATGCAGTGGGGGGACAAGTTTCAAGGGTTCACGGCATTCGCATTGGCAGAGGCAAGGGCGCCACCTGTGGCGTGGAGACGTGTGAGGGAATTTGGGCGGTAGAGAGGGACTCGTGGACGGCGGGGACAGGCGCCCGTGACATGTCGCTACACGTGCTGACCGTCCTCGAGGAGTGTGCTTCCCAATCACTTCCGTAAGCTACACTTGCTGTTGAGTGTCTAGCAGAGGTGAAAGGTGAGCAGTCATTTCGGTGCTCTCTTTTGCCCGTAGCGCATGAAATTAGCGGTTCGAGGCTACCCTTCTGGGCGGTCGGTGCCAATCCTTAACAGTGGGACTAGCTGCTCCACTGCCCATGACCTCTCACCCGAACCGCCTCTCTACATCCCATTCATCGCCGACAGCCTCATCCAGCATCCCATAGCCCAGCCTTACCACCACAACCCGTAGAGCCACACACCAGACGATATCAGTGTTGCGCGGCCCCACTGCGACGCCAGAGAGCGCTCTTGCCTGCCAGCCAGCGGCAGCGAAGCCATCCTGGTCCCCCTAACAACAGCAAACACGCCTCATCTCCCGCCATCACCATCCCTTTCCACCGGCGCCTGCTTTGGTTATTCTGCCCAACAGCCGTGATAGCTTCGTCTCGTCCGAGTCCGGCTGTGATCCGTCCCCACCGCGCTGTCGGGTTCCTTCCGCCCTCGAGCACACGTTTGCTGTGAAGCGCCGTCTGAGCACCACTCTGAGCACACCACCACCACCACACGGGCCCCTCTATTGCGTCCGAGCCTGAAGCATCAACAAACAACTGGCTGCTTCTCCTCTCACCCCGAGCTCCGCTGTTTGCTCGCTCCCAGCCTGCAGCCAAACCCACCTGCTTGCTGCCCACCACATGCGACACTAGTCCTGCACCTCTCCACCACCCAGCTCCCACCCACCTGCGCAGCCACGGCACCACACAGCTCCAAACATGCGCGAAGTTAACTTTAGCATCCCCAACGCCAACAAGGCGTCGGTCGGCATCACCACCGCCCTCTACGACCGCCGCGCTCTCGACTGCACATCGACGCTCCCGCTCATCAACTCGCTCAACCACCTCGCCTACCTCACAACCTCCTCGGCCCGCATACGGGACATTCTCACCGTCGATGGCGGCATCGAACGCCTGATATGCATCCTCAAGGAGGGCCGGAGCAAGGACATGATGGATATGTGGAAGTGGAACCTCGCTTTCCAATGCATCTTCAACATTGGTGTCCGCGGCTCCGAGAACGTCAGGACGCGTGTGGTTGAGGCCGACATGGTGCCCGTCATCGCCTCCATTCTCGACAACTACATCAAGGTCGTCGACAAGATGCGGGCACGAGCTGAGGTTGAGTTCAACAAGTCTGCACGTCTCGGTGCATCGAGCCGACACCACTCCTCGCGGACCGGCGAGGCTGCGTCGAGCTCCTCACACCGAGCTGATCGATCACGGCGCATCATTCCTCCTCCCATTGAGATACCCCAGCCGACTGACGCACCCTTGGCCGACGCGACTCCCATTCCTGCCTTCTCCCTGAGCTCCCCTCCTGAGCGAACGACATTTGCACGCGGCCGACCTGCTCACCACCATCACCATCGCAGCCACGAAAGCCGAGCACAGCTCTTTGGCGCTCCCGGCAACAACACCCGCAACCTTGGCCAGCCATTGGTCACGGCGCTACCCTCCATGGAAGCAACGCCTGATGCGTTTGCGCTACGGCCGGTGCGAGATGCGGATCGACTTCCTTCCATGCTCCCCGCCCTGCAAGGGGAGATCACTTCCCAACCAGAGTCACCGACAACACCGAGCGCCCCACAGGCACGCCAGACGAGCCCAAGAGCGGGGCTAGCCCGGACGCGCCGCCGACCTTCCATCCGACACCAGCTGTCCGTATCTGGAGAGTCGGACCTCGAAGCACAACAAGATGACATGTCTGCAGAGGCTGCAACAGCGGCGGGTCCGTCTGTGAATGAGCCAATCGTCGGCATTCAGAACAATGAGATCAACATGGCCGACATCGTCGACAACGCAGAGATGCTGGATGCTGGCAACACACCAGTTCCTATCGCTGCTCCGTCGGAAGGCACAGACGAGAACAACGAGACGTTCAACATTACTCACCGTCCAGCGCTCGATGGCAGTCTAATCAACCCCACCAACACCCCGCCGAACAATCCCATCACCGGTTTCTCTCCCATGCCGCCCACCATCAACGTCGTCAACACCAACCCACCGCCTCCCTGGCTACCGAGATACCAGCAAGAACGCAATGCGTCGGCTAGCGTGCTCGCAGCTATGCCTCGGGATGAAGACGTACTCATGTCTCTGCAACTACTTGCTTACGTATCGAAATACTGCAACCTCCGGTCCTACTTCCAGAACTCCCATCTGGTGCCTAAGCTCAAGATCGGCACTGAGCTCCTTGATGGAGAAGCCTCGACACCCAAGGCAGAGGAAGAAGAGGAGGAGCTGGAGGAATACGAACTTCCAGACGACTTCAACATCTTCCCTCTGGTTGAGCAGTTTACTGTACGGCACCACTCGTCCGACATGCAGTACTGGGCCAGCGTTGTTATGCGCAACCTATGCCGGAAAGACGACTCTCGAGGCGGCATCCGACAGTGCGCATACTACAAGTGCGGCAAGTGGGAAGAGTACACCCGCCAGTTCGCCAAGTGCCGTCGCTGCCGGCGGACCAAGTACTGCAGCAAAGAATGCCAGAAGAGCGCATGGGTTTTCCACCGCCACTGGTGCGTTGCTGCGTCGTAGGACATGCCGACAAACCTTCTCTAATCCTCTTTTACCAATCATCATCGCCAGTTTGGTTGTTCATCATCTGGCTGCATATTGCATGGCGCTGGGCACACTGCATCTTCTATGTCTTTTTTTTTTCTTACAATACTTAATGAGCGACACGACTACCGGATACCACAAAGCAAGTTCCTACTACCCAGAATGGCTTCTTCTTTGGCAGCGGAGGAGGAAATCTAAGGGAGTTGGAGACTTGCGTGAGAGTGAGAATGAGAGAGAGAGAGTTGGGCCTGCAAAGGCGAAAGCGAGAGAGAGAGAGAGGGGGAACGAGACTATACCATATCATTTGGAGCGAAGCATTATTAGCATATTGGTCTTCAAAAGCCAGGATTCTGGAGTAGTGAGTAGTGCGTTTTTGGTGCAATTGAATGGCAAATGCATCTTGGATAGGTTGTATATGTTCTTGAGGCGATTCTTTTGTGAGCATCGATTCTTTGCATTTGACTAGCGGCATCTATAATCCATACAGAACTAATACATCATGAACTTCATACGCGATCTTGATGTAGTCAGCGATGGTTGCTGTCGTTGCGTGAGGTGAAGCTGATTGGTGGATCGTCAGCTGCACATTCAGCCATGTGTGATACGTTGCGTTCGCGCCAGCCGCAGATGCGACCCGTCTGCTGCGGGGTCAGATCTTCCTTTTTGCTGATCGATGAACTGCAAACTGCAGAAGAAGCAGACATGGCTCTGGGGAAGCGCGCATATGCAAGCCCGCAGCCCACTCAAGAGGGGAAAACGGCACTACTGGGGGCGGAGCTGGAGTTGGTGGAGTCAGTCCGTTCGAGCTACGTCAGTCCTAAAATAGCCTGGGGCAGGCATCATGTGGTGGGTTGAAGGAACCTGAACCTAGACTTTGGTACCGTCCGTGTTGTTGGCGCGTGTTTGAATGAACGACAGGGAACAGTACTGTTTGCGCCTTGTTTGCACCTATGCCTGCGTACCGCAATGTGGTTGTTGTAATCATTCGTATCCATTGTAGTATCGCCGGCGCCGCGTAAAGCCCAAGACGCAAAGGCCCCCAGCGCGGGCATCGACGTCGTAATACCCGCGTGGACAAGCCGCTAGACCGGACTCTGCGGCAAAGGCTGGGGATTTCCTACGATTTTGCGGCACCCTTCTGTAGGACAGCATCGTACACGACAACAGGGAATGACTGGAAATCATGTCGCCGACTGGAGATGCTCCCGATGCATCGAATGCTGGGATTGGAGGTAGCGGAGGAGTAAGAAGGCGTCATTCCGCATCGCACAACGAGGATGACCTGGCACCGACGACACAGAGCGCAAACCCTCCGTATGCGATCGAGACACCCAGAGACGGCGACGATGCGCCACGATCGAGGACTTCGGCGGTGGAAAATACGGGACGCCCTTCGATTGCGCGCCTAACAACTGAAGAGTCGCCGCGCGTTCGCTTCTCGACAGATATTGAGCGCAATGGCAGGGACGAGATTACACACATTGGGAAGAGTCCTGGCGGCAAGCAAAGACCTGGGACGCCAGACTTGTCCATCAACACGCGCGAGGTCTCTCCAGAAGATCAGGCTGAGGCTTCATCCTCACGTACACAACTACCTACACGAAATGGCGCCTCTCGATCGCCGCTATCGCCCACTTCTCGCAACCGCGGATACTCGCTACGCAGCGCCCTGTTTCGGAGGAACGTCCACGATACGGCGCAATCACCGGATACACAGATTGAACTGGAGGAGGGCGTTGGAAGGTCACAACTTACGATGGGACAGGCGGAAGGCTCTAGTGGACATGCGCCGTCGCGCAAGTCTGGAGATGCCGTCATCACTGTCACGCCAGAGCACGTCGACTACGCCTCGTCAGCCTCGGATATCTCAAAGTCGAAGTTGGGAGAAGGGCCAATCGCACTTCCCTGGTTGGAGAGCAAGGGTCCAAGCCGCCGATCACAAATAGTCAAGCAAACGAAAGATCTCGCAGAGCAAGCCCGCAAATTCATCTTCCGCATCAAAGACGTACCGCCTAGTAAAGACGGTCGACACATATACCTCGATCCCACGCGCAGAGAACCTCTCACGGACGAACGTACCGAACAACCCTACACGAGCAACTGGATCCGCTCCACGCGTTACTCGGCATGGAACTTCATTCCCCGCCAACTCGTGGCGCAGTTCTCCAAACTTGCCAACTTTTACTTTCTTGTTATTTCCATTTTGCAAATGATACCCGGGCTTAGTACGACGGGCCAGTTTACGACGATAGTACCGCTGCTGTTTTTTGTTACTCTTTCCATCGCAAAGGAAGGATACGATGATCTGAGGAGGTGGAGGTTGGACAAGGCGGAGAACATGAGAGAGGCGAAGGTGTTGCGCACAAGCCCTGGTTCTGAGACGCTGCAGTGGGAGACGATCAAGTGGCAGGATATCAACGTTGGTGACATCATCAAGCTTGAGCGGAACGACGCTGCGCCTGCGGATATGGCGCTTCTTCATACTAATGGGGAGAATAATGTGGCGTTTGTTGAGACGATGGCGCTGGATGGGGAGACGAACCTCAAAAGCAAACAAACGCCTGCTTCAGTCTCTAAAACCATCATCGATCAGGAGGATGTCTTGAAGACGAAGGCCGAGTTCGTTGTCGAAGACCCGAACCGGGACTTGTACAGCTTTGAAGGTCGCGTGATGGTCGATGAGAAGCAAGCGCCACTGACTCTCAGCGAGATCATCTTCCGAGGCAGTATTCTGCGAAACACACCCGATGCGATCGGCATGGTCATCTACTCCGGAGAGGAATGTCGTATTCGGATGAACTCGAACAAGAACCCTCGCATCAAAGCGCCAGCACTACAAGGCCTTGTCAATCGCATCGTCATTCTCATCGTGGTCTTTGTCATAGCTCTGTCCATCTTCAACGCCGTGGCCTACAAGATTTGGCAGAAGAATGAGGACGACATGTGGTATCTCCGCGGTTCTTCGGTCGCCTTCTTCCCCAGTTTCACATCCTTCATCATCATGTTCAATACCATGATTCCGCTCTCACTCTACGTCAGTCTGGAGATTGTCAAGCTGGCGCAGATGTTCTTTCTGCACACCGACATCGACATGTATGACCCTGTCTCCGATACGCCGTGTGAGCCGAGGACATCGACAATCAACGAGGAACTTGGTCAGATTAGCTACATCTTCTCGGATAAGACGGGTACGCTGACGGACAACTCAATGAAGTTCCGGAAACTCAGTGTTGCCGGTGTGAGCTGGTTGCATGATGCTGATCTGAAGGAAGAGAAGAGGAAGCTGATTCACAAGACAAGGAAGAAGGGGAAGCAGCCTGCGAAGAGTAGGAAGAGTGTGAGATCGGCCAAGGATGTTGCGAATGGCGAACCCATAACGCCAGCAATTGAGACAGTCGAGCAATTGGAGAGTCCTGGGGAAGGAGGACCCTCGAACTGGCAGTCGAGCGCGAAGCCAGGAAAGACATCCCGGGAACTACGCACTCAGGATATGCTTCGGTATATTCAGCGAAAGCCTCACACGCCGTTCTCGAAGAAAGCTCGCATGTTCCTTCTCTCATTAGCGCTATGCCACACTTGCTTGCCTGAGATCCAAGAAGACGGCAAGACACACTTCATGGCTTCTTCTCCGGATGAGCTTGCACTTGTCCAGGCAGCGCAAGACATGGGCTTCCTACTCATCAACCGCGACGTTCATACTATCACCCTCAAGATTATGCCCTCTGGTTCTGACGGAGAGGCTGTCTCGGAGGTCTATGAGATCCTAGATGTCATCGAGTTTTCCAGCAAGCGAAAACGCATGTCCATTATCCTGCGCTTTCCAGATGGCAGGATATGCATCATCTGCAAAGGTGCTGACTCCATCGTCATGCAGCGATTGAAGTTGGCTACGCTGGCGAACAAGAAGATGGTTGAGATCGAACGACGTGCCAATATCCGCAAGAGCATGGAGGCTCAACATGCGATCGCGCGTATGAGCGAACACGCTGAGCGACGGAGTAGTGTTGCCGGTCGTATGAGCAGTGTTGGCGGCCGAAAAAGTATGACTATCGGCCAGGCTGCGAGGGCTAGTCTCAACCTAGGTCGTTCGTCTTTCGCTCCTAGTGTTGGCGGACGAGGCTCCATGTCAGCGAGAGATGAGGTAGACCAGTGGCTACGCGAGCGCGAGAACGACCGCATGGACATGTCGTCTTTGGACGAAGACTCGCCAATGCAGACACCCATGATAACACCTCGCCAGTCCGGTCTCGATCGTTTCAGCATGGCCTTCTCCTCAGCCCGAAGCTCAATGCAACTAGAAGACATGGAAGCCATGGTCGACGAAGGCGTAGCTGGCGACGATACCCTAGTCATCGAACGCTGTCTCCAACACATCAACGAGTTCGCTACGGAAGGCCTCCGAACCCTCCTCTACGGCTACCGTTTCCTGCATGAATCCGAATACCAAACCTGGAAAGCGACCTACCTCTCCGCCACCACCAGTCTCGTCGACCGCACCCGTCTCATTGAAGAAGCCGGCGACCTAATAGAACAAGACCTGGATCTCTGCGCCGCCACCGCCATCGAAGACAAACTGCAAGCCGGCGTCCCAGAAGCCATCGACAAACTACGTCGCGCCCAGATCAAAATGTGGATGCTAACAGGCGACAAGCGCGAAACCGCCATCAACATCGGCTACTCCTGCCGCCTCATCAAAGAATTCAGCACCGTCACTGTCCTAGACCACGAAACAGGTCTCGTCGAACAAACCATCGCTTCCGCCATCCAAGCCATCACCAGCGGCACAGTCGCCCACTCCGTCGTCGTAGTAGACGGTCAGACACTCTCCCGCATCACCTCCTCCCATACCCTAGACACGCTCTTCCACTCCCTCGCCATCCTCGCCTCCTCCGTCATCTGCTGCCGTGCCTCCCCCAGCCAAAAAGCCCAACTCGTAAAGTCTATCCGCAAGCGCGTGAAGAAGAGTATTACACTGGCTATTGGTGATGGCGCAAACGACATTGCCATGATCCAAGAAGCACACGTGGGGATCGGCATCACAGGAAAAGAGGGACTACAGGCTGCGAGAACCAGTGATTACAGTATCGCGCAATTCAGATTCCTGACAAAGCTGCTACTGGTGCATGGACGTTGGAATTACATCCGCACGTGCAAGTACACTGTCGGCACGTTCTGGAAAGAACTTCTTTTCTACCTTACACAAGCGCTTTTCCAGAGAAGCGTAGGTTATACCGGTACATCGCTCTACGAATCGTGGAGTCTGAGCATGTTCAACACGCTATTCACTTCCTTACCCGTCATCTTCATGGGCGTCTTTGAGAAAGATCTCAGCGCTAGTACGCTACTCGCCGTTCCTGAACTCTACACCATAGGCCAGGTGAATGGCGGGTTCAACTTCAAAGTATATCTATGGTGGATGTTCATGGCGAGCGGAGAGGCGATGCTGGTTTACTTTTGCATGTTGGGATTGTATGGCGATGCGCTTTGGACGGAGGATAATTCCATATTTGCCATGGGGAGTATCACGTATACGGCGGCGGTGTGGTTGATTGCGTTGAAGATGCAGTATGTACTCCCCCTTTCTTTCCTTCTCCCTTCCCTTCTCATTCCCTTCATTCCTGACTACGTTGGAGATGGCTTACTAACGCAAAACAGATTCATAGAAACACACACCAAGACCCTCACAAACGCCCTCGCCCTCTTCCTCTCCATCGGCGGCTGGTTCCTCTGGAACATCATCCTCTCCTCTGTCTACAACCCCACCAACCAGATCTATTACGTCCGCAACACCTTTCTCCGCGGCTTCGGTTCAAGTTGGAGTTGGTGGCTGTGTCTCGTGCTCATCTTACTCGCTGTCATTGTCTTCGAACTCGCTGTCAAGAGCGGTGCGGCGGCGTGGTGGACGAGCGACACGCATGTCTTTCAGGCGTTGGAACGCGATCCGGATGTTAAGAGGAGGTTTGAGGAGGCTAGTGCTGGGGAACTGCAACAGGGGTGGGATAGGAAGGGTAGTCAGAGTCGAGGCGAGGGAATGGGCTTGGGCGGTGGAGAGATTAGGGTGGGTGGGCAGGAAGAGAGCGAGAAGGAGAGGGAGGAACGAAGAAGGGAGGGCGAGATTAAGGATTTGATTAGGAATCGGGTGGAGGTTGTGGGTGCGGAGGGCATGCAGGATGGTGGCGATGTTAATAGGATTCTTAGTCGCGGGTTTGGGGATGTGAAGACTACGTAGCGGGGTGGAGAGGTGGGGATGAGGCTCTGGTATTAATGCATTCTCATGCGCGATTTTAATTTCATCGTGTATGTCGAGATGCAGCGCATGCTTGTTTCACACCGCTTGTTGACTATCTCGTATCGTGCAGGATCGCCAAGCATGTGTAGGTAGTATGTCGTCATGCTCAGCCTCGTCACTTCCCCCCTTGTTCTGTGGCTGTGTAGGCTGACCTCTGTTATCTTCAGCTCCGGGCGCTGAACATCTCTTCTTCTCCTCTTCTTCCCACTTGGACCCAAATTTGTATCTTTGCCTTGTTCTCTATCTCGTAACCAGATACCTGCAATTTGCGATACACCAACGACTACCAGGATAAACCACGGGATCCCGACGATGACGGAATGTCTCGATAATGAGGCTCCAATGCGGATGGATTCTCAGGATGACTCCGTTCCGGAGGGCTCGGTACCCCTTCATCGGCTTTGTGATCGGTGTCGCCAGATGTTCGATACGTGGGATAAAACGTGCGAATGGTTTGGGGGAACAATGGGACTGGAACCGTCTCGCGGATATGAGAGATATGAGTTGTGCACCCTGACGGAAATGATGAACTCTCGACAGTCTTGTCATCTGTGCGAGATGTTATACTCGCAGATCAAACAAGATGATGGCATACCGTTACATAAGCCTATAGTGTGCCAAATTGGTCCTTCATTCCGCGGGACTCTACATATCTCGACACGGGGGATATCCTTACTACTGGACGGTTATGTTATTAGCTCTGATTGTATATCCGTAAATAGGGATACTGGTAAGTTTTAACCCGATAATGACTTCTTTGGTCTGTGCAGTTAACCCATCAGTAGGGGAACCAAGGAAACCCATAGGGTTCCCGTCCATAGCAAAGCATATCCCACGTCTGCCGACTGACAACTTAGTTCAAGTACAGAAATGGTTACAAACTTGTCGTGCACATCATGGCAGATGTAACAATTGGTTCCCAAGATTGGATACGAAAGGACGTCGACCAACACGAATACTTGAGCTCTACGAAAACGGTGTTCGACTTCGGTGCGATCCAGAAGTCATAGACAATTTCGAATACCTGGCGCTCAGTCACATGTGGGGCGAAGATCCTTCGACACAACTCCTTCTAACAGCTACAACACTACAGGAGTTTCAAGAGGCCATACCTATGAACAAGCTGTCAAGTATATTCACTGAGGCGATCCGAATAACGCGTAGCCTAGGGTTTTCGTACCTCTGGTTGGACTCGCTTTGCATCATACAGGGCTCCGCAAGTGACTGGACGAACGAAGCGAACATGATGTCTGCAGTCTATAACAACGCTGTTTGTACGATTGCGTTTCTGTTTCCACCGGATGTCGGCTTTTGTCGGGCTAGAGACGATCCACGAGCATCAACACCATGTGTTGTCCGACGGCATATAAGAGATATCTGGATTTTTCCCAAAGAGGAAAATCCATCAAGGTGTGCGTCCATCAACTGGCCCTTATCTTCAAGGGCTTGGGTGCTACAGGAACAATTATTGAGTCCTCGTACGATTCTCTATGGCCACCGTACCATTATGTGGGAATGCGGGAACAGCTTTTGGGACGAGCTGGGCTTGGAATTGACTCACAACAGCGACCGCGACCGCACGATACTAGGCCCGGTGGCTTTGAAACCAACATTACGTATGAACCGCTACAATTTGAGCCATACATCAGAATCAATAAGAGCAGGATTAGGGGCTTACTGCCCCTTTGTTGATTGGGCAAGACTGATAAGAGAGTATAGGAGAAGAGAACTCTCCCGTGCAAGCGATCGAATTATGGCTATCGTCGGAACAGCACGAGCTTTCCAGTCCGAATATGGATTCACGTATCTCGCGGGAATGTGGAGGGAACATTTACCACGATCTCTACTATGGTATATTGAGACTGCGAATGTGCGGAAGATGGCTAAGCCTTTCTTGATTCAGGAACTACCATCAAACCCCGTACCCACATGGTCATGGCTCGCCGGACCTATCTACAAGCATTGCGGTGTTGTCGTTCCTGGAGGAAGTAGTGAAATTTGGGATCCGCAACTATTCGTGGCAAAATTCCTGCACTTCAAATGGTCGAATAGGCCCGTCAATCACGCCCCTCCAACAGCTTACTATGACTTCGACAGCTTGCAAATTACACTAGAACTGGCAACACATATGACCACGATCCTGCTTCAGGAGCCACATGGCGAACACGACTGTCATCGACTTCGCTACGACAGTCTAGAAAAAGAGTTAGCTTGTTGTCTTGGGCTTGGCAGAGAACATCTGGCAGCCTTTTATCATTGCGATGATCTCGAAACATTGTATCAACCTCCGACCGAAGTACGCATAGCTCTGATTGCTGAAGAAGTGGATCTTAACTTTCGTCACGATTTACAAGGACTGGCATTGGCACCCGGGGTTGAAAGCGGTACATGGAAGCGCTTAGGCTACTGGAAAGCGTGGGTTGATCCAGGCGATGACATATGGGGAACGAAGTCAGTGTTTTTACGTCTAGAAGGGGTGAAAATTGAGACCCTTACTCTTGTTTAAATCATGCCCGCATTATGTATCTCGAGGGAGGGGATATCAAGGTAGCGATGTGCAAATCAACAATTCAAACGAGATTCCCTGCGTGAAGTACGCTATGAAGTTCGGTTTGGGTTCAAACAGACGCTGTATTGGTAGTGAACGGAATGGAACATCTCTACTCAGGTAGCTGGCTTATCGGAGGAACCACGGACCTGGGAAGCTCGTTTGTTCAAAGTTGCGCCGTACATATCTAGGGTTGAACTCCAAAACGTACTCTGGACGTATACATCATGTTGCATGTGACTATGTTCTCACAATATAGTGCGACGTTAGTTCTAGAGTAATTCTTTGGTCATGGGTACAACAAGAGAAGCAAGCTTCTGCGTACATGTGGCACAGTTGCAGGGGTGCTCACGCGGGGATGCCTGATGCGATGCACCACCCCGCGATCCATCTTCACACCACATCCCAGCCATCGGCCTACCTCGACACGCAGCCATCAGTTTTCAGTCTGGATGTCGAATATTGGCGCGATGTCAAGCATTCCAATAGCTCACAATGCTGAGACAGACGGCGTGGGTAGCTACACTGCGGGTCTATCGCAAAGTCAAGATACTAACGATTCGGTTATGCTGCATCAACTATGTAATCGCTGTAAAAGCTTCATCGATGGCTGGGAATTGTTGAAATGGGCCGAAGAGGGTAAGGAAGTATGCAACGCCCAGATTGCCCGGCTTGAACGCAAGTTCTACAGAACCGGATACGAGGTTCGCTTTGCTACAGTTGAGCAACTGTTGCAGTCGACAGAACATTGTCATTTGTGCACAATGGTGCTTTCCAAGGCAGATCATGAGACCAAATATCCAAGAATCTCATTTAGGCTTGGTGATTTTCAAGAGGATGATGATAGATCTGGGGGCTTCTTACCTCTGTTTGTGCAGGACTACGATTCCTTGCTAACGGCGCACCTCTATTTGAGATTCTACAATGGTTAGTCTACGTTCCTCGGTTTCCAAACGAATCAACTGACGGCTTAGTATCGAGTAACGACGCAGTAGACGCTGCGCAGCAAGGGCGAAGCGTACCCGCTCAGCCAACAGCCAACCTAGACCAGATCAAGACCTGGCTCGCTGCCTGTCTTCAGAAGCACAGGACCTGTTCGACATGGTCGTCGAACTTGACGACGTCATTCCAGCGACCGACCCGACTCCCCGAACTCACTTCAGACGGCGTAAGATTGCGATACGATACTAGTACCATTGAAGGGCTTCAGTACCTTACACTTAGTCATGTGTGGGGGGATAAAACCCATCGTCTCCGCCTGACACTATCACGACTCGACGAATTTCAAGTCGCAGTGCCTTGGTCAGAGTTACCAAACATGTTCATTGAGGCCTTAAGAATTGTTCGACACACTGGCTTCCGTTACCTGTGGGTTGATGTGTTATGTATCATTCAGGACTCACGATCAGACTGGGAAACTGAAGCTGCTGCGATGACGTCGGTATATAGCAACGCAATCTGCTGCATATCCTTCTTGTTTCCACCTAGGAAAGACTTCATCCGGACAAGGAAGGATCCAAGAACTATGAGTTCTTGCTCTATCCGCAAAGCAACGCAGACACAAAAAGGCATCTGCATCATTCCTACTACGAATCGACGCCTGCCAGGTACGAAGTACCCCGAGAGTTGGAGTAGGCCCTCGTCCGGCGTCTCATTGGACCACGATTATACATCCAGACTGCGCTATCATGAATGGCCTATATTTAAGCGAGCATGGACATTTCAAGAGCATCTACTGAGTCCGCGTACAGTGTTCTACGGGCATGAAACCATCATGTGGGAATGTGTGGAAGAGTTTTGCGATGAGCTAGCAGGTTCTTGGCTTCCAAAGTTCGAAATAGGGGACTATAACAGACGACGACGTAACGGACGAGAGATGACACAGAAACGACATATCCCACTAAGAGATGTTCCTCAGGATAGCGCGCTTCCAATACCGTTTGCAGACTACGAGCACCTTCTCAATTATTTCAAGAACTGGAAAGACCTGATTTGGGAATACAGTACAAGGAATCTAACAGTACCTAGCGATAGACCCATGGCGTTTGCTGGTGTTGCTCAAGCGTTCCAGACTGACAGAAAACTCACTTATCTCGCCGGTATCTAGGCAGAGTCTTTACCAGACGGCTTGCTATGGTTCATGGATTGCACTGGCGAGAGAGTATTGGATGGCGAGGATGTACCCCCATCGCAAACGATACGTGAGCCTGGATCTGTCATGGCGCCGTCTTGGTCGTGGTTCGCAAGTTCTCTTTACCTGGACCACGACATTGACTTCTTTGATGAATACCACAGCTGGCCACAAAACGTCCCTGAAGGTTCGCGCAACAGACTCGTGTTCTTGGCGCAGCTAGTGCACTTCCAGTGGTGCGGCCTGCCTCTCAATCAAGTGCCTTCAACGGCATTTCACGACTTCTCTGGTCTACGTACAACACTTGAAGTAGCTACATACGAGGAAGCACGTCTAACATCCGAAGACGGGTGGAACATGGACTGTCTATCCCTGAAGGAAGGACTTGAATCTTTGTATCATGTCCGTTTCGACGGGCAAGTATACTGCGACAACTTCAAATACTATGAGCAACCGCCAGGGAATGCCATCCTGGCTCTTCTAGTCGAGACTCAGCGTACTCACCATGAACATCGCTATTTTGGAGGTCTGGCGCTGATACCCGGAGAAGAAGAAGGCACGTGGAAGCGCTTTGGTTACTGGGATGCTAAAATGTATTCACTGGGGTATGAAGAGGAACCCCCGGCAAATATGTATAATCCAAAAGGTCCATCGGTCTTCTCAGGTCTCGAAGAAGTAAAGACGGAAAGGCTCACGCTGGTCTGAGCACCGCGTAGCGTCGTCGTCCAAATCAGTATGTCCAAAAGCCATTGCAAATACGCTTATATCTTTCACAAATCATGGAAAAATTACATCGTTGATACGAAATCCTCGAAAGCTACAAAATATCGTTGCCGAATTCCGCATAGTTGACCACCTATCCCAAATTGCGAAGACACGGTCTTGGAGATCAGAGAAGATCTATATTATTACCAAAACCTTTTAGTAGACGTATTCACCTCTTAGTCTGTCTTTGATTTACCCTGACTTGAAGGTATACATTGCTCTCAGAATCCTTGTTGTGAAGTCAGGTAGTGTGGTGTATACTTCAAAGTATAGTTTTGCATTGGTTGATGTATCGTGCGTCGAAGAAACGTTAATATATATTACGAGTTCATCACGCTGAAACTGGTGAGATAAAACTGCCTCATGGTTGCGCGCTGCGGCCCCAAGTATACGAAGCCACTCTGAATATCTAGTTGTGTAGCCTTGTTTTCAACCTGTCTTATTCATGCAGGGTGATGACTGGTCACATATTTATCGAGCATTGGGCACTATAGCTGTTGGGCGATGAAAACGGTGCACTAGAAAGTCAAGACGATAAGTTTTGTGTATTGCCCATCTGCAAGCTTTCGGTTATGAAGGCTCAGCATCTGCATGGAGAGGCCATGAATATAGCTGCGCGTTGTTTCCGCCGCGACGAAAGAAGAGTACAAAAAAAAAGACATAGGTAGAAGGGTATGTACAAGAAGTAAAAGGTATAGTGCTCAGAGGCCGCCTCTCAACTTTACAGGCTTAGAAAGCACCTGTTCATGCGGCATTCACCCACTCAATCGTCCTACGCAGACTCCCTAGCATCCTTCCTGCCCTTCTTCCATGCAGTACTCTCACTAGCCCCCTTAACCTTCTTCGCCAACTTCGCACTAAGGTTGGTAACAACACCCTTCGCAACCGGCTTGCCAAGGTTGTTGCTCATAGGCCTAACAACATCGCACCTAAGCGCCTGCGCAGGGCTCATACGCTCCATCTTGGTGTTGTTTGTCTGGATGAAGAGCCTCTCACGCGACTTGGGACCAGTGTACGGCTTCCACTCGACAGCACGTTCGGCACGGTCGGTGTTGGGGTCGAGGTTTCGGATGAAGCTCGTCCAGTAGCTGCGCACCTGGTGGATGATGGGCGCGTTGGTGGTGAAGTAGCTGGCTGGCTCGCTGTTATCGGTGCGGTTTACGCCCCAGAAAGCGTAGGCGTTGACGGTGTGCCAGGCGCCGTAGCCAGCGGCCTCGTCGGCAGGGTCCTGTACGGCGTACTTGTAGTTCCATGTGGGTACGTCGTCGCTTGCAATTGCGTTCTGGATGTTGCGTGTTGGGCAGTGGGTGCCAATGTCGCCGATGGCATCAGCGGCATGGCGCCAGTAGAGGCCTTTGCCGGGGAATGTAGGCTTCTTGGGCTTCATGTAAAGATCATCAAGGATGGAGATGGAAGAGTTACTGAGACTTGGATCCTGGTTGGCTACCCATTTGACGGCATCAGCTGTGGTGTTGAGATCCTCTGGTGCGTTGTACTTGGTGCCTTCTTGGGCACAGGTTCCCATGATCGTCGGCACCTTGGCATACTTGCCCTGCTCGAAAAGGTTAACGAGTGAGTCGGTGTAGAGGTCGCCGTCGATGTTGGGGTTGAACCAGCAGTTGGATGTTCGGATAGCCGACTCGTTCAATGCGCGCAGGCAAGAGAGGCCGTTCGTCGCATTAGCACAACCCTTATCTTCGAGCAGACACTGATATTGCTCCTCGCCCAGTTCCGGGGTGCGCATCGTGACCCAGCCGCCCGACTCCATGATGCCACCAGCGAACAGCTCCTTGCCGGTGTTGGCCGCTAGCATGAGTGCAACAGAAGATCCGCCAGCACTGACTCCATCAAGGACAACATGGTCAGGGTTGCCGCCGAACTGTTCGATGTGCTCCTTGACCCACTCAAGGAGTTTGATCTGGTCGCGTAGTCCAGCATTGACGTCGCCACCTCCTGCCTTGACCGCTTTACTGCTGAGGAAACCGTAAAGACCCACGCGATAGCTGAACTGAACGAAGACGACCTGACCATCTGAAACGATCTCTGTAGGATCCCAGTTCGCGCTAGACTGCGATGAGAAGCCTCCTCCCTGGAAGAAGACTACCACTGGCAGCTTCGAGTTGACTTTGGCCTTGGAAGGCGCATAGACACTCAGGTAAAGACAGTCTTCCGCGACGTGGAAGCGATCGGTGGCTCCGGATATGGTCCAATCATCAGGACGGTTGGGTGGGCATGTTGCACCGTGCCTAGTCGCGTTGATGAGTCCGGAGACGATGGGGTCCTGCGGTGCTGCGAAACGTCGTTCGCCGGTAGGAGGCGCCGCATACTGGATGCCTTTCCAGGCAGAGACGCCAAGCTGGGAGTCAACGACGGCTCCCTGGTACTTCGCGTAGCCAACATCGACGAGGGTGTTGACGGCCTGCGCAATTGAAGAAAAGCCTGCCCCAGCGGCAAGCAACTGGTGAAAATGCCTCATCTTCGAGATGAGAAAGGAATGGTAAAATGAACGTGGACGAGCAGTGCTCTGGTAAAGAATGGATACGTGCGCAAAAGCACAAAAGTTGAACTGGGTGGGCGAAGGAACGACTGACTGCTGTGTCTACTACGTCTTTACGGTGAGCATATAAATCCACTCCTCCGGATCTTCCTGGATGCGCTCGAAACATATCAAGCCCGTTATCGCCGGGATGTCATATATGTGTTGCGTTCGGACCGCACGCAGAATGAACGTGGAAATTGTGCGTTCATGTTGCTGTGCTATTCAGAGTCGGGCCGTTGAGTGATGCGGCGATTGAGTTGTTTCACGGCGGCATGGCAGGGTATCGATGCATGAGCTGACCTAGCCTCGAGTAGAAAGAGGCCATGATCCAGGGGTTTTCTTGGGAGCCGATCGTGTTCGTCCGCAAATCACGGGCTCTAGTCCGCTGAAGTATGATTCGAGATGGGTTGTTGATGAGTAAACGCGAAGGAGCGAACGCGCGGGGACGCTAGCAGTACCGCATTAGGCATCGTTATGTAAGCACAGGAAGAGATTGGGAGGATCGCCAAGCCGTATCTAGAGTTGAGTCTTCGGAATATCTACATTGTGATTCCGTCCACAACGTAGCGCTGACAGCGGAATATATGTCGCCGTAGAGCCCAACTTTAAGTCCATATGGCTTTCAACTCCAAGGTCCCACCGGCTTATCGTAGGCCCTCTCAAGTTGAACGAACAGCTCGTTGCGGAACTCCCACAATCCGATAGTTGGCTTTGTATATCGACACCAGAACGGGAAACCTTCAGCAAGAGAGTGGTCTCGATGATCACGTTGCGTGTACTGGAGGTAACACCCGTCCCTATAACCAAGCGGTCTCAAGTCCTTGTTCCGTGCGTCAGCTCTACCTTCGTACGTGCTCTCTCATGCGTGTCGGGCCAAGTCTTCGACTTTTTCGCGAATTCAGAACGTCGGTTCCGATCACGACAAGGAGCGGGTCGAACTCTGACATACGCGGCCATATCGTAGTAATAACGTGTATCAACGCAGGCAAACAAGTTGCGGATGCTCGCTGCGTAGTGTTGCGGTAGATTTGGACGTTAGAGTTGGATCCATTCGGCTACACTTCTGACTTCGTCAAACTCCCAAGTCGTCCACATCGAGAACAAGCTTCTGAGCTTGCGCGTGAAGCCTTTCCTAACCCCATGTAGCTTTCGCGTCCCAGTGTAGAGTTGCAACCGGAGAACAGCACGTAGCACACGATGATGCTCGATATCGGACAAGGTATCCGTACCAAAGCGAGGCTGCGAGACTGTTCTCCACCGAGCTACTGCATTTCCTAACGCAATCTTAGTGAACTGATCCGTTAGGACGTCCGCATCGACTAGGCATTTTTGATACTTCATGCCGATAGCATGAGTAGGGCTATCCACAGTCACACATAGGCTTTCACTCAGTAGATTGCTGTTCAAGAACTCAGCTAACCGCCGGCTTGAGCGTGGACTCCTTGTATGCGTCGACAGTAAGGCCGTAGTCGTCAAGATCTGCTTAAGCTGGCTAGCGAGATAGCGGTGCTGTTTGATCACTTTGAACTGCGCATTGAAGTTGCAGCGGACTAAGTCGCTCATTTCCTGATGTTGGAGAAGTTTCTAGTGGGTTTCGAAGTGTTTATCCTTGATGAGAACCTCCAGGATGTAACAGCGCAGCTCAGTCGGCAAATCGAGTAACCGTTGCAAGCCGCGATCAGTCGGATCTTCAGAGTTAGGCGCTGCTGTTGGACCTTCATCTTCTTGTTGCAGCATGGTACCGGATACGAAACCAATGCTTTCGTGCGGTTTCATTGTAGTAGTCGAGTCTCGCAGATCAATGGGGATTTGCGAGAGATGTTGATGCGGACTTGTGCAGAAAGGACGATTATTCAAAAGTGCGCGGTAGCTTGTACCGGTAGCGGGCAGCGAACCACTAACAGCCATGATCACCAACCCGGTTTCAAAGGGAAGCAGACTCGCCCGAATGAGACCGTCTTCATATACAACACATTTGGGCCATTCCGCATAACAAAGCTATCCGAGGAGTATACCGAGGATGCTGAGCCCGCATGCGACGCTCGTTGAGCTGCTCTTTGGGGATTACAGCTCTACTATGCACTGTGTGTTCGAGAACCTAAGTCTTTTTTTTTTGAAGACTACAAGGAGTAAACTCGCCTTCTTTGTACTCAGACTGGACTCATGTATTCCTCGACCACAATTTACATCTGCCCGTCTTGCCTCAGCTGGCGAGAAGCGGCCACTCGTAACACTACTTCAAATCGACTACGCTCCCAGATCAAAATCATCCAACAAAACGCTACACCAGCGTAATCAACACACCCTTCCACTTCCCCGAAAGCACACTAACCTTCGCCCACTTCCTCGCCACATCCCCAATATTACCCCCCTCAACACCAACACCCACAACATTAACCCTCAATTTCCACACTCCCACTCTCTTCCACGTCCCCTCCTTACTCCCAGGAACCAACATCAACCCCGCCAACCGCCTCTGCACCGTATTCTTCCCCGCAGTCCTAACAACCTGACACTCTGACATCAACGCATACACCGCATTGCGAGGCGGCGACGCCCTCCCCGCCGGGTCATCGGGGTAGTATTCCAGCACCGGTTCCCAGCTAAACCCGCGGTTGAAAGAAAGTGCAGGAAGGCTTTGCAACCGTTTCATCTGTGCTGCTAGATCAGCGGGCCAATCCGCTTTTATAGGGAAAACCAACGTTGCAAGTGTGATTTGCAAGCCTGAAAAGTCGAAGGGGCTAGATTCGGATATGCGATCTTGCGTGTGCCCAGCGAACTTGAAGCCTTTGGTCTCTGCCCAGAACATATCTGTCCAGCATACAAGTTTCGGGTCGGAATCGCTTTTACAACGGACGGCTAGTTCGTCATCGCTGAAAAGGTGGTGTATTTGGTAGTGCTTCCATATTGGCACGGAGAACCATGACCAACTTGGTAGTGGTGATGTGGTTTGCACAACTCCTTCTTCGATCTCCGCCGTCCGCACTGAGGCTTTGATCTCGCCGTTTGGTAACCCGTTCTCGCGCCGGACAAGAGGCGGTGCTTTCCTATCGACGTACCATAGCATGGTTATGGGAAGGATTTCCTTCCACAATCCGGCTAGGTAGGTTAGTTGGCCTAGATTGGAGAACGCACTTGCAGTACCTGCGAAGGCTACAATGCGGTCTTTGGAGAAAGATAGTTTGCGACTGCGGTACTCATTGATAACGTTTTGGTAGGAGAGTGCGAAAGAGAGGACAGCTGGGGAGGAGAGACTGTGTGTTTTCCCAAGCGTGTTGATCTCTGTGATGCTGTTGGGGAAATATCGGGATTTACCTCTGTCTCTTCCTTGCTTGGATGACTGCTGCATCGTCGTCGTCGTGGGATCTGTCACCGCAGCTTCCGCAATCGGACCAAGCAATTCATCCCAAAACCCCTCCGAGCACTGCCACATGAGATTCTTATGGCCAAGAAGCAGCGTCCTCGGCGCGAGTAGATACTCCTGAAACGTCCATGCGCGGTTGAAAAGCGGCCAGTTGCGTTGGACGAGCCAGTCTTTTGTCGCTTCCTCTGGAGCGAAGTCGCGTCGGAGCGAGGACTTCGTATGCTCGATGTATATACCCGGTGTATGCGAAGATGAAGTCCGGAGAATGCATGGATTCCAAACTCGTGGGTCATCGCGACGCGATGGCGCGGAGGGAGAGTGGGGTGGGAAGAGGAAAGCGAGATTCGCTGTCGCGTTGCCGTAGACGATGGCCATGCGGCGGGCTTCGTAGTCCCAATCTGGTATTGAGTCTTGGATGATAGTTAGGCTGTCTATCCAGAGGTAGCGGTAGCCGAGGGCGAGGGTCACCCGGATTGCTTCTTTGTATACGTCTGATGCTTCCAAAGTGGCTCGAGGGATCTCTTTTTGGAAGACGTTCAGGTTGGATTGGAGGAGGCGGAGTTGTCCTTCATAATTTGTTCCCCACATGTAGCTCAAAACGAGATAGTCGAAACGCTCGTTTTGCATGTTACAACGGAGGCGGATGGTGGTGGGAGTGATTTCGAGGACTCGCGTGGGTCGTTGGTGGGGGTTGGAGACGGTATTGGTGTGGAATTTGCGACATGCTGTGTGCTCCGAAAGACATGTTTGGAGCCATTGTTTAGCCTTGGAGATGTTATCGCGAGCGAGGAGTGGTGCTTCTTTTGCGGTGATGTGGCTGTTGAACGCTCCTGTGGTGGTGTCTACCCGCCTTCGTCAGCAGCCGATTAAGAGAAGCGGTACGGTCAAACTCACTATCAAAAGTCTGGAACTTGAACATGGCAAAGCCTCTCCCATCCTCCGCACTCCTCATTTCACCTTTAACAAGCCTCATTCGGAGTAGTAACTCTGTCCAGCTCCTCCCGGTTTGGGGACACGCGTATACGCTCATATCGCTAGCAGGGCGTATACCGCGTGAAGCTCCATTCTGCAACTCCGCAAACATCATTTTGCAAAAGTGGCAAGATGGCGCTGACTGAGAGAGTTGAGTGACTGTGCACAAGCGAGAGAAAGGCCATGATGAAACGGGCTGCCCACAGGGCCTCTGCAGCCAATTCAGAGCGCTGCACTCGTTTGAGAATTTGCGACATCGCTCACATAAGTTGTGAAGAGGGACTGATGGTTTGCTAGTGGACGAAAGAGTAGAAGAAGGTTTAGATGAAAGAGTAGATGGAGGCGCTTTCTCGCCTGCGGAATGATGGCGGAATGATGACATGAACGAAGGCATGATTGAATGCTTAGAGGACGAGAAATGAGATGCAACATGGCAAGCCTTACCTTGCGCTGCTACATACTTATATGCAGTTTCCAGATGTTCAGTGGGTTAAAAGTACCCCAAGAACGTACAGAAGGGGGTGGGCGCTTACTAGACGCCAAACCGTCGAATCGCCCATGTGGCACAGCAGCGCATCCACTTCTGCACAAATAGGTTGCGCATGTGTTCCCGAACTGAAGAAGATCGCTGCATCGCTGGGAACGTTTGATGAAGGAGGAAAGTGAACGTGAAGAGATTGAGAAGAACGACAAGCCAGTCTCGTATCATAAGCGAGAAATGTGTGGAGTACTCAAGACGAAGGTCGAAGACAAGAAAGCATGAGGCAAACATCAAGAATGCATGACTGGAGAGAGCAGCACAACAAACCGAGAGTACATCTCGATCAAAAGATATCAGATTGGGTATCCGCCAACACCCTCAACAGCAGGCGCAACACTATTCGTAACAAGTAAGCCCTGTGGCCACTCAGTCTATCCTGAAAAAGCCAGACATGACGATGTAGTCAAGCAGTAAAGACGCCCTTGCAAATATGCAATATCCCGATGCCAAAGTATAAACAAAAGTGCGTCGCTAAATGAGGAAAGATGATAAGGAAATAGTAGTCGTTAATGCGGCGACGAGGTGCGCGAGGCCCATCTCCAAAAGGACTAAGCCCGCCGATGTTGTAGAAAGGTGGGCTAGTCGAGTCGTAGAGGTTGCCCTGTCATCATTTGGTAGTGAGATGAGGAGGGGTAAGGCGACATGCAGAGGTGTCGTGGTGAAACTGCCAGGGTCGGATGGTGGGTGATCTGATGACATAATAGCGCCGATGAACCACCGACGGGAAACAGCGGTGGAGAGGATAGCGCAATCGTGATGAGTATCACAGGTTTGAGGTGGTAGGAGAATTTCGTAAGGCCAGTTATCAATATACTGTTCAGAGGATGCGATGTCTAATAGTTGTTAGTCAATTGATGGGTGGTAGTGATAAATGGAGGAGAGGACTCACTGTCTGAAGACTGTCTCGAGGCTGATAGCGCTGAGCTCTGAATCATCGGGCAGACAATCGATGAGCGGTATTAGGTCTGCGAACTTCTCGCCACCCTTGTATGCTAGCACGGCGGGTACACCGGCGTCCTCGATCTCGGCGTCGTCGTTGTACATCTTGACGAAGCGGACGGTGTCGTTGCGCTTTGCGACCTCGCGCATGACCATCTCAAACTCTTGTGATACGTAGGCTTCTGGCTATGGCATTGTTAGTACAGGCTGTAAGAAGGAAGGGCTGAGTGTATACATACGTGTCTGTTGTAGATGAAGACGACAACGACAGTACCCGACGCCGTCTTATCGACAGCATCGAGATACCCCTCACCATCCACCAACGGCATGCTGCCATATATCCTCCGGCTAGGGCTGTTGGTCCTCGACCGTATCCTTTCGCCAACATTCTGCAGTTCCTTCAACCTGGCCTCACGCCATTGGCGCATGAAGCCCTCGTCGACCTCCTCATCACTGCTCAACGTCTTCTCATCGTGATAGGCACTAACATTGTACTGTGCGGGTGCGGCGTTCTTCTTCCATGTGAATCGTCGTGCTTGCTTCTTGGCCTGCTCAAACGCCTGGGCGTCAGCAATGACACCCTTGGGCCCCGTGTTGGCCTCTGAGCGCATGTTGGGCATGTAGTAATTCGCCCTCATGTCGGCTGGGATGTCGAGCTCGTCGTCGGTATCGATCTTCTCGAGGTAGTCGTCGGCGGCACCAGGGGATTCCGGGTCGGAGATGTCGCTGTCGTTGTGTCGGTCTTCTGGGTGGCGGTCTTCGCGGTCCTTGTCTCGGATCAGTTCGTTGAATTCGTCTTGAGCGGCTGTAGTCATGACGAAAGAAAAAAGAAGAGCGGGACCCGAGGTGACGGGCGCCGGACTGATATATGTGTGGAGAAGGGGGGACGGTCAGCGTCAGCTGTTTGCAGAGTCCGTGTACAGGTCCCGGTGTCTGGTGACGCGTTGGTCTGTGGTGGGCAGAAGGAAAGGGAGTGGTTGCAAGGTTGGGGTCGGTCGTCTGGGATGGTGCTCCGCTAGATGACAGGCCTTGGCGCGCGTGCTTGCAGGGCTATTTTCGAGTACGCGCTGGGGTTTCAGCGTTGCAATTGGACGCGCACGGGAGAATTCCCTCGAGGATTTCAACGTGCGTACGTGGATAACGTGGCCGAGGCGGTACGGTGTTGTAGGGGTGTGCTTGGTAGGTGCTGTTTTAGGGCTGATGCTGACCGGCCGATTGCACGATGCATTAGACGCCCGCACGGGGCCGCATCGCATACCATTGGCGAAGCGCAAAGGCATGTCGGCCTGATGAAACAGGATGCTCGAGTGCGAAACACGCTCACCCGCCTATTCACCGCCCAGTCGAGGGCCGGCGGGTGGCGCGCAATGGCTTGGGGCGCCGCGTGAAAGCCTGACGACTGCTGAAACACCATGCCGAACTATCTTGCTACACGCCTTCTCGACACGTCTGTCGCAGCATCAGCCTGCCCTATCCTCGCTGCTGTTTTGAGGCTACACGTCACAATGACCATACGACTCTGCTAAAGCCCTCATGCGCTCTGGTTGTTTCAATCTCTTCGAGGCACCAACTGTCATGCCACACCAGAGTTCCATGGCACAGCCGACCAAAAGGGGCCGAGGGATCTCTCTTTCGGTCTTGTTTGATATTCTCGTCCCGGCCACATCCCGGATGCGAGTCCCCCGGTGCACATGCAATGTAATCCTTCTGTGCTCGCTTCTAGAAGCATTAATGCCATCCATCGCGTTCCTATTCTCCGATCGACTCCTGCATCGGCTGAAGCGCTTCCTTTTGGCGATTTCAGGGTCCAGTTGCCATGCGGCCTAAGATTGCGGGCATTAGCTGAGGCACGTTAATGCCAAAGACGATGGATGGTTCGACACGTTGATTACTTTTCGAAAATAGATAGACGTTGCATAACCGCCCGGGTGAGAGTAAAGTGCGACGTGGCTCTTGCGTCTTCTGCTCGGTCACTCTTCTGTCATCCATGAAGATCACAACCATATTCTATCAGCCCTGCCCGACGAACGCTTAAAGTACGGTCACGCTACCATCACCGCAATAAGCTCTGATCGCTGATACTCCGGCTTGTCACTGCTTGTCCCGGAGTGACGTCCGGATGGGCAATTGGGGTCCCCTGGGCAACCTAGTCATATGCATAACGGTGTGCGCGCCACTAGATTCGCGAGCGGGTATCATCCCAGGTGGTGCAATCACCTTGGAGCTGTTAATGCCTCGCACAATAGCCTAGGCCAGAATCGCAAAAGTAACTTCTACCGCTGAGAGTGCCGAACAACAGTCGTGACAAGGTCTAGAAGGCACGTTGACGCTGATTCCTTCTTTCACGAGCTGGCCTGGACTGAGCGCGCTCAAACCTTGGAATGCTCGAGACGTTCCAAGGTTCCTTGGAAAAGGCAATATCAAGTCGTCTTATCATCATGCAAAAGCGTTCGATAAACTTAAAAGAGGTATATAGAAACTCGCTGACTACCCATTCATCTTTCACAACCCAATCAAATCGTACACATTGAAAGCCCATGCGCCAGAAAGCCACGATCCGTCCATCCAGTCCCCCACATCCATGGATTCTCCAAAACCATTTGCACGTAGTAGAATCCGAAACATACAGTAATGAAGCTTCCCGTCTTGCACAGCCCCATCTCTTCCCACACAAGTGCAAGTACAATCGGTCGCTTTTAATGATCAGGCAGAACGCAAGGGGAAGACTATGTCGAAGGTTGATGTAGATAGGTGCTACTCATGTACGTAGAACAGCCGGCCCGGACATGAGAACGAGTACGAGTAGTATGCTCGCACCGTCGAGAAAGGAATAGAACAGTGGTATGAAAAGAAAAAGTAGTTTGAGCACAAAAAGATTCCGGGCGCCGGGACATCAGTTGGCACCGTAGCCACATCGACGCTTCCAACAGGTGCGAGTATTATATTCTTAGAGTATGGCAGCGCTCAGTCTCCTGGTTGATAAGATGCAGCAGGGGTATGGTAGGCCAGGAGATGCGGAGATCGCTGTCGTAGGTTGTAGTTTGCCAATATTACGTTAAGGCGCACACGTTCGGATTGGCGTCGTTACATGGCGTCGTGGAAGTTCAGTAGGCTGACGGCACTTATGCCCAAATGCGCAGCTATGCCAAGTCAGTTGTGTGGTACAGAAGGGGGCACAAGAGAACTTACCATTGAGTCCCATGAACCAGTGCATAGACTGAGCGCGTCGTTGCTAACGCCGAGACAGCTGACGCGGTTGTCGTGTCCTTGCAATGTGCCTACGCGTTCGCCGCGGAGTACGTCCCAAACCTGGATATTGTTAGACTGTAGAGCTTGTGGGGGCTGCGCTGACTGCTTACCTTGCACTCGAAGTCGTCGTAACCTGCGAATAGCAGTCTTCCGGAGACGGAGAAGGCTACGGATGTAATACCGCAGACCGGCTCAGGAATCTATCGGCATACATTAGTAATCCAAATGCCAAAAGTGCCAGGGGTGCCATCGAGCGTACCTGGTATGACGCAAGCTCGCGGTCGGCGCGGATGTCGAACAGACGGCAGGAGGCATCGTCGGAACCGGTACCGAAGGCGTTGCCGTTGGGGAAGAATTGGATGGCGTTGATGTCAGAGTCGTGCGCGGCGAAAGTCTGGACGCACTTCTGCTGTCTGATGTCCCAGAGCTTCGCGAAAGCGTCGCAAGCACCGGAGACGAATTGGTTGTGGTCGAGCGGGTTAATGCTCAAGCTCATTACGTCGCCGAGATGGTCGGCGAATTCATGCACCTTGGAGCCAGTCTCCAAATCCCACAACACACAGGTCATGTCACCAGACGATGTGAGAATGCGCTTGTCGGAGATGAATCTGCAGCAACTCAGGTAGCCCGAGTGGCCGGACAGCTCGCGTGCCACACGTGTTGGACCTTCCCGAGCCGACAGATTGTAGATGGAGCAGATGTTATCGAGACCACCACAGGCGACGTAGTTGCCGGACGGGGAGTAGGCGCAGGTCATGACCCAGGACGAGCGCAGAGGGATGGCGTGGACCTTGTTGGTCGTGTAGGCGTCCCAGATGATGAGCTTTCCGTCCTGCGAGGCGGAGACGAGATGTCTGCGGTCGGTGGACCAGTGCATGGCGTAGATTTTAGCCAGATGGCCCTTGAGGGTGCGCTTCGTCTTCATGGTGAGGCGCGGCAGAGCCTCGACACGGTCTCTGGCGACATCGCGAACTGCGCTCTTGTGTTAGCCGTCTACGAGGTTCCGATACGGTGAGCACGCCGGCCGGAAAAAGAACATACGGGTCGTGTCAGCGAGCTCATCCTTCTTGCGCTTTATCCTGTCCTTGAGCGCCTCAGCGTCGCGGCGAGCGAGCTGGATCTTCTGCTGGATCGTTTCTTGGTTCATATCGGCCATGTAAGGGTGATATGCCGTGTGGTGAGGTGCTTGTCGCGAGCGGCGCGAAACGGCGAAGCAGGCGAATCCAGGGGCCTCCTAGGGAGCGCGGCAGCCGGAAGCGAGAGAGAGCGGCGGCAGGAGCGATAGACGGGCAGCAGCAATGGCTAGACGCGCGCAGAGCAGAATCAATTGCTTGCGCAGAGGGAGCGGCGGCTGGCAAACGGTCGTGGGGGCGTGAGGATGGAAGGGTGAGGGCTTGGAGATGAGTGAGGTACAGGAGCGGCCCGGGGTGAGCTTAGCTTGGCCTAGCCGAGCAACGAGCGCTGGAGATCAAAGGGCCTTGGTCCGCCAGTCTGTCGCGAAGATGCCCGCTGCAAACACCTGCCGTGACACGTGAGAGAGTGTGAAGGGCGCGGTAACGTGAGGGAGCCCTGCGTGCTGTCGGGTCCGGTGTTTGCACAGCTGGAGGCGCCAACGTGGTGTTGCTATGCTCTGCTCCTGTCCAGACCTGACGAAGAAGGCGCGCGCTGCAATCTCCTGCAGCACACCTCCTCCTTTGGGGCTGCCGAGGCGACGGACGAATGAGCAGCGAGCAGCCTATAAGGAGTCGGCTAGCACTATGACCCGCGTCCGCCGCTATACCCCCCAGGCCTCCTGTCCTGAAGTCTATTCACCTTACCATTATCGCTTCGAGAACCATCCCCACGCCACCAATACCGCCGTGTTCCCCAGCATGACTGCACTCCCCATCGCGACTGCACACGACCTGCCCGTCGACGCTGCCTTCACCAAGGGCCTGCCTAAGATTGAGGTACGGCTCCAGCCTCCTTGGTCCCTAGTCATCGCGCCAAGGACGCTCAGACTTCCGTTCGCTGCTGGCTAATGACGCGACTCAGCTCCATGCCCACTTGACCGGCAGCATCAGTCGCGACTGCCTGCACGCCATATGGGAGACAAAGAGAGCACGGCATCCTGACTTCGACCTCGCGGATCCCTTGGTCGCTATACCCGCGGGAAAGGTCGATTACGATATCAAAACGTAGGCCGCCTAGCTCGATTTGCTCGTCGTTCGGAATTCTCGCTGTAACACCGGCGTGCCGTTGGGAATACATGGGCCAAGACGATCGAGCAAGCGAGTTCGCGGCCAATATTCCCCTGACAAATGATCGCTACCCACTTGGTCGTCCCAAACAACTGGCTCACCACGCGAACATACTAGCAGACGTCTGACAGCTAGATTAGGTTCTTCCCGCTCTTTTCGTCATATATCTATCGCCTTTGCAGTGATTTGCCGAGCATCCAGTATGTCTGTCGACATGGACGTATATGGTGAGCCGCGGTTGATCAATTTAGGTACTCCACCAGGGCTGTGTTGCAAGACTTCCAGGATGATGGAGTAGTATACGTTGAGCTTCGAACAACCCCAAGAGCGATCCTCGGAGAAGGCGTTACCAAAGATGACTACGTGAAGACCGTTTTGGATATACTCAATGCCCATAACGACGATGCTAATAACACCATGCGAGCTTTCCTCATACTATCAATCGACCGTCGCAACAACATCGCAGATGCGGAAGAAGTCGTCGATCTCGCCATCAAGTATCAGTCCGCCGGCGTTGTCGGTGTCGACCTCTGCGGCGACCCAGCCAAAGGTGACATTCGCATATTCGGCGACAGCTTCGCTCGGGCAAAGGCTGCCGGGCTGAAGATCACGCTGCACTTCGCCGAGAGCGAAGATTCTGCATCGGATCTGGAGTTGCAAACACTCCTGTCCTGGCAACCTGACAGATTGGGTCATGTCATACATGTAAAGGATGAGTTCAGAAAGACCATTGAGCAGCACGGAATCGGCGTTGAGCTGTGCCTCAGCTGTAACGTCCATGCTAAGATGATCACGGGCACTTACTCGGACCATCACTTTGGGACGTGGCGACATAGCAGTGTTCCCGTCGCTCTGAGCGTACGTTCAGCTCTGGAAACTGTGTGTTTCTCGTGACGACTAACGCCCGGCAGACTGATGATGTAGGTGTCTTTTGCAGTCCACTCTCGCAAGAGTACTACCTCGCGGCGCAGCATTTCCACTTGGACCGAAAGGATGTCAGAGCACTTTGCGAGCGAGCCATCGAGTCGATCTTTACGGGTCCAGATGAGCAGGCCCACCTCAAGCGGATCCTCGCGACTTGGGACGGGTGCACCTCATACAACACAGAAAAATAAACAGGTCTAGAGTCTACATCAACGTTAGGTCACCTACTTTGCATGTTTCCATGTTGATGTAGGTTGCAGACCTGTTCAGCCCTTTCCTAGGTTGACGTGGATGGAAGATGTGAATCACCGTTCATGCATCGACCAGTCACTTAATGACAACGTCTAGTCAACGACTCCAATATGACAAAAGGTATACTCTACGTCCTACGCCACAGTCATCGCTGAGTACAAGATCTCGCATCGCGGTTCTCTTCTTCCCACAATCTCTCTTCGATAGACACCATCACGCGAATACCAAACAGCCAACATCATCTCACATCTCTACTATATCTGCATATCATACTTAGTGCCCTGCCATTTTACGGCTATTCCTCTCCCGCCGCTCGTCCTGCAACATGTTCAACGCCGTCAGGAAAGTCGGCTCGTTAGCCATGCCAGTGGTTCGACCGAACGGCCTAATCCTTACGATCTTCTTGATTCTTTCTCTGATCGCAGATGGCGCTGCACAAAGTTCTTCGCAAACGGCTTCGACCGTTTCCCAGGCGGCCTCTGCGGCTTCTCAGGTGGCCTCCGTAGCTTCTCAGGCCAGCTTACAAGCTTCCTCTCAAGTAGGTTCTCAATCACCCTCTCAGACTCTCGCACAAACAAGTTCTCAGGCCTCAGAATCAGCGCTTCCATCAACTGCCGAGCCCATATTCTCCTTTGATGACTCGTGTAAGGCTGAGCATCGAGACATTATTGACAACACGTTCAAAGATGCTATGGAGAATGCCAAGGTCACCGTGGAGAGCCAAACAGCCTATGAGGAAGATACGAGCTTCTTGAATATATATGGTAAAAGAGCAACTGGAAACATTACAGTTGTCAAGAGTGCTTTCCCAGGAGTGCAGCAGCTTCCAACGCCGATTCCGTCGGGGTGCAACTTCGACGGCTCAGTTCCGTGTAACGACCGTACCATATTTCCCGGAATTGCCAAGACAGTAGTTGGCATACAAAAGAGAGACGGCACGCTAAGTCAACAATCGGGGCTTATATTCTGTCGCGAGTTCTTCGAACTTACTCCACTCGACCATAGGGTTCAGATGGCGATTAATTTCCCCTCGAATCTTACGGTTCGATATAATCTAGGATATGTCCATGACAATCAAGGCGAATGATACACACAGTTGCACGGTCTTACAGCTAGATTACTAACGAAAAACAGCTACTACCCTCCTGCGTATGCTATTTCAGTTCCTTCCCATATCGGAGGACCTAGATCGACCCATCTCAGGACCTCTGGGTCAACGTATGGCAACACTACCCTGGTGGAGTAGTCGACACATGGTCAGCCTGCTACGGAATACTCTGCGCCAAGGTTCTGGCTCGACCTGATGATATCTCCAACGACTGGGCATCACTGAACGGCAGGTTTTATCTTTCTCAAGTAGAGCCTTGCCGAGCTGACTTTTCTAGCGGATGACTACGCTCTCTTTGCTTTGTCCAAATACATGGCGCAGACTATTGGCGGCAATTTCCCTTACTTTCCCAAGATCGAGAATGATCCATCTTACGGTGCAGCTGCTGTTCCTTTCAATATTAAAGATGACGTCCCAGTCCAAGTGAAAAACTGGTTTCACTGGCGCGGACTTTCCCAGCCAAACTACGACCCCTCTCTGCTGCAACCCGATAAAACTGACTTCGATATCGAGATTAAGCTTGATCCAGAACGAAAGGCTGTCATCACAAATGCCCCATTCCTAAAAGACGTACCGAACAACTCTGCGAAGGAGAAAGAAGCCTCATGGATCAACGACTTCGTAGAAGCCCACAGTGACCAACTACTTAATAAGGATGCAACATACAACCGTACCTGCTTCGGTGAAGACCAGACCCAGTACTCCAATGCCAAAGAATTCGATGGAGATGAGGCAGTCGGCTTTGCCCAAGAGTTCTGTGAAGACATCATCAAATCTTGAGACGAAACAACCCCGATTCCACCATCTGTGCGAGATACCTCGGACTTCCGTAACGCAAGCAGGGTTTACAAACTCCAGGAAACAAACGCCGGATCGCATCTCGGATTCTTTGCGGTCGCTGATCCCGCATTGTTTATACAAGCTCGAAGTATTAGGTATTTCTTTGAAGGAGCTTCACTGGATGCCAAAGTCGACCACTGTCGCTTGACTTACAATGATATCATACACAACGTAAGACGTCATTGCAATCTTATGAAAATTGTAGTCCAGCTACTGACTAACCCAGTGCGGCGCCGATGCCACCAAAAGACGTGGTGGCGTCCTCAAACTCAACGATCGGCTCTACGGCGTCTATACCACCCCGGATGACCGAGAGAATAATCTTCCCTGGCTCACAAATTACACCCACCTCGATGATCTCCAGTGTGCGAATTACAACGACACAAGCTACTGGCGTATAGCAACATCCATCGAGGGTACATCACCGAGACGGAAAAACTGGAGAGGATCTGCTCGTGCTGGTACTCTACTTATCCGTTCACCTCAGATCTGTTCTGCAAAGGCTCTGCGTCAAAGTGTGGGGATTTGGCGACCGACGACAGAAGGAAAGCGGCGGTTTGGGACAAGTTTGCCTGCTCGTTGTAGGGACTTACGATGTCTTTAGGGTGGCGTCCTGAGCATGAATCATATATTATAGAATGGCTGGGTGCAGTGTACCTATGTGATATCACTCAGAACCCGTCTGTCTCATGTCCGCATGACATCGATGTATAGCTCCTTCCCGTCTCGAACGCCGCGCATTTTAGCGTTGCGCTAGTGGAAATGATGTTCGCTGGCACCGGCCACGTCTGCCCCTCCGTCCATCACCTCTGCACTCGCAGGTACTCACACATCACGTCTCATCAGCCACTTCACAAATGCGGATACAGCAGCATAATATCTTGCCACTCGACTCAACTTCGAACATGGTGCATGCGCCGATGATTTCATCGTACCCGCGTGCACAGCAAATTCACCTCGGCTTGTAGAACGATGGCGCAATACGGGGTCACGCCTGCAGCCACTACGCTTGCAGCCAGGTACCAGCCGTCCTTGATTCAGGCACGACAAACGGCTGGGCATGAGGACGCTACGAGCGGTTGTGGCAATGTGTATGCTATCCCTCATGTATCTAGTCTTCCGAGGTCGCATTGACGGATACTTGCCAAGGCCTCGCGATGATTGGAGGCTTGTACTCTAATACGAGTACCGGCAGCAGGAGTGTGTAGGACCCGCTCGGAGCGACCCTCCCTTCTGATCCTTCGCTACTGCTGCGGATACAGGAACACGGAAAAACAAAGTCCATACAGTATGACCGAACAGCGCCAGCACATGTGTGCGGGAAGTTGTGGTCCTACTTCAGCAGGATTCTAGGTCGATTAGTATCCGACGGGCGGCGCAGGAGCTAACTAAACTTCTTCCACCGCGTATTCACCAATGGTAAAGACCACGAGAATTGATCGCTTAGAAGCAGCTGGACCCTTCCTGATCATTGACGAACCGGCAAAGTTCCCTGACTCACAGGGATTTTCTACGAGTCTAGACACTGTCGCTACGCTCACAAGTTCAACCCCGGGGAGCTGCCAGTGACGATCACCACGATTAGGACGCATATCTACTGGCCATTCACCTGGACTACTACTAAACACCAGAATAGGTGGACTATGCCCTTGCGATTCCCGAGCTCGCCAAGAAGGCAGAACGCCAAACTACCGACGCTACAGGAAAGTCGGCGAATAACGAGAGCCATCGCAAAAGCTCCTATCTGCTAAGCGCCCCTCGATATTAGAAGATAAAGGTCTTGGCTCTTGGCAGCGGGACAAATGATGAATCAGGAAGGTATGGTAAAGAGGTGTGTCTGGCTTCTGCATGAACGGTTATGCCCGTGCGGGGTTATTCCCTAAGGCTGGCACATTATCCGACCAACTCGCTTATCTAACCCTACCGGATCTCTGTCGTATCTCAACCTCCTTCCTGAACGGATTCGCGTACCTGGATAGCGTAGGGGTGCTTGCAGACCGTTAACTTTCGTGTTAAGAGCTGCTACATCGATAGCTCGATGGCTTCGAGGGGCGAATGTCTTGTCAAGTGCCTTTTTGGGTGTAACACCGTGGGGGCAATGTCTTGTGAAGTGCCCTATGGGGTTTACCTTTCCGATACTCTTGAAACGTAGTCCCCCGGGGTAAACATGTCTTGCAGCGGAAGAGGAAGGAGATATTGTGGTTAGCGGTCGATCCAATTTACAGCTCTTGCGAGGTGCCTTTTGTAGACTACCTTTCTGATACTGCAAGCACGTGGAAGCACACCACGTAGCAGATGAGGAAGGAGGCAGTTCGTAGCCGACTATGCGAGCTAGGGCTCTATCCTGCACAGCAATGGACGAGGACATGGTGCAAGTTACGACGCCAGAGGGAAAGGAAGTATAAGTATAGGAGGGTATTCCCGTTCTTTTCAAATCATCACTCTCATCAGTGTCACTCACTCTACTACCTTCGCTCTCGCAACTACAACATCAACGTTCGGTATCTTCACCATGGTTCTCACCAACTTCCTCGCTGCCGTGGCAGTCTTCCTGCCCATCGTCTACGGTGCCCCTACCGCTGCTGCCAACAGCCTGCACCCCGACATCCTCGCTGCCATGAAGCGCGACCTTGGACTTGATGCCGAGCAGGCCCACGCTCGTGTTGCCCGCGAGCTCAAGGCCACCGATGTCATCGAGCAGCTCCGCACCGCCACCGGTGCCTCCTTCGGTGGTGCCTACCTCGTTGACGGTGACCTCACCGTTGCCGTCACCGACGAGGCCTCCGCCTCCGAGGTCGAGGCCGCCGGTGCTAAGCCCCTCCTCGTCTCTGTCCCTCTCTCCAAGCTCGAGGAGGCCAAGGCTGCTCTTGACAACATGGACCTCGAGTCCGCCAAGCGCTCCGAGTCTGGCATCGCCGCCTACTACGTCGACGTTGCCTCCAACAAGCTCGTCCTTGAGGCTCTCGCCGACAGCACCGCCTCCGCTGCCGACCTCGCCAAGAAGGTTGGTCTCACCGACTCCGAGTACGAGGTCAAGACCGTTGCCGCTATGCCCACCGTCCTTGCTACCGTCCGTGGTGGTGACGCCTACTACATCAACCGTGCCGGCCGCTGCTCCGTCGGTTTCTCCGTCACCGGTGGATTCGTCTCCGCCGGCCACTGCGGTACCACTGGCAACACTGCCACCACCAGCGCCGGTGCCACCATCGGTACCTTTGCTGGCTCCAGCTTCCCCGGCAACGACTACTCCTACATCCGCGGCACCTCTGGCAACACGTACCAGGGCCGCATCAACAACTACGCCGGCAGCACCCTCCCCGTCTCCGGCAGCACCGCCTCCGCCACCGGTGCCAGCGTCTGCCGCTCCGGTTCCACCACCGGTGTCTTCTGCGGCACCATCCGTGCTCTCGGCGCCACCGTCTCCTACGCTGAGGGCCGTGTCACTGGCCTTACTCAGACTAACGTCTGCGCCGAGCCCGGTGACTCTGGCGGTTCCTGGTACAGCGGTTCTCAGGCCCAGGGTGTCACTTCCGGTGGCTCTGGTGACTGCTCCAGCGGAGGTGTCACTTACTTCCAGCCTGTCAACGAGATTCTGTCTGCTTACGGTCTTACTCTTGCCCGCGGTTAAACGCTTGGATGTGAGTTTGCTTTTGCCTAGCGATGGATGATGGATTGGATGAGTGGTATGAATGTTTATGAGGGGTTTTATGAGAACTTTGAAGTTGTATATAGTTTGATTGTTGAATTGCAGTTATGATACCAGAAATCTTCGTTTGAACTCTGAGAGTGATGCAGTCATGTTTGAGTGTGACTACTGTCTAGAGCAAGCTGGTCTTTGAGAATCTTCCCCTCACGCATTTTCGCCATTTTTCATCTCTAAATCATTGCACTCAGCTCAGATCATATTTACGCTTCGATTAACTGGCACATCATCTCAAATAATTGGGATTTGACCGCTTGATATTCTAGATCCCTTTTGGCTGTTAGATGTACTTCTCCTCCTACTATTACAGCGAAGTAGATTACAATAAAATTTTACAACCTGTTGTCTCAAAAATCATGCATCATGTTCTACTACCTAATCACATTCACTTCGTTCTTCTGCATATTCCGAATAACACTTGCTTCTCGTTTCTCTCCCCTCTCCCCTCTCCCCTCACGTATCATTTTGTTTTGATTTAGTCGAATGTAATAGAAGAACGAATAAGAAGCACAGCATGCAGTCTGGTTACATCTTTCAAAACTTAGTAATACAAAGAGAACATGTTCGTGTTAAAAGATTCCAGAGGGTAACGTCAAGAGAAAGAGAGAAAATGGATAAGAAGATTCTAGGTTCATGTTCGTTTACTATTGTCTATATCGCCATATCCTTTATCGCCCTTCACTGTACACTATGTATCTATAGATCTCTTATCTATGTACATCTCTACGCTCTACGCTCTACCATTATTAGTTGTTTCATCATAATATTACGACTACCCTCAATATATGTCAGCTCTCAAACCACATGCAAGTAAACGTCAGTAAAACATTAACGCAAACACACAGGTAATCATCCCAAGTCGGAAATTCAACAACATCATCATCATGTCTTCAGAAAAGTGCAATGCCATGTGGACATAGAAAAAGTTTAGTAGTGTAAAAAAGCCAACAGCGAGGGTATTGAATCGAGAAAATTATGGTACAAGCAAACGCGCCGATATGCTCCAAAAGTGCTAAGTAACGTCGTGAAACCAGTAAGATGACGGTCAAGTGACAAGACCGTTGATGAAAAGAAGATGCTGCGTAGGACATATATAAGATACGTATAATACTTCTTTTTACCGCAGCGTCCCTTGTACATCATCAACAGTCCTCTTGAGCACATCCTCTATCCTCCACCTTGGGGGCTTGGGCATCGTCTCCTTGTTGTCATCCGCGGCCTTGCTCATCTCGAGCAGCTCCTCAGGCTCCGCACCCCCAGCTACACCACTGCTGAACTTGAGCTGGAGAAGCTCGCCAACCTGGTCGCAAGCCGTGAGCATACGGTCGAGATCGTCTTTGGTATGCGCAGCGCTGACGCAGAAGCGGGCACGTGATGAGACGAGGGGTGTGGCTGGGTAACCGACGACGACGACGGAGATTTTGCGCTTGAGCATCTCGTGGGAAAAGGCGGGCATCTTAGCGGGGTTGTACAACATGACGGGGATGATAGGGGAGTCGTCGTGGCCGTAGACGATGAAGCCGAGACGCTTGAGACCGAGGCGGAGGTAGCGCGAGTTGAAGCAGAGACGCTGGAGACGCTCTTCACCTTGGCCGGGGACGATGGAACCGTCGATAATACGGAGGGCGGAGGAGATTTGCATGAGGACAGGTGGTGCAGGTGACTCGGCGAAGAGCATGGCGGCGTTGGAGGTGCGGAGCTTGTCGATGATGGGCTTCTCAGCGGCGATGTAACCACCGTTCGCACCGAATGATTTCGTCAATGTGCCCATAAGGATGTCAACTTCCGAGGGGTCGATGCCGAAGTAGTCGCATACACCGCGTCCGCGAGGACCGACACCACCGACGGAGTGGGCTTCGTCGACGAAAAGGTTGAACTTGTACTTGTGCTTCAGGCTGATGATACCGGGGAGGTTGCACATGGTGCCCTCCATGGAGTAGAGACCCTCAACGGCGACCAAGATCTTCTTCCATGGGCGGTGGGTTCGGGGCTGACCTTGCGAGATGGCTTCACGGAGCTTGCGCTCGAGATCGCGCATGTCGTTGTGCTTGAACATTGTGACCATGGCACCGGAGAGACGAGCGCCGAATCGGATGGAAGAGTGGTTGAGTTCGTCAGAGATCATGAGGCAGCCCTTTCCAACAATGGTAGGGAAAGTGGTAGCGTTCGTAACGAAACCCATAGAGAAGACCATTGAAGCTGGCTTGCCGACGAACTTGGCAATGAGATCCTCAACCTCGACGGTGAGGTCCGAAGTACCGCTGTCTGATCGGGGACTGGCCATTGAGATTCCGTATTTCCTGATGGTAGCTTCGGCGGCGTCTGCGCAGGGGCCTTCTGATTGAGCGAATCCGAGGTAGTTGTAGGAGCTCATGTTGAGGGTTTCTGTGGTGGTACCGAGCATCTTGAAGGTGTTGTTGCCGTCGTCTGACTTGCGGTCAAGCACGGTGATGAAGCGTCCAGGCACACCGGTTGTCGGTCGCGAGAAGCAGTCGTTGATGCGCATCTTCAGCCGCCTCGTGTAGAAGTTGTCAAAGTCGCTGTTGAGGGGCGCATATCCGTCCTTCTCCTGCAGATGGCTGTAGTGTTGTTTCCTGAAGCGCTTGCCGAAGAAGTCGCGAACATGTCCGAATACTATTAGGATTAAGTAGCTGATGTATGTGGTGAAAAGGAAATAATATGGCGGCTCGTCCTCGATGGGGTCGCCGAACTCGCCCTCGAATTTGCTGAGGTAGCGGTGCTTCTGGGAGCCAAGGGGACCGAATTGTGCGTGTGCTCGTGCGAGGCGGCGCTGCTCCTCTGGTGAAGGCGGCTGGAAGAGTGTCTTGGGCTCGGTGGGCATCTTCTCACCGGTCGCGGTAGTCAGATTGATGGTCGGGAGCGAGATTTGCGAGGGCGAGGGGTTGTTGAGCAGCGCCTGTTGCTGTGCGACGAATGCCTCACGCAGGAGAGCGGCGTCGGTCCGTGATTTGGGAGAGCCACCGAAGAGGGAGGTGAACTTGTTGCCTTTTGCGAAGGATTGTCGACGCGCTGACTCGCGCTTCTCGGTGGAGGGATCGAGGGGGGGAGTAGGGGCGGTGGATGCGAACGGGTTGATGCTTCGAACAGGCATTGCAGCAATTGCTCTCGGACGGCGGTATTAGAGTAGGCAGGACAGACGGAGGGAGGTGTAGGCTCGAGTATCGTCCCAAGTCGGAGCTGGCGGTGAAGAATGCAGGAGGTCGTGGGAGGAGCTAGACGGGAAAGGGATCAGCAGGCGACTCGAGGAAGAATTGGCGGCGCTGCGTGAGGATGTCGGCGAGCGAGAGCTGGGAGTGCGGTGGGTGGGAGGGAGGGAGTCTTAGTACTACTGACGCGCTCATGCACCCGGAGCATGGACAAAGCCGGGGAGCGGCAGTACCGGATAGCGTGCAGGAGATGGACGAAAGCTGGGAAGGAAATTGAAGGATGGGATTGGGCAGGCGCAGCGGGAGGCCGCGGACGCTTGGAGGAATTGGACCTACGTGGTGCGAGCGGTGCAGTGAACAGAGGCTTGAAGCTGCACGTCAGGCTGATGTACCGGTACGTGGATGGGCTGTCGCAACGCTTTTCGTGTTCCTGAGTGGCGCGGCCGTTTGCTACGAACCACCAAGCTTCTGCGCCGCCGGTCGTGACGTAGAGATGCCGTGAAAGTCCTGGGACGATCAACACCAACAGGCAAGTAATGAGCGACAAGATGTGGGTGTGGTGCGAGAGAAGAAAAGCCGTGGGTCGCGTGCAGCTGGCGGTTCACTTATCAGCGTCGAGGGCAAGGGGTGGTGCAGTCGACACGCAGTGGCCTGCTGGTTGGCCCAACGAAACGTGAAATGAGCAGCCCCATTGTCCCGTTCGGCACCACGCCGCTTGGGGCACAACGTCAGGGGAACTCGATGCCGATCGCTGCCACTTCGCCCTCAAATCGCCCTCCTCGCCTGCCGGACATCGCAAGCCTTGCCAGACTAGACCCGTACCTCGTCCGAGCCTGAAGAGCCTTGCAACTCGGGCCATTCTCGCCAGGGCCCAGAGCTTGTCTTCGATGAGCCTGCGCGCCTGCGATGCCAATGAGACTCGCCGCACGTCATCGACTACAACAGATTTCTTGACCCAGTTCTTGAGCAACGTTCGGTCTGACAAGCCTGACATAATCACCGCATGCTCTGTCATCCACGCATCGCTGTTTGCTTTCTGCTGTCAGCCACGACGTGCTCGCCCACCCGCTTGGCATGCTGTAAGCGTCGCGGGACTCACACCACCACGCATAGTCGACGATCTTATTGCAGTGCTATTTCCTTTTCCGGCTTCGGCTCCAACTTCGACTAGCATACAAGCACATGCGGCCACATATTTGAAGACGTCGTGCCGCTGTTGCGCAGCAGTCACCACGCGACAATTACACTCCTTACAAAACGCATGTGTAGCATGAAATAACATGATACAGCCTTACAGCAGATGATTGGCCCACCCGATTTTGTAATCATCCTGTGGAGGTTCAACGGGCTGGCCCGAGACCACGCTCATTAATGCGCTGTCAAATGGGCTGTGTAGCCCTTCCTAGTGCGAGGATTCGCTGTAAAATTACGATGGACTTTCATCTCGCAACCGGGGATACGAGACAACCTGTCCATCGTAATTTCACTCTGCTATAACATGGCACTTCCCCGCTGCCTGACAGCTCTACACAACATCGCATAGCACATTACTGGCACCATCCCAGGTCGGTTCAAATAATGTAATGTATTTGTTTACTGATCTCGAAGAACAGCTGTTTACCGGAGACCCCTTTGGAAGCTACATACTCAAGCACGCGCAGCGGCTCTGTAATCCACAACAACCCCCGCAGCTCAAGATCTCCTTAAAATGGCAATCCCTCCATCTGCCAGTCGAGCCCGACAAGGAAAAATTCCGAGATGCACGCAACATATGAAACAATGGCTAGCTCGCAACAGAAAAAGAAGAGATGATAGACAATGAAAAAACAATCCAAAAAGAAAAAAGACGACCAGCATATGCTGCTGACGTCTGCCAACACCAGCGCAGGTTCCACCAGTCCGCCATTTCTCTGTATAGTTCCAAGCCTACCCAATCCTGAGCAACGCCGTGTTCAATAACCAGTCCCTGTATGGTGGTCGTTCAACCTGCGTTACGAAGAGTAGTGATGGAAAGTAGTAGAAGGGTGGCTTCCTACAAGCGACGGGAAAACCCCATGGCTTTGTAGTTCCAAGGATTTGAGACCAATATGTGAGAGACGACGACCACATTAAGTATGAGCGATGATGGAGAGCAAGAGTTGCAACCGCCCTGCCACTGTTCCAAGCGGCAGGGCGTACGCACCAAGCTTCCTCGTAAGAAAGCAACCGCGACCGGGTATAAGAGCACGCAAAAGAATAATTGACAAACAGACGGTAGTATGCGAGCTGCTCATTGCATCTGGTGATGCTCCGGTGACATGCTTGAAGGGTCTAACGAGCCGAATGACACCAGGTTCTGCATGTCCAAGTCGTCGACGTTGTCGTCCATCAACGGTGACCGAAACGGCATGTTGAGATTCTGCTTGGCGTACATGTCTGTCATCTGTAGCGCCTCGTCGGACATGCCGTTGTCATGCGACATTGGGTACACATCGTTGTGGTTGTCACGACCGAAAGATCCCAGTGGTGGTGACTGGTTAGCGATGATAGGGTCAGGGTGGTTCATCGCCGGCATAGGCGAGTGGTGAGATGCAGAAGGTGGCGGGCCCATTGGTGTATGTACATAGGGGGGGATGTTGTACTGGCCATAGTTGGATGCCGGGATGTTGTCATTTGACGGACCCGATGTGAAAAAGGAAGGCGTGCCGTACTCCGAAGGCGAGTTGGCGGTAGTGGCGGACATGGGGTACTGTCGGTAGTCCATGCCGTACCCTGCAGAAGTGTCGATGCTCAGGTGAGGACCAATGGGGCCTGCACTCTGGGGCGTCGGCGCAAAGATCTCAGGGTTAGGAACATACGGCGACGGCTCTTGTTGGATCAAGAAAGATGGCATCGGGTTGCGAAGCATAGAGAAGTCCATCGCAACAGGCACTGAACGACTTCGCTGGCGCTTGTGACCACGCGGTTGGAAGGGTTGAGGTGCAAGATGCGTCTCCTGAAACATGCCCATGTGATGCGGGTGCTGGAGGTGGTTTGGTTGGGACGCGGGCCGGTGGTTGATGGGCGAGACCGGTGCCGAGACGGCGAATGTGTTTGGGTCGAACATGTTGTGTCGGTTCTGAAACGACTCCAGTGAGACAAGTTTCGCCAACTGACCGCTCAACACCTTCGGGTGACCACCCAAGTGGTGCAACATAATGTTTGATGCTTGCTGGTCCTCGGTAAAGTCGCCGCATTGGAAAAATCCTCCGGAGCCGGAGGAGTCCATGAAGAAGTTCGGCGGGCGGTTGAGTTCGACAATCAAACCGCCGGGACGTTGTGAAGCGCCTTCGGCGATTGCGGTCATGTCGCCGTTCTCGAGTGAAATGTTTTTGATGTATGAGAATGGGTACTCAATCTTGTATCCCGCAGAGTCGTTGTTGATGTAGTAGGTGATGCAGCACTTCTCGGGTGAGTAGAATACCACCAGGTCCATGGCGCTTTGTCCAACTCGTCTCCAGTTCCCGATGCTGAGGGAGCGGCAAGCAAAGTGGTGGATGACAACCTTGGAGTTGTTGGCGTCGGTGTTGAGGAGCATGCCACTTCCGTATGGCATACCGCCTGCGCGTCCCAGGAAACTAGTGCCGATTGACTTGCCTGACTCCATGGCTTGGAGGGCAAGGTATCGTCGCATGGACTCTGGAATATCATTGCAGTCATCACCGTTCTCGATGCTCTTCTTGGCAATGTTCTTGATCTTGGCACGTCTACGCGATTGTCAGTACTGCGCACAAGCATCACACTGCTCGTTTTTCCTACCTATTCTGGAACCAGATCTGGACTGAGCGCTCGGTCATGTTGATTTCCGAGGCAATTCTTTCGCGGGTAGCAGCAGTGGGCGTGGGGTTCTTATTGAACTCAACTTCGAGTGTCACCAGTTGGTCTTGAGTAGCCCTCTGTCTCTTCTGGTTGCGCTGCTGCTGGGTGAGGGTGCTCTTGCGCGGGGGTCGGCGTGGGGCAGAGCCCTGTGTCGGGGTGGAGGATGACGCCGGTGGAGATGGCGTGGGCGAGACCATTGCGTCGTCGTTTGACTGCATATTGGGTGGTAGGGGTGATCGGAGCGCGAGAGTTGGACTCGATTCGAAGCGGGGTCGGAGATATAGAGGGAGCAATCGAGCTGACACCTCTGTCTATCTTGGTTCGTAAAGTGTCGTGAAGTAATGGTCCAAGCAATGGAGGTGGGTGAAGATAGTGGAGCTATGCGAAGCTGGTAAGAGTTCAATGTCACGGGAGAAGGAATCCGCGTGTGAGAAGCTCGAGACACCGTCCAGGCGCGTGTGAGAAGGGTCAAGGGTGAAGGAAGCTGCTGGCCGGGGAGCAGATGGATCGTCCGAAAGCGAGTCCAAGTCGACAAGAGTGAAGGAAGAGGTGCTAAGGAGCGGACAGACAAAGCCTAAAGGAGGGTTGTGAAGAAAGGAACGTGGGCAAAGGCCGAAAGGAGTGGCGGCACTTCGCAGAAGTCGACAGAGAAAGAGAAAGATGTAGGTACCACACCGACAGCAAAGGTGACGATAGGAATCCGGATAGAGGAGCAGGGCCTTAGATGTAAATGAGCGACCGTGGTTGGGAAAGGGGAGATTAAGGGAAGGGGCATTGAAGCCGGGGGGAAGGTGCGCGCCGGCTAGCTTAGGCTGGGCAGGGCGCTAGCTGGCCAGAGAGACGGTTTTAGCCCAACGGCACCACCGCTCGACGCCCGCCCTGGAGGCGCGAGACCAGTGGTGACGCACCAAAACGCTTATGTTCTGAAGCAAACCATGCTCGTCGCAACACTCTGACCGGATGTTCCTCCGCTCTACACCACGACACAACAGCCACAGCATCCGTCGGTGCGCGTGCGGCGTGCTCTCTGCCCGCCTGCACGCGCTGCCCGCAATAGCTCCGATCAGGGGGACTACTGCGAGGTACCTCGGAGTCGCGCCACTAGAGACGTGACAGCAAGGGTCGACCGACAGGCTCTGTTCCAAGACTCAGGAGGCCGCCGCCTATAGGGCAATCCTTGCCGCGAGGCTGGCCGCGACAACAAACTCGCATCGCGATACCTGTCAGAACAGCACGCATGAATGGTGCTCGTTTATCAAAAAAAAAAGGCCGCGAAGCTGTCATCCTCATGGTCCGCTTTAGCGTGTTCTGACAGGCCAAACGACGCGCGAGCATGAGGCGCTACGGTTGTCGTGTTTGAGGAGCCCTGCGTCTTCGAGCGCTCACTACGGCAACCATCGGGCAAGGCACACCAGAGCGTGATTGTGAGCCAGAGCGTGACTGTGAGCGTGAGCGTGAAAGCGCACAGGCAGGGCGTTCAAGGTATTCCTGGCACGCGTCAGTGTCTGTCGCACCTGGCCTGCATCGCCGTACGCGCCCGCATTCTTGGTGCTGACACTCTGCGGCAGAGGACCCATTCCGGTATCGTGAAGACTTGATTGCGAGCCTCGTGCGGATCGCTCGGGTAAGCCGAGCATGAGAAAAGATCCTGACGAGCATCGGCGCCCGTGCCGTCTAATCGCACCCATCCTGACACGCTCGTCGCTCGGTCAAAAAGCCACGGGATCGAGATTGTTCACATTTGGCAAGCCGCAATAGTTCGTTGATCTTGAGAGTGCCGACTCAGCTTAGCTCGTCGCCCGTCTTGTCGCCCTACAGCTGTCAATCTATAGTACCGATCGCTTCCCTGCACCATTAATTGCAAGGCTTACGCCAGGCACGGCGGTGTGAATGGTGGACGCGTCGGCAAGCGAGTGACAACAACCACCAACCCGGAAACTGACTCCCACCAACAACATCATGGCCCGCGCCGAGCGCGGCCTCGACCGGATCTGCAGACCACTTGCACCCACAACTTGCGGAAGTCCATCATCCGTCTCTGCGTGCTCAACCACCGTTCGCCTTCAAGAATGTCAAGTGTAACAGAATGTTGCGAATCGTGCTACTGCATTGAAAACAAGTCCAAACAGCACCGAAGCAGTGTGACGAGCAGCGTTCATCCCCATACTTTGTTTCAGCGTTACACCGCTCGGGACCAGACTACGCCATCATGCACACTTCGCTACTTACTCGAGTCCTAGCCTGCAATATATGTCGTGTGCAGAAAACACATGGTCGCCCTCGCATGGATACTGTAAGGCTCTCACGGCCCTCGTTTGCGTCCCACTGTTTGACGCCATCGTCTTCTAGAAACATTTCTTGATGCCCTGACCATGTGCGGGAGACGCGTTTCTAGAACAACCGCTGACGAACAGTACAGTGGTCGACGACCCTGGGCTGGGTCGGTTGAGTCAGTTCGGCAGTCGATCCGATGTGCATCCTTCCTTCGCAAACGGTATACTTTATCCTTCTACCGATCGGGATATTGCCGTCTGTGCGTGTTATCGTTCATGAAGAGTACTGCAGCTCAACACCCACAGAACGGACCATCTGCTCTCTCTTCTTCAGGTCCAGACTCGCACCAAGAGTGAATAGCAGCTCCTTGATTCTGCCCTCCCACAATACTCCGATATGCCAATCCTGATCAACTCTAGCCTTGAGCACGCCGGATACATCGTCGTCTGCGGAAGTTGTTGGGCGTTTCCAGTCTGGACGCAACTTCTTGACCGCCCAATCTACGTCGGTCGTGCTGCGTAGACGCCAGAGTTCACACCCGAGCTGCAGCTCACTTTCATAGGAGTAGAAGTTGAAGTCGAAGCGGGAAGACAGGGCCAAGTTGGAGCCAGCCTTGACAGCATACGTGGAAGAAAGATTTCCCATCAACGGGTTGAGCGTGAGCGTCATGGTATACGGGAAGCCCGTATGGTTGGGTAGGGTAGCGAACCTCACCCCTGTGCTGATTCCCCCGCTCTTGTTGAGTATGCCATAGTACAGCTCTGCGCCTGCGCTGAAGCGACCATGCACAGGGTCCACCTGCTCTGCAGCGACGGGTTCTGCGGGCGCAACTCTGGGGCCTGGACCAAAGTTGTAAAGACCCCGGACGCCCATCAACGCCGAGTCTGTGCTGTACATATATTCCGTGCTGTATTTGCCAAAGTCATTTTGCAGTAGCGTCAGGATCGTGCCGCCGTTGTTGAGATTGGAATCGCTCACGGCGGCGATCCTCAGCTGTCGTGTAGGGGTGAGGCGGCGGAGGTACAGGGCTTCGAGCCTCTGCTGTGGTAGGAATATGCGTCCATACAACAGGGTGTCTGTCTCGACTCAGCGGGGGTACGGGAAGGCAGTGTCATCCTGCTCACTCTTGCGGTCTATCCGTCGGCCTGCATGCCAAACCTCCCACGACCACTTCTCGTCTGGTCTCCGCAACTCTTGCACATGCTTGTAGCCTCGTATCACGTTATGGAGATCGATGTGGGACGTCCTAAAGTCCTTCCGTAGTGGCAGCGACGAGTACAGGTAGGATACTGAGCCGTCGACTACCCCCACACTGCCTAGGGTGTACGATGTTGCGAAATTGGGGGCGGCGAGAGAGGAGATTTGCATGCGCAGCCCACGGGGTATGTCAAAGTCGAGCAATGCTGTCACCTCAAGTCAGTATCCAATCCACAACGCGACATCCAGTGTGACGTACCTCGTGCCGACGCGTTCAGTGCGCCATAGGAATTGTCGACGTTCCAGCCCGATGCCTCGTAGAATGCATGCTGCACGCTATCCATGAAATCCAACATCGCTATGTTATCGATTGATCATCTCGAGCGGACTGGGGTGAGGTTGAGTGCTTAGGCATTTGGGATTGTAAGAGCGACATCTGGATCCACAGCGGAGCAGCCGCGGTTGCACCAATCGGGGGTTCGCCAAAATCCCCGCTCAATTTTTTGGAAGTCGCGACCGCAACTTCGAACTTTTTCCTGAGCGCAACCACCAACCACAACAATCCCGAAATACCGCCACCATGCCTAAATCTAAGCGCCAGAAGGTCGTACATCTTACCAAGACGGACAAGAAGGGCAAGGAGCTATCTTTGAAGCTCTTTGCCAATGTCCAGGAAGCGGCGGATAACTTTGAGCACATCTTTGTCTTCGCTGTAGAGAACATGCGCAACTCGTACCTGAAGGAAGTCCGTCAGGAGTTCGCCGACAGCCGGTATGTCTACGGGAGCGATTTCACCCAATGCGCGCACAGCTAACGAAGGCGCAGATTCTTCTTCGGAAAGACCAAAGTCATGGCGAAAGCGCTTGGCCAAACCCCAGCAGAAGAGCACCTCTCGAACCTCTCTGAGCTCACCAAGCACCTCAACGGCAATGTCGGACTCTTTTTTACCAACCGCGAGCCCAGCGAGGTCATTGAGTACTTTGCCAACTACTCGCAAACCGACTTTGCGCGCGCCGGTGTTGTCGCTACACAGACCTTCACAGTACCCGCTGGTGTAGTCCACTCAAGAGGCGGAGAGATTCCCGAGGAGGAGGATGTGCCGCTGCCGCACAGCATGGAGACTACCATCAGGAAATGGGGCATGCCAACGAGGCTCGACAAGGGCAAAATTATCTTGGATGTGCCGTACACCATCGCGGAGGAGGGCAAGGTTATGAACAGCCATCAGACAGCGCTGCTGAAGATGTTCGGCGTGGCCATGGCAGACTTCAAGATCGATCTCAAGGCCTACTACACCAAGGCGACTGAGCAGGTGACAGAGGTTGGTGCTATGGAGGAGTAAGAACAAGCGAGATCAGCGTAGTTCACTTGCATTATGACGGCGTTCCTTAGGCGTTCGGTTTGACCAGGGAAAAGTATGCTAGATGACTTTGACGGAAAGCTCGAGTCAACCCACGAGCACATCACAATATACCCTATTATGTTGGTCTTGAAACCTCACTGGACCTCTGCGCAACTAAATACCATGGCATACCGTGTTTGTTTTCCATTTGCCTGGTCTCTACTATGAAGATATTAAAACCTGCTACAGCATCGCTAATCCAGCTAAAAGTCCTCCTACAATAGCTCCAAATGCCTCTGGGTAATTCGCGACACCCGCACCCGTCTCGGCCGGAACCGACGCACTTGGCGAAGTCTCGTCCGCTGTAGGAGTCGCCGTGCGCGAAGTCCTGACCGATGTGAACGAGTGTGTCGACGAATGCGTCGAGGTATGCGATGTTGTAGAGTTGCGCGACAGCGTTGAAGTCGAGAGCGTGGAGTTGGCCATAGCGCTGCTAGACAGGGAGATCGTAGCTGAGCTGCCGGAGGGTGTGAGAGTCGGTAAGTTTGAAAGTACCGGAGCGGACTCGGTGACGGAGGGATAGACAATCGTGCTAGGGCCAAAGAAAGGCGCGGTGTCCGGGTCGAACATTGGGCCGGTATCTACATCGGATGCTTGATTAGAGTTGAGATTCCAGGCATACTACATGCAAAACTATTGCCCTCGACCAAACTTACAGCTTGAGGTTGAGGCGTCTTGCGCAAGCGCGGCGACTACCAGGCCAAACAAGGCAACGACCACCTTCATACTTTCTTTCTTGCTACCCAATTTGTCGCGTTGTAATGCACTAGTAACGGCAGTCGGCAGTCGTGAAACTCAACAGTAATGCTTGCGGAACCTCGAACGTGTAATGACGAAGATAGTAAAATGTATTAGGAAAGAGCGAAAGAGTCAAAGTAAGGATCGACCGACGACTACAAACGCGATAGAAAGTGAAGCCCAGCACGCGCGCGCATCACGTAGGACAGAAAACTGGTTCACAAGGACTTTTAATCCCCATTCACTTACCCTGCCCCGTCAGCCTGTTCTGGCCCTCTGCCCCTAAAGAGAAAGGATCTCGTAAAGAACAAGCATATCAATACTCTCCCGCAACCCGCCCAATGACGGCCGCCCAGTCAGCGTGCCCAGAAGGCATGGTCATCTCCGTGGGGCTAGACGTGTTTCGGATGGGGGCTCGTGTTCTCGTGTCTACATGGCTGCGAGCCCGAAAGTTAGTGGCGCCTAGTCCTATTGCCGCCTCTGTGCGATGCGAGACGGCGCGGTGAATCTATGGATTGGATTTTGGTGAGCTAGAGGGTAGGAAACGAGCAGCTGATGCTTGCGATGGGGGCTTGCTTTTTTTAGGTGAAGTCGATGGATGGCTTTGTGAATGGATGCTAGTGAGCGTTGGAGGCGCGCATGAGTGGAGATACCCCACATGGCGCCCCTGATGGCTTGGCAGGTACAAGCGGGCAGGCAAGCGATCCGTGGATGTGAGGACGCGTGCATGACGTGCTTCTTTTTCTGAGCCTGTAGCACCACCGCGGAGCCTGAGACCGCTATCACAAAACTGACTCTGGCATACGAAATGACCCCGCGGATCGTTAGATCTGGACTCTGTTCCACAAAACACAATAGGCCTTGCGTGGCCACTGTGGCTGCGGTGTCGCAAACCAGATGGTTTGTCTAGGCATCAACACTTCATCTGCTCTGGAACATTTGTCTTGATTTCACTCTCATGTCTTGCATGGAGTCTAACATCAAGTTGCTTGCTAACAATGAAATTGTCTCGGTGCTCAGCACATATAATGCAGCATCTATGTACAGACTGTAGCGGTACACAGCCAGAAGCGAACATTACCTGACCAGAACTTACAATGAACCATCAGATCGGGAACAGCCCGCTTGGGGGCCTCGGTATGATGGCAGCCCGTCCCATCGAGCGAGGCGAGCTCATACATACGGAAACAGCCTTGGTCTTTTGCGATACCGGCTATTTACAAAGCCGATGGTTGCTACCAGGTACTGCCAACACATTTTTTGCTGCTCAGCGCACAGCACCGATTTCTGTATTGCACTCAGCTGTGGCCCAACTCGAAGCAGCGCAGCAAGGAGTATTTCGTGCCCTGGGCCCACAACCAGGTTATGACAACACACGGGACCGAATTGTTCGTCGTTTCGAACACAATGCGTACGACTTCAATCGTGTCAACAACCCTCGCCGGATACACGTCGTGGTGTACGAGACCTTTAGCCGTATCAACCATTCCTGTGTTCCGAACGCTGCTCTTGAGATCTGGCCAAGGCGTACCCAGTTTCCAGAAGGCCAGGCCAGACTGATAGCAACCAGAGCCATTCCAGCAGGAGACGAGATCTTCGTGAACTACATGCCAAACCATTGGATGGATCACCATCAAACAAGAGTAGCAGCTTTGAACAACCATTGGGGATTTCGTTGTACCTGCGTTGGGTGTACGTCCCCGTTCATACCTATGGATACGTCTGCCCGTAATCTGGCAGTCAGCTGTCACGCCGCAATCGGAGCCATGACAGCTACAGTGACCGAGGAGCAGAAGACTAGCAGTATCATGCACATAGAGACCTACATCAAAACCCTTGTTTCACTGGGTATATGGGACGACAAATTATCTTTCGCGTAAGCTGGAGCATTGAACTTTCATGTCAATATCGCTAACAGTATCGAAACACAGTTGTCTAGAGCTCGCTCGACTCCACTTTGGCAAGTAGGATTACTTGAAGGCGGCGGCATCCGCATTTGCTGGTTCAATGGTTGAGAAGAATTTATATTCTCCAGATCTTACTCCACAGCTGAGTGCGTTGTTCTTACAGTGTCATCAGCGCGACGAAAGGTCGCGTAATGAGTATAACAAGTCTGCGATAGGTCCTTATCCGCTGACATAGCGCATTCGTTCTTGTATTCCGTCTATGTAGTGTATATACCATCTTGCTTTTCACATATCGAATCGTTGTGTTCCTTCCCATACAATGAGTAGGTCAATGGTTCTTTTTCATTCCCAAATTCCGTATGTGCCTTCAAACTAGCAAACTCTCGCTGCTGATAGGATACAAAGGTTGACCTGACTTTCCCCCACCAACTTCTTACATCACCCATATCGATCAAGGTTACCGACTTCAGGACAGTCATGGCAGCAGATCATCCCCAGGTACGAGTACAGTACTGCGAGGCTGTGAAGAGGCTGATATAGGGTTAACCTCCTTTCACTTTACGTGTCTAGCTATTAAGCTATCTGCTACTAAGTGGCTCTATAAGAGTCCATCTGTTCTAGAAACTCTGCCCAAAGCCTGCTCTCTCTTGGATTCTTTCCTGTTTCCCAAGCCTCGTCAACTTCTAGCTGAGTCATCCAGCCTCGCTCTAATTCTCTTTGTCTTTGCCCATCTTCTTCGTTCCAGTCTTTTGAAAGTTCCTTATATAGCTTGTCTATCTGCTCCAGCTCCTTCTCTAAAGTAGTTGCTTTTTCTGCAAAAGCAACCTTCAGCTTATCTGGCAAGATGTCCATTTGTCGTCCTGTTCTCCACTCTTGCGCATGCCAGACTATGGCATGGATTGTCCATTCCCCTGCTCTTGCAAAGCGTGCGCTGCAGCTAGGGAATGGGCAAAAGAAAGGATCATCTTTTGTACCGTCAAAATAGTGCCGATCGATCGCTTCAATTATAAGAGGCCAGAGGGCGTTTCGTTTAAGCAACACGCTTGTGCACCTATGTCCAAGTGCTTTAAATTCCCCAACGGGCCCATCCAATCGCTTTGTTGGCATTAGTACCGTTACAGGAAGCCTGTTTAACCGAGTTCCTGCCCATCCGCCGTCCGCTGTAGCCTGGTAAAGCGACCGGTACCATCTCTCAGCAGCTGGCATTACGCCAGAGTTAACGGCAAAAGGCACTTGCTCTAGGATTAGAGCAGAAATTTCGAGTCCTGGAGGGCAGGATGAGATTAACATACGCACTGGCTGCGCAACAGGGTAAGTGTCTTGCCAACACGGAGGTGTTGTCCAGTTCTGGTTAATTATCACCCTTGTTGCATTTGGAAATCTTTGCGTGAAGCTTCTCCAGAAAGTGGTTATTAGATCATATCGGACCAGGACCGCTCCGTCTTCTTGAGGACATATAGCATCGTCGTTTCTAGGAAGGTACTTGATCTCGACTTGCTGCACATGTTTTAGGAAAGCTAGGTCGTAGCATGTGTAGCCAGGGTAGCCTCCATCTAGCAGCCAGTCTGCTTTGACCAGAAAAAATCGGGTTGGATCTGCCCAAAAGAGCTTTGATGCTTCTACGCGGAGGGTAGAAGACACATGCATGAGCTGGAAGAGGGTATCCGCTGAGCAGAAAGCAAGTATGCGGACCTGGAGCTCAGCTGGAAGCGTACAGAAACGCGAGAGCAGGTTGGGTTTTTTCTGGCCGCAGAATACAACAGGGCTACGACGGACGTAGAGGTGAAATGGTATGCGCCTCTCCCACTGCATTGTTGTATGGAGGTCCCAATCCAATGTAGTTTTCCACGGAGGGTAGGATAGCGTAGCCGCTAAATTACAGACAAATTTTGGAAGCATTCTCTACTGAAATTAGTACAGTGCACCTATACTAAGTGTAGTGTCCAGTGTTAGAAATGAGCAGGACTATGAGAGGCAGCTGTAGAGATAGCTGTTAACTGCCTTTTCGTAGCCGCTGAGTGATTGTAGGTGGTAAGGCAGACTTTGTGTTTAGCGCAGCCAGCCTACTGGTAGCGAAGCGCGCGCCAGTGCTAGCGTGAAACCTGTGCCTTGTTGCTTATAGTAGCAAACTTGTTACACCTCTTTCGGGGCGAAGCATCAAGCTACAGCGTACCTAATACTTAATAGCTAGTACATGTTAAGATTCTGTTCCTGTTGTCTTGCCTCTTATTACTTTCGGTCTATAGCAGAATAACAAGGAATAGTAAGCATGTTAGCCTTTGTTATAGGAAGATAACAGCAACTGTCTGTGCTTTTTATGTACATTCTCTAAGCGACTCTCTAGCCGCTGGAGAATCTACTTTGAGGGACACGCCTCCACTAGTATGCTTCAGGAGGCGCCTTAGCTCTGTCTATGCTACTCTAGACTCTACGCAATTCTTTCGTTTTACTGGACGAACTGGGCGTACGCGACGAGTTGCTATCATACGCGAAAGTATTCGGGCCCAATTATGCTCTTGACGTTATTCTAACTTATCCCATCCAGATACTTTATGCTCGCGCACAACCACTTTGAGCAGGGAAAGTACAAAGAAGCAGCGCATCATGCTCGAAATGGTCTTCTCGTTGAACAGCACTTCTATGCAAGGAGATATCTTGGCCGATTACTCCACGTGTATGGTAAATGTGTTGTCAAGGATAGCAGCATTCATGCTGAGAATGAAGAAAGCTAAGAAATGTACTCATACCTTCCTAGCTGGATCAGGGCTAGTGGACTTGGTTCACACAGTACCAAACTGTCATGCTGGAGAAGATGTAACCAATGCGGGTATGCGATATAGGTTGAGATAGTATATCCAAAATGCCCACCCCAAATATAATCATGACACTGTGATGTACCCTCACAGATCCCTGAGCCCAAAGCGAAGAGTTGAGTAGAAGTAGCAAATCTGCCAGAACGTATCGTCGAAAGGATGACACGCACATAGGCAAATTGATAGTGTTGAGAAGAGGAGCAAGAAAGCAGAGCATGTGTATCGCCTAGTACCTATCATAACCTCCACGTCGCCCATTCAACGGCATCCTAGCATGCCACTCATCGTCTTCATACTGGAAGGCCGAGTCTCTCCTGCCCATCATGTTCGAGTGTCGGGCCGATCGCTCTTTCTTGTCTTGAATGTGCTCAAGAGCCGCATGGATGTCATTGAGTGCGTATCGCGCATCCAGTTCGTCTTGATCTCCAATCGCGCGTGGTTGGGGGTAGCTATAGCCTGGCTCGTGCCTATCTGCGAGGTATGACGAGGCGCGCACTGGTTTAGGTGGGAAGTGTGACTGCGCAAACGGATTATGCATGTTGGGTGGGTTGGGAAGGGTAGCACGGCGATTTGGTAGGCTTGGACGAGTAGTGTGAACTGGGTAGTCATCGAAGTATGACTCTGGCTCGTGCGTGTGTGCGCGTGGGCTTTGGGGGTGTGGGTAGTCGTCTATTGTCTCCTTGTGGTATCTAACCTTTTGTACCCGACGATGGTCAACATCCTCGTCGTAGATGTGGCTGGGGTGCGGTTGGCTGAACGGGTTTGGTGACTTTCTTCCGTAAGAGACTTTCTGACGACGATGAACGTGCGTGAAAGAAGGGCGGCGGCGTAAAGGAGTGTCAAAGATACCGTCATCTGCTGTGTGAACAGATGTAGTGTTCATAGACTCGGTGCCGCTTCCACGCTCTGACGACGAGTAGGAGGTCTCCCTAGCCATACCATGCGAGGTGTAGTACTTTCCAGATTTCTTCTTCTTCTCGTTGAAGAGGCCAACTGGTGAGGCATTACCGGAACGTGTTCGGTCCTCGACGACATTGTTGGTGCTCAGGTGGATGTGAACAGGCGGGACCTTGTTGTGGGAGGACCGAGAAGAGTTCGTGGCGAAGGACTCTGGGCTATGCCTACCATTGCGTTGATCATCAATTATGTCTGAAGTCCGGTGTCGACGGGTGGTCTTTGCAACATATGGATCGACGTTGTTCTTGGGCGCACGGCCTCGGCTACGACTGCGACTGAGGCCTCGAGCTCTGCTCAGTGATCGATGTTTCTGAGTCTTCTTTGATCTCTTGCTGGGCCGCTGACGTCCTCGTCCACGTCGGTCAACATCTATATGATCGTGTTCAATGTTGACAAAGCTAGAGTCTTCCGACTCAGACTCCCAAGAGTCACTGTCGGACGATGAGTCGGAAACATCGTGACGAACCCTGTGTCTTGTCTTCTGATGTCTGAGGTGATCAGGATTCAAGCCTTGGACGTGCCTCATGCCACTTGGCGGCATATGCATCTGGTCCGGAAACGCACCAGGCATTGGCATTTGACTATAGGGCGGGCCATGGTGTTGGCCAGGAGGAGGCGGAAGATGCTGCATGGGCGCGCCCGGCATGAGTTGGCCCGCTCCACCATGCGGCGGGGGTGGTGGACGACCCATCTCGGGTGGTGCAGACATGCCCGGAGGCGGAGGTGGTGGAGGAGGGTTTCCAAGACCTGCCATTGGGTTCATGTGGCCCGGGGTTGGAGGATGCTGTCCGAAGTTTTGCGCTCCAGGATGTTGTGGTTGCTGCTGTTGGGGAGGTCTTTGTTGCGGTGGCATGTTTTGGCTGGGGTTGTTAGAGGGGTTCGGGAACTGTTGACCTTGCGAGTTTCCTGGTTGCTTGTTCTTGTTTGCATCTTGGGGTCCATTGCCCGCACCTCCGACCACAGCTCTCACTTGCATGGGCTCTTGAAACCCAGAAGGTTCAGTCTCCAGAATGATGTCTACACGCACCAGCTGCCTTTCTCGACGGTTGACCGAGCGCCATTTGTTTACAACGCTTGCGAGTCTATACTGAATGGTTCTGTTGTACCTCGCAAGCTCAACGTTCTGGTCCTCAACGAGCTCGTTGATGATCCGGCGACAGTTTGGGGAAGGGATCTCGTTCAACGCCTTCTTGACGTTACCATGGTTTCGACGAAACTTGTGCAATTCACTGTGGAGCCCCTGGAGTGCGACATGTTGCTGCTCGGGTGCTGCATCCTCCCAGGAAGTGGCGTTCCTTGGCTTCTCTAAGATGAAGGAGGCCAATTGGGGATCGTAGTTGGCGTATGGGTTTAGAGGTTGCTGTTGAGGCTGAGCTGGCTTCTGCTGGGCCTGTCCAAAGTTCTGTTGTTGTCCAGAGCTCTGGTGTTGCCCATTTGGGACTTGTCGTGGTTGGCTGACATTCTGATGTTGATGGGGTACTTGACCCTGGTACTGTGCCTGCTGCGGAGTCGCCATTGAATGGTTCATGAAGGTTATAGGAGGTAAAATTTCAACGGAGGAAGTATAGCCGATGGCTAGATGCTCAAGTGACTGAAGACTTGATGCCGATGATCGAAAAGGGAAGAGCAATGGGACGAAGACACGGGAAGTGAACGACAGGGCGAACTAGAAAGTCTAAGGCAGAAACAGGAGGACGTTGACCAAAGATATAGATTGGGAAATTTCTTGTCATACTACAACATTGTTGCTCTTGATATTTCCCCGGAGCAGTAGTAACACTCTGTTGATGCAAGCGAAGCTGTGGTCCCCCTAGGAGTACAAAACCCACATCCAGTCGTTTCCCGGGGGTCATACATGAAACAAGCGTTAATTGGTCGTATCGAAGGGCGCTCGCAAGCCCCACTTCAGAGGGATGTCAAGGCTCTCACCGGTCTCAGCCACCAGGCTGAGGGGAAACCAGGCAAATAGCTCTGCCCTCTCGCGTGAACGCGCAGCATAGCTTGCTTGCTACGTGTATTGAGGCTCAATTTTCACCGGACCAGTTAGGGATCATCTAGAATGTGCATATACGCGATGCGCGTGCATATTGAAGGACTCATAGCGGCTGTTGTTGTATGCAGGCTGATGGTGGTGGTTTGTGGATAAGGTCGCATATGCAACACAGCTGCAGTGTTTCGAATCGCCAGCGAATGATTGATGTGGTTCTTGCTTTTTTTGGCCTGTTCGCCATGGAGCTGAGTCCATGAAGTCGTCGAAGTGTGAGCGACCTTCACGATGCCAGTGCAGAAGCCATCATTGATTGATGGCGCTAGAGCGGGGCGTCATGACCCCACCTTTGTTGGCCCATGCACAGTTCACTACACCCTTCCGCTTCAACCCAGCCAAAAGAAGGCAACTGACCACTACAAGCCACCATTGCAAGGTCTTCGGTAAATATCAGGACCTCTTCTTTGAGTAACTAGTCGCAATGGCTATGACAGTGTCCTGCTGACCTCCAATCCGTTTGCTTGCCCTTCGTGCCGCTCCGCCAGCACATCCAATCATCCGCCGCGAAACGAAGTAAGATCCCGCTGGTTACACTGAAGTCCTTCGGTCACTGGTAATCGTACCTGGTGATACGGATGTGTACCCCTTATCTGTGTCTGCACTTATACCACTCAGCCCCGCTTGCATCACCGCTGCGCATATCGTATGTCAAACATTCTGGCACATCGCCCTTCCGTGTATCGCAGTGCTATTTCGTCTCTACAACCGATGTTGATCCAACTACACTCTAGACTGCATGAGCTTCAGACCGTTCTGTGGTGCGGCTCAGCACACGTTCGCGCAGCGTCGATCTACTACTGCACATCAAGCTGCTGTCGACCTGTCTACTGCAGTTCGACGCCCTTCTATGCGCCTCGTCACGCCCTCCAATCTTCAGCTCTCCGTTTAACCAATGTCCTTGTTGCCGGAAGCCCGCGGCGTTGTCGTATCCGGAGGCCTATCAGCACACCGGATACACCGCATATGACATGCATCTAGGCTGCTGGATGACATCTTTGACACGCAGCCTCAAGCATGGCTGCGTCGAAACACCAAAACCGTGTTCAAAAACTTTTTTTCATAGGTGAGATCGACTGCAGCTTCTGCGAGGAGCCGCGATAAATGTACAATCTCTTACGCTTGATGACATGCGCTCACCGGACGCAGACACCTCTTAGCTCATGCACTTTTATATGGCTATCCTGCATATCAGTTTCGGACCGGATCTGTCGGCTTGTGCTATCTAATCCAGGTCTTCGATAAGCAACGTTCTGTCTCCGACCCGAGCCTTCCGCCACTCGAATGCCTTCCATCGAGTCGAGAATATGAACCCCCCGCAAGCATCGATACAAGCAAGACGAAACGCTCCACAACTCTTAATGTGGATGAGTCTGCTAGTGAACCGATTGAAGTACCTGCCCGAAAGCGCCTAGCCCTGTGAATGGTATGTAGTTACTCTCCGAGCCACACGGCACTTCATAGGTTCGGCATCTCGTTGGTGCGATCTGCGGGTAAGTACATATCTGAGACACGGGCGAACATCACGGCCTGCCTGGCCACCCCGCACAAACGCAGCCTTCCACCGACATGATCTTGGAGGCTTGACCGCCAGATTGATCCCCCGACAGCTTAGCTCTCACATCCGGCAGGTAACGGCAGAGTAAAGATGGCGTGGCATTAGTTGACGATCTTAACAACTCCTTCGGTTACACACTCCGAAGCAGTGGCTGATGGCTTGCGATCAACACTAAATAGCTCAATAAGAGCAAGTTAAGATGACCTTCCAGCAACCAGTAACGCGTTTCTTGATATGATGATCTCTCTGGCGATGTGCCGGGTATACGTGGGAGCATCATCGTGTGTCGCGCAATCGGCGTCGCAGAGCCTCAGCAATCTAAGATTGAAGCCTAGTTGGCTCACATATTGCCACCAACTATATGCTTCGCTTGCGACCATGCATGAAGCAGTAACGAAGGACCATGAAAGAGGAAGATATGGACGCTCTTCGCCCTAGAACGCGGTCTTGAATCAGTGGCGCATGCTACCTAAATTTCATAGCGGCTAGTACGTAACGACAAGTCTAATCGACTAGTAGCCTTGGTTTTGCCTTCTGCTGTGTCGCAGGCAAATTCACATGCGCATCCTGTCCCTTGAACCTGAGCGTTCGAGGACCCCACCTCCCTTCGGCTTCATCCAGTTCGAAAACATCTCCCCAAGGCTCGCCGATATCGACTTCATCCTGTTGGGACACCCTCATCCAAGCATCATCAACTTCCGACGCACTGCTGACGATCTTGATACCCACCTCCTCTGCAATCTTTCTGACATCTTCGGCGGCCTGCTCTGCGCTTTCGTATTCGCTCTTCCAGGCTTTGAGCAAGACACTTCCAAGCCTAGCCTCTTCTAGCACTTGGAGCTGATCACGCCAATCTTTTGCTGGCTTCGGTGGGCCGCCTTCAGGCGAAGAGAATGGATCCCACTCTATGCCCCGTTTCCAGTGCGCTTCAGCCGTGTGAGCGTTGGTCATGAGTTCCCAGACAAAGGTCGCCCAGTAGAATCTGTATCGGAAACATGTAGTTAGCGAACCGCCGCATGCAAGTCTTGATGTATGCGAGAGCAATGATTACTCACAAGGATTCACGATGACTTCCACACGTTCGAGGAAACTCCGTGGGATAGTCGTCGTAGTATATAGCGCCGCCATCTCCCGCCCATTCACAAGTATCCCAACCACCAGAAAAGTCTTCCGGGATCTCTTCTTTCTCATCTTCGCTCTCACCCTCATTCTCGTCCATAGGATATTCTGAAATTGGAGCCCCGGCAGCACGCCATTCTTGGCATCTTCGCTCTCGTCTCTCGTACCGCTTCTCCTTTTTCCATGCCTCTCGTCTACTATCGGCATCAAGCTCTGGCCCATCAACACTGATGAAGCCTGAAATAGCCAGTGAATAATCAGGGCGCAACCACACATTGGTAGACGAGAAGAATGTTAGGTATATAGAGCGAGAGTGGAAATAGCTAATGGCGGACAGCGATTGCAAGGCCCACCGATAGTACAGGGCCAGCATGATGCGGTCCTCTCTGGAAGGCTCTTTGGGAACAGGTAAAGTCATGACAGGAAGATTACCCCAGTGTGGTCCTGGTTCAAGTCTTTCGACGATCACCCCGTTGCCGGCGTCGCTGTACACAAGGCCGGTACGCCTATCATCGCGTTAACTTCAACACAGCACTCTTCGAACCTTACATACCGAACAATCCTCGGATGGCCTTCTCCAAGAAGCTCGTAAGCTTTCCTTAGCCGTTTGATCGCCCATTCCGGTCTAGCCCTTGTATCCTCATCTTTCGGTTCGTAGATGATGATGCCCTTCCCATCTTTGTGAGGTACTGCGAATGCATGTTCCCAGAAATCACAGTACCAGCTTCTCGTGTCTTCTGGCTCTACGCTGGCTTCGAGGGGATAATATGGCGACTGCGTTGCAATCGTTCGCTCTTCATCCTGAGGCAGTGGCCCATTAAGATATGAAATTGCCGAACCCATTAGGCAGCGCGAGAAACGATGCTGAAAGTTCTAAATCGTGATACATTGCGTACTTTATACACCGACCCAGGTGTTGCCGGTTGAGGTAAGCGCCATCGCGCCTCGCGAACCGTGCCAGTGGTGCCTGCTTGGCACATGTAAAATCAACAAAGACCATCAGGCACCCACTCGAACTGTCGAAGCATAACTCTTAGACTAAATGTTTCCTTGAATCAATGCGCGACTTCCAAAAGTATCCCGCATCCTTGCCTTGCCACCCTTCCACCCACAAATTCACATAAACAACAGGCGCAGAAGCCCCATCATAACTCCCATACTGTTCCATCGATTCAAAAAATATCTTCACACCCTCCGGTACATAGATCAAATCGTCGTTGCCGCCAATGGCCCGCGAACACCAGCCACCTCTGATGTCCTCAACCGGGCCTGCGTTGTACATGTAAGCCAGCGATTCCCGGATCTTCTCCTCAATGAACGGTCGATTGACCCAGGCGTGGAATTGGGTGACTACGTCGCGAATGAGCAGCGGGCTGCCGTCTTGAGTCTCGATGACGAAGGAGTCCCAGGCATCTTCTAGGTTCTCCACTCCGTCTTCTGGTTCTTCGAAGCCGTCGCTCCACATATGGCAATTACTCGCATGCTCAGCAAGGTCCTTTGCGGTGAAGATGAGTTTGTTGGCATTGGTTTTTGTTGCTAGTTCTAGGGCGAGGGGGTGGTCGGTCAGGTAGGCTCTGGAGGAGGAAGGAGCATCTTCATTGTCTTCGGCGACTTGCACGCTGGATATACCTGTTGGCTCTAGAACGGACCAGTAGAGGCGATTGAATGCGTCGTGATTCATAATGCTCTTGTGTTCATCGGGGATAACGGGGGTAGGAATTCGCATTGTGTAAGAATGAGAATAGGTCTGAGGTTGTGGGGTAGTGTGATGAAAGAAGGTGTAATATGGACATAGCAATGCGCACGCAAACAACTTTATAATTCGCGCGAAAGAGAGATAGCCTCGAGCGCGAAACCTAGGAAACGAGACCGCAGGCAGCAGTTGAGCTAGAGGCGCCTGGTCTTCGTTCTTAGCGAGGCGAGGTGGGGCGTACGGCAAGTGTTGCCGTTGACAAGGAGAGGAGAAGAAGAGAATATGCCACGACGTGATATGGAAGGAAGCAGGACCGAAATTGGAATGTGAAGGGAAGAGAATCACCAATCACCTCGCCGGCCCCTCCAACGTATTCCGTCGACTAGGCATCCTCGGATCCCTCTTCCCCATAGTAACCTCAAGCGCCTGAATCAAAGCGGTCCCATCATACCTAACAAAGTTTTCGCCCTCATGTTTCTTCCCATAGACGCGAATAGGTTCAATGCCAATACTCTTAAGCTCGTCTCGGTCGACCGCTGGCGTTCCCGGTCCTTGGAGATGGATGATGTGCGTTACGTACTTCTTGTATTGACTCTTTTCGGGGGGCCCAAACACGCCCTTGGAGTCTTCGCATGCTTTCGCGACGGCGGCTATGAAGTCAAGAGCTGAGTATGGATTGGATGACGGTCCTGTCTCGCGATCGATGGTCGAATTGAGGATGAGGATTTTGTAGCGGATTGCGGGGTTGCTGATGGCTTCACCGATGCCCTTGAGGACTAATGAGGGGATGATTGATGTGTAGAGCGAGCCGATGCTATATATCACGGCCTGTGCGTCGTTCAATGCATTGAGGACCGTTGGGTTGGCGGAAAGTCGGATCTCTTGGCCATAAGGATTGATATACCAAAGCCTTTCGATTCTGGCTGGCAATTCCTCTTCATCCGCTTTGGAGAAGGTGATGTACTGCTTTCGAAGAGTCGGTAAAGATCCGGGTAAGTTGGCATCTTCGATTCGGTCGTGTTGTTCTGTTTCGTCGATTGTTGGTGCACCTCCCGATACTAGAGCTGTCGATATGGAAGGGTGGGAGATGGAGTTCTGGCCAGTGATGGTGTCGCCGTTTGCGAGGCTGACTGAGATGTGATGGGTGAAGTTGGTGTTGATCGCGGGTAAGACTGATGTGTGACTGGGCACAGAACATATGCTGGAGAGTAGGTAGATCGCTGACTCAAACGACCCAGTGAAGAGGCGAGCACTGTGAATGTCAGCCACGAAAAGTGCGATGCGGGCGAGGGCGTGGAAGCGAATGCACAATAACAAAAGTAATGGAGACAACAGAGATCGAGCATTGATCGATCATATGGATGAGAAAAAGCACAATGCTGTATTGCATCAATTACATACCCAGTAAGAAACAAGTTACCAATGCTTGCACCTGAGAAGTCAAAGTTGGATGAAGGTCGGCGACGCTTGACAATCTCGTAGGCGACAACGTTTAGTATCGATCGTATGAGCTCTTTCTTCGCCGTCGAGATATTCGTCCAGAGTGCATGCTCAGCCTCTACAATCTGCAGCCATTCATCTCGAGCTGAGGACCGCTCTTTGGGCAATCTATGGTTGAAGAAGGTTTTGATAGCTGCCTTCTCGCTGTCATCGTGATCGGGGTCATCCGGGATAAGGCGGACAAGACGACCTAGACCGGTTAACATCTAGATCATTGTTCTCGAAGAACATTCGCGTACTTCTCACATCACCGATACCTGTGAATGTCAGTGTTGTGTCATTCCTGCCTCAGGCTGCGCATACCTGGCCCTCCGAAGACGCGTATCAGCTCAGACGAGCTGCCACCGTTATCACTGATAGGGATGACATAGCTCAGCGGGCATTTCTTGTCTTCTCTGACTCTCTTGAACACGTCGACTAGATTGTTCGCAGCGCTTCCGCCTGAGAACACAACGATGCCTTTGGTTCTGAGGTTGCCGTTGGACATTGGCGAGGGCGGCGTTGCGTAGTCGCCGTTAGGCGAAAGGAAGTTCTCGGCAGACATGGCGAGATACGTGCAGTGATGGCTGACCACATGGGTCGTGGCGCGAGTTTATCAAGTCATGGTGATGTTGACAGGGTGTTCGCAAAGGTGGATGCCCTTCTATGAGCTCAGAATAGCAGAGGCGGGAGTCATGCACTAATCCGTTAGGGTCGTGTCACGCGTTACTTGACTAGGCAATATCTCGCATTCTGAGCACAATTTGGCATGAGGGGTGTGTGTGTGTAAGATTTTGCATTTGTGGTTGGTTTGGAAATGAAATTTGTACAGAACGAGTCGCCAGCCAAGATGTGGTAGAAGGTTGCTTTCAACACGCATCCAACCCCGCTGATAGCGCATGCCCATGTTCGCTCATCATGGGCGCTGGAAGTAGCGCATGATGGTCTCAGTCCCATTGTAGTTGGGATGACGCTCTGGATGTATGTGCGATGCCCAATCCCAGCTTCCCCTACCCCTCACACCACTGCCTCTTGCCATTGCAGGCCATGGTCGCCTAAGAGGTACCAGCGGCCTCCTCACGCTCCTTCCTCCGCGCTCGCTTCTCGAGTAGGGCGTCTCGTCGGTCGGCTAGGAGGCGGAATTGTCGGTTCTCAACGCCAGTGAGCCAGTAGCCGAAGCTGCCACCAGCGCCAGCGTAGAGGGGGTAGACCCAGAGGGATTCCTTGTTGAAGAGCGGGCGCATCTCAATGCCGAGTTGCCACAGCCTGGCGGCAACGCCTGGTATATGCCGTCAGTAGAGTCCCTTGGGGTATGCGCGGGCGGTTGAGGACATACCGAAACCGCTCCAGAAGAGGATTTTGTGAACCATGTTGAGCGGGTGTAGTCGTGGATGTTGTGTCAGTGTAGAGGATTCCGTTTGTGCTGCTGCAGCAATTGGGGCTGGTGTCGTGAGGGCGCGCTGTCACCGCTGTACCAGTACTGGGTCTCTGGGTTGCGATGCTCCATCGTCAAGCTCCGGAATGCCAAGAACGAACCACCCACGCGGATGCGGAACCAACGTCCGCCGACCTCACCTCCGCGACAATGCCGCTTTCGCGCCTCTCCTGATATTGTCGCTCACTTCTTAGCTTTCGCTCTACAATCCATTCACTGTTACCATTTTGAGCTGGCGCACCAGTCTAGCCTCCTACGTCATTCGCTGCTCGCCAGCCTTTCCCACCCCCGTCTTCATACGCCGGGCCGCAACACAAACGACACAAAACGACTGATCGCAACCACGTTTGATCAACCATGGCAGAAGTCGGCCGCAAGCGCCCAGTTGAAGGCGATGGAGCTGCGACTATGCGCAAAAAGTTGAGGCCATCGGAACTCCCGCTTTCACAGGCGAAGCGATCGGCCATCGACAGCCTAGTGCACATGTTCCGTAAGAAGGGCGCATACGACGACATACGCAGAGACTTGATGAAGCAATATGTGTCAGGAGTAGGTGGCCAAAGATCGATTACTACTATATGCTAGGCTAACGTTCGCGTACCAGCCTGCTAAGGATGAACTGCAAGCCGCCCTCAAGGAGCTCGTCGACCGCGAAACCGACCGTAATCCCTCGCTGCTGTCCAAGGATCCCCGTATGGCGACTACACTTATAGAAGGCGCGGGTGAGCGCAGCGACATCTACGGCAACATTATGAACACGGTCAACACTCTGCTGGACAAACTGATCGATGAGCATGGCGTACCCAAAATGCGCGAGTACCGCATTGCTGAGATTGGCGCTGAAGCGGCTGCTGAAGAGGAGAAACGAGGCAGCAAGAGCGAAGAAGAGTGGGCTAAAGAAGCAGACGCTCGCCGAGAGAAGCGTGAGGCCCGGCGAGAAAAGGAGTTGGAGGCTGAGCGCGAGAGAGAACGTGAGGAGAGGGCAAAGAAGGAAGAGCGCAAGCGCCGCGAGAAGGAAGAAGACGAAGCTCGTGAGAAGGCGCGACAGGAGGAGAAGGAACGCAGGCGCAAGGAACGTGAAGAGCGCGACAAGGAAGACGAAGAGCGCCGACGCAAGGACCGTGAGAGGATCGAGAAGGAGCGAGAAGAGGAGCGTCTACGTCGCGAGAAGGAGCGAGAGGAGCACGAGAAGAGCCGTGAAGCCCGTCTCAAGAAGATTCGCGAAGAAGATGCCGAGCGAGAGCGCCGCATACAAGAGGAGCTTGACCGAGATCGTGGTGGTCGCCATCGCAGTGGTCGTGGCCGTAGCAGGACTCCCGACCGTGAAAGGGACCGGCGTGGACGAGACAGGAGCAGGCGAAGGAGCAGGACAAAGACCAGGTCACCCGAACGCCGTCTATCTGTGAAGGCTGAAGACATCAAAGTGGACGATGACTTGGCATTGCAGCTCCTGCTACAGGAAAGTGAGCAAATGAAGAAATCACGACAACGACGGCCTGTGCTCGAGCGATCAGAATCACTGGAACCACCTATGCGAAAAGCTCAGCCTCCCAAGTCGCTCGTGCCCCGCGATCCCGTGGCTACTCGACTAGCCAGGCTTGATAGCAAGCCCGAAAGGTCACCCGGCAAAGACCCAAAGTCCCCCGCTCCAGGTACGCCAAATGCGGCTGCGAAGGACGAAGATACCACTATGACGGATGCCCCATCCGCAACAGAAGCGGCCAAGGGCCGATGGGATGACAAGCGACCTGAGTTACCTTCGAAGCGTGACAGGTCCCGCAGTGTCGCGCGCAGCACGAGGGAGCGTAGCAGAAACCGATCGCAGTCTCGCGGAAGTCGGTACGACAGGCGTGGCTCGCGCTACGAAGACGACCGCCGTTCTCGACGTGAGGATGATAGACATTCCTACAGGCCCTCAAATGACGGTAGACGACGTGATCGCGACGACCGAGATGAGAAACCGTCCCGTCGCGAGAGTCGCAGTCGCTCACGAGAGACTCATACCAGCCGCCGCAAGTCACGCTATGAAACTCGCAGTCCGTCGCCGCCTCGGGAGGAGCGTCGCAGAGATAGAGAACGTTCTCGCTCACGAGGTGGCCGACGTGAGCGCGAGAGAACACCTGCACCCGGCCGTCGCCGTCACCGTTCTCGTTCCAGAAGCCCCGAGAACATCGACCGTTATGTACCAGGCGGCGGTGGAGGTGTTGGCAGTGGCAGTACTCGGAAGCGTGAAGACAGCCGTGACCGCAAGCGCGACGATAGTCGGCCTCGCAAGCGTGATGATAGCCGTGATCGTGCACGCAGCTATAGGGCTCGAGACTACGACCGTTGGGATGGCGGTAGAGACCGAGGTAGTAGGCGTCTAGAATCGGACTGCTATCAACCTGGCGGTGCTCCCGCTGCTGAGGCCGAGGACAAGGATCGAGAACGTGATCGCAAGCCTAGAGAGAGGAGTCGCGAGCGGAGCAGAGATAGGGGACGTGATGATAGGGAGAGACGTAGGCGGAGGAGCCGCAGCGCGAGGAGCCGTAGCCGGGACCGACGTCGCTGATTGGTTGTGAAGGTTTTCTTCTAGGATGTATGATTATTAGTAGGCATTTAATGTGCGGCTCATAGCACGTGTGTAGAGTGTGCCTTTTAGGAAGGGGCTACTATCAAAATTGCAGGAGGTATGGAATGCTCTTGCTCAACGACGAGTTCGTGTTCAATACCTCATGTAGCATATGTGGTGAAGTGGCAGCGAATATCTATGGTATTTCTGCAATTAGTACTTTTGGTAAGAACACTAAGCAAGTCATCTCTCCTCCTCCTTTGGTCGTGTCAACCCTAGTTCCTCGCCGTCCTCCCCTCATTGTCACTCAAAACATCCATTTCATCCACCATGGTCTCAACAAACTTACCTTCCTCTGCTACCGGCACATCGTCGTCGTCATCGACTTCCAACACCACAAACCTCTTCCGCTTCTCCCTCAGCAATCTTACCTTCTTCTCTCTCCTCGGCGACTCAGACCCAGTATCGGATACAGGGGAAGGCGAAGGAGATACCGGCCTACTCTGACAGCTACTTCTCAGTGCGCTTTTTGACCCTGGAAAAAGACATCTTTCTCGACTCGGCGTAGGCGGCCGACTACCCACTGTAACAACAGGATTGGGGAGTTTAATTAAACCCAAATCTTCTCGCTCAACAATCGGCGTTGCAGGCTCGTCTTCAACAACCAAAACGTCATCGCCAAACTCCCTCTCCCACTTCTCCTTCTGGCAATCCCGCATAAATCCCTGGGTGATACTCAACCACTTTCGTCCTGCATCCGCACTACCATCAGGAGTAGGCATGCCTTCTACATGCCAATACAGAAGATACGTGTAGCTTCCTGCATTCCAGCGTAGACCAGTGAAGTCTTCGACTAGAAGTCCAGTGGTCACGTACCATTCTATGTTTTTAACCTGCAGGGCAGCAAAGGCTTCTGGGTCGCCGATGCGGAAGCGCACGTTGGGTGGCAGGGTCCAGCGGAAGGGGAGGGGTTGCGGTTCATGGAGCGATTTGGCGCGGTTGCGGAGGGAGGTGGGGACTGTTTTGAGGAGTTTTTCGGTTGGGGGTTGGTGGGCTGGGCCGTGGGGGGTGCGGGAGTCTGTCTGGGTCACGAGGAAGGCTTTGACGGATGATGAGGTGCCGGAGTCTAGGGCGTGGCGTCGTGCTCGGGGGGTGGAACCTATGAAGTCTGAGCGTTCATCTTCGTTCACTGTCTCTAGTGCACTGCCTTTTCTTCGGAGTGCGATTGATGCATCTGCCAGTAAACCCAACGTGAACGTGCCAGTTGGGATCATGTCCTCGGGAGCGAAAACATAGTCCACGTCGTTCTCTGCTGAGATTTCTCGGTCGATTTCTGGGATACCTGGGTTATTGCCACACACCATGAGCTCACCAGTGATTGTACGCATCAGAGGAGGAGCTGCTTTCGACTCTCCAAATGATCGACTTTTGCTCAAGAATGACGGACAATGATAGCAAGGTAACAAGGAAACTGCCAAAATAACAAATGGCGCAATAGATGAGGTTGCAAAGGGATTGTGGTATGATGGAAGTTTACCATGTCCATGAGACTGCTGTGAAGGACTGGCAAGGAGATAGAACCCCTAGCTGGCTAACTCTGTTGTTCTGTGTATTGAAGATCGTGATCTATTGGCAGCACAATCTTCACAAAGGCGACTTGAATGCTGAAAATAAACATGGGTACAGTGTGGTATGGTAGTAGTAGATCAAAGCTGGCGGTATTGATTATCTGGATTCAGATGATATTCGTTCAATTCTGTTGTCGCGTACCAGGCTAAGCCGAGATTTGAGTGGAACGTCGCGATTATTACAGCTTGCCATTGAGTTGACTGTCGAGGCATTGACGATGTTTATTAAACGGGCCTTCGACGATACTTGGCGAGTGATGTAAGGTCGGTAGACAGAAGCAGGGACGGGTGCCAAGACGGATAGGCGAGACGATCCCGGTAAGACGTGCAGTGGCGTACAGGCTTGGGGCGTCGCTGGGTCACGTATCTCGTCCATTGCGCGTGCGACTCCTTCCGTATTGGCTGACCGGCCTGCTGCCTTCCTTCGACGTCCTTCTCTTTTCACTCCCGGCTGCCCTTGGCCACACGCTCCTTCACCTCTGCACCGACCCGCCGCGTTTCATACCCGTTTTTTCTTCTGCATACAACCCTGCTTTCACCTACAAACTTTAACTTGGCGCTGCCGTCATGTTCGTCCCCGGAAAACCCAAGATCAAAACGAGAACCGTCCTCGTCAAGAAGGCTCCCGCCCCCACAGCGAACCCCTCACCATCACAGCGCACGCCGCACGCGAGACCCGGCAACGGCACACGCAGTTACAGCGCATCAGGCCCGCCAGCGAACCGATACCAGTCCACGCCGCGCTCGCAGACAGTCTCGCGGGAACCCGCGCGCAAGTCGGTTTCCGTGTCGCGTGTCGAGACCAACAAGCGTAAAGGCACCGACACGCCGCAATGGGCCAGCAGCGATGAGTCGAGCGAGGATGAGGATACCAGTCGGCTGGGCGTCAAGCGACGGAAGACACGGCCAGCGAGTAGTAGCACTGAGCCTATGAGTCTGAACCGCGCACTCGAGCCGGACTTGAAGCGACGTATACGGATAGTAGAGCCTGATGCCAAGGCGAAATCAAACGGTGTCAACGGCACATCGAATGAAATTGCAAATGGCGCCTCGAACGGCACATCAAATGGCGCGTCGGATATGATGAAGATGGCGCAAGAAAACGCCGCATTTAGGAAGAAGAAGGCTGTGTCGGGGAAGAGCACTCTGAAGCACGGCTTGGAGATGACGAAAGACGATGGAGCCAAAGCCTACAAGTCCGCATTCCCCGGTAGCGAGAAGAAGTTCACCGTAGAACTCCAATACCCCAGCCTGTCACGTCCAGAGAAGTTCGAGGCAGTAGCCCGGAAAGAGGTGGATGAGGAGTACAGTCCACTGGAAGACATCTACTTCAGCATAGAGGAGATCATCCAGCACTACCTCCCGCCCGATCTCGCCAACGAACTCTCCTCCGACGCCGAAGGCACCGTCCGCCTCCTCAAGCGAGCCGTAACCAAAGACGACCCAGAACTCTTCAAGCAAGAACTAGCCAAGTTCAACAAGCTGATCAAAGACCAATACGCCAACGGCACGATACCCCGCATCCTCGACGAAATGCACGCCATCCCGCTCAGCCTCGTCAAACGCATCACCGCCCAAAGCTATAACCGCATCGTCTCCCCGCACGCGCACCGCCTCCGCAAAGTCGAAGGCAAAGAAACAACCTATGGCGAACTCCTCACCCCCTTCGTCCACAAAATCTTCGCCCAAACCGGCCTAAACTCCACCCACACGTTCGTCGACCTCGGCTCCGGCGTCGGCAACGTCGTTCTCCAATCCGCACTGCAAACCGGTGCAGAGAGCTGGGGCATCGAAAAGATGAAGCTCGCCGCCTCGCTCGGCACAGAGCAAGCCTCTGAACTCAAAGCGCGGGCTAAGCTTTGGAACATTGCTCTCCCCCGCATCGAGCTCATCGAAGGTGACTTCCTCGAAAGCCCTGAAATCGACGCCGTTCTTCGCCGCGCCGACGTTGTGCTGGTCAACAACAAGGTCTTTGGCGAGACGCTGAATAATCTGCTGTTGCAGAAATTTCTCGATCTGAAACAGGGTTGTAAGGTAGTTAGCCTGGAGAGTTTTGGCGGTGGTGCTAAACAGGGGGTGAGGAATGAACAGAGTATTGCTGGGCTTTTTGACGAAGAAAGGTTCGAGAGTGGGACAAATAGTGTTAGTTGGGCGGGGGAGAGCGTCGAGTATTTTATTGCTACCAAGGCGCGTTGAGGCGTGCTAGACTGAGCTTGGGGATGGATGTTGAGTTTGTATCATATAGAGGGGATTGGAGGTCAACATTGACAAACATGGTCCTTGGACATTTACTCTGGATTTCCCTTACTAGATTTGGACGGAGAGATGGGTGCTTGAGCGAGCAACGCGGGATAGGTTACTCTTGAGCATGGTACACTTGGCGTTTGATTTAACATCAATACCCCTCGATCTATATTCTCTTTCTGTGGCTATTTCAGATCAGAATCTAAAGGCACATACATTCTATCCCTTGAAGTCCATCCAGACATCCATCTACGCTGTAAATACTTTGGCATACCTTTGAGTATGCAACCTTACGTCTACTACACGACTCAAAGCATTCACTCTAATCTGATGTAATCTTCTTGTAATCTGTATCGTCGTATTATGTATACCGAAGGATAGTAAAGAGCAATAATCCGCTCCGTGTATGTATGCTAAATGTCAACCCAATCACCCATCCCATTCCATTCCATTCCACCAAACACCAACACCATATATGCACATCCATCCCCCTTTCCAACTACAACGACAAACTCAAACTCAAATCCATCCACCGTGTATCAATCATAAAGGAGCGTGTATCGGGTATCTGAAAAGACCAATCGAACAAGAAAAAGGAGCGACGTCGCTAATATACAAATAAAGATAGTAAAAGAGCCTGAAAATGCGAAGGAGTCGTGTTTCTCGTTATATATACCCTGTTTTTCATCTCTCTTCCCTCATTCCCTTACTTCCATTCAACAGAGGAGTTGGCTACATGACCTAAAAGAACAAAGCCATAGCGCCCAAGCCCACAGCACCAGCAAACGGCACGCCATTCACGCCCGCAGCACCGGTTTGCACACTCGGCTGCTCGGTTGAATCTCCACCGTTGCCTCCGCTCGCCTGGGTTGCTTGAATAGGATCCACAAACGTATAACTCGTCATAGTGCTAGGCCGGCCCTCTGCATCCGTCGTTGTAATCAACTTGATGCTGCTAACCAGCCCGCCACCAGGTGTGTACGTGGTCAAGAACGTGCTTCCAGCCTCATCCGTCGCAGTTTGTACTTCACCGGCGGTAGGCGCGTAGTCAGCCGCGGAAGTGGTGACGGTTGTGCGGCCTGCGGAATCGGTGGTTGTGCGGATTACGGCGGGGCGGTTTTCGGTCTGAGTTACGGTGCTGCCTTGGGAGTTTGTGCGCACGAGAGTTACGGGGACGGAGGCGGTTACTTCGGAGAGGACGCGTGTGGTGCGGACGACGGTTTTGCCGTCTTCGGTTACGGTGGCTTCGACGGGGATGATGGCCGGGCGTTGGGTGGTGGTTTGGCGGACGGTTGTGGTGGCTTGTTGGGTCGCGGTCTGTTGTTGTGTGTTGGTGACGGTGGAGGGGGGTGAGTCGTCCGAGGGTTGCTGGGTTTGTTGGGGCTGCTCGGTTTGTTGAGTTTGTTGGGTTTGTTGAGTTTGTTGGGTTTGTTGAGTCTGCTGCTGTGTTTGTGTCTGTACTTGGGTGACTGTGGTGCCTTCTTGCGTCTGGACCTGCGTCACCGTGGTCTCTACTGCTGGTGGAGGAGCCTCGCTCGCCTGTGATGAAGGCGCGTCCTCAGTTGTCTGCTGTGGAGTTGTAGCCTCAGTGGCACTCGCTGTGCCATTGCCCGGCGCCTGTCTCTTCTTCAAGTCGTTGACAGCATCAACAATGAGCTTGGTAGCGAGCGCCGGGTTGTTCTCGTGGACATGTTCGACGCCGCGGTGGTGCGACTCAAACACGCCATTCTTGAAGTCCTTCAGTCCGCTCAATGCTGCTTGCAGAGACTCCTCCGGCAGCGCGTTCAACAAGTCCTGGAACGCTTCTTGTGCAGATGCATAGATGGTCTTCGGGTGGTCGTCTCGCTTGTTTGGTGAAGCAGCGACGGCAGTGCTGAACAATGGCAGAGCCAAAACGGCCAGCTGGCAGAAGGAACGCATCGTAGTGGAATCGGCGTACGGAACGAAAGCGAAGGTGGATTCTCAGCGAAGAAGAGCTGGAACTGCTTCAAGCGTGTTAGCAGATCGTCATGACTGGAATCAAGGTCGTAAATTGTGTACAAGAAAAAGAACGCAAAGCGCAGTGGGCTGATGTGATTGCGACGACTTCGCGGACTAGAGAGCAGGCTTACACAGAATCTGTCGCTTCCGAGTGGCTGGGTTGCAGGTATACGACGCCACAGCCCGATAATCGATAACCGCCTGTATATTTCTAATGTTCAACGTCTACGTTTCTTTTCACCGACAAGGAAAAGAAAGCGAGCGTAATTGTTCGTTTGGTCGTTCGGGGTGATCTCAACAACGAGTGTGGTCTTGCAAGAGTCAGTCGAAACAAACGGAGTCGTAGCCGTAAAGTCGGTAAAAAGGCGTTGAAGCGTGATGTGTGATGAGGAGAAACGGCAGATCAGTCCTTAAGGCAGAAGGCGATACGGTTACTGTACGAGTTGAGCACCAAGCATCTTTGGGTAAGGCGCTGCTGATACAGGTGCACTAGGTGCGTCTTACTTGACAGAAACACGAGGTTTGGACCCGCTGTTTGTCATGGATCCCATCGTCACTTTCGCCTCTTGACCCGACCCTAAACCAGCCAAGCTTCAGCATCCCGATTTTCCGCTGAAGATCATGCTCCAGTACTCTCCACTGAACTGGAACTATTTGCAGTTCTAATAGGCGTTCGCGCATACCGAGTCCCAAACTCCTTCCCACCAGCCCTTTCTCTTGCAGCGCAACCGATCAACACTTTGTGCAATTGTGCCATCGAAACCTCGGCCTTGAAACACGAACCAAGAAAAGTTGGCACGTAAACCTCGGGGTCGGTATATGCAACACCCCCTGCAAACGCAGAAACGGTAGGAGCCTGGAGCCTTTTCCGCACCAACAACCTCGCTTGTTGGAAGCCAGAACGCCAGAACGTCATGCATGGACCGAGCGACCGGCGAGACGAACTGGAACGTCCACCCGATTATAGCTTGCCCGCGGTCCGCCGGAGGAGCAAGCGTCGCTCTGTTCGCATGTTGAAACCGTGCTGAGGCTTTCACGGAGCATTCGACGTGTTGATAGTCGCTGCGAGATGTGCATTGCAATGGCATCGTCATCGCAATTTTCGCATTCTTGGTCCAAATAATTGGACTTTGCTTTTCGCAGCCGTCATCATCTCCTCGTGTTCGAAGCAAGACGTGTTCTCGCTCTTCTCGTATCTCACACACCTGTACACCCACTATCCACTAACAAACCGTATCGAACACATTTGTAACTCCGCTCCGCTCCAACTGCCAGCTTGCTGCTCCCCGGTTCCGAGCTAGCCAGCCTGCGTTCCAATCACTGCCTGTCTGGGATTAAAAATAGCCACACGCCTACTGACTGCGCATTGCAAATGGAGCTAGTAGATCAGAACACCAAAACGCGCATTGCGGGACTCGGGCTAGAAGCATCTCACTGGTGGGCATACACCTACTGAGTATGCAACGATGCACAATCTAGACGTGTCGGCATATCGCGCTACGAGTCTATGTGTATGTCGCCACGACGCTATAGCTATTTGTGCTTATGTTGAGGGATTGATGCGGACGCGGACTTCGGCACACACGGCAGCGCCGTGCTGGACACCGTCGGTACTCAACATGAAACGTTATTTTTTCCACTGTACTAATCAAAGTGTGGGGTATTTTGCAATACACCTACTGTGCTCTTTAGCTGTCATGTATAGATGGTTTTGTGGACCAATTTCGATATCGATCACAATTGCTTTTCCCTTCTTTCCCGACATACACGTTGAATGATCTGAAGCTTTGGTACAAGTACACAGTAATCATCAAGAATGAGAATGAATTATGGTTGATATGGCTCAACGCTATGCATCATCGCAACACCCGCACTATGCTCACTAGCAAGCTTCATCGCCTCATCGCACAAAAGTCGTATGCAAAATCTTCCATGCCACATGTACTTTTGTCTTCGACTTAGAGTTCCCTGCTAAGGGTACTGTGCGGTTGATCCACCCATCAAGCTCAATCCCTAAACGCCCTGAACACCTACATCTCCTTCCAAGCTCATGCTTCTTACATTATTGAGGTCGACAGCGGTCGGCCTACGGAGCTGGCTCGCCTCTCGGGACAAACGGAGGTGAAGATTGACCATCAGATGGCAGTGCATCAGAGTTCATCTCTCGGTTCACCGTCTGAGGAGTGACAGTAGTAGTCGAGTTGGAGGATGAGTGAAGAGGCCCTGAGGGTGTTGATACTGGCTGCACGGAATCCAGGGTGGCTGTCGGGGCCTCAGGTTGGTTCATTGCGCCAGTTTCTACGTGCTGCGTACTGTCGATATTTAGGGGCGACGGTGCTTTAGCGAATGACTGCACAGGAGGCGTTGTAGTGACAGGGGACTTGGAATTCCTGTCTGGAGACCGCGCAACGGATCGGGGTTCAGTCAATGCAGCTGGGAGGTCGGTTCGCAAAGCCATGGCAGGACTCATCCTGGGTTTCGGGCTTCCCGGCGTAGGTACATTCGGGGGCGTTGGGCTCATTCCAGTAGGGGTCACGTCGCTCGATTTATCCGCTTTAGGTTGAGGTTCCTCCACTGGTGGTGGCACATCTGGTGCTCGTCCACGAACGGCAAAAGACTCTGGTGGATTCATCATGTTCTGGGGAGAAGGGAGATGACTCGAGCTGCCCGGTGGGCTTTTTGCTCTTTCTCTCCTATCTATCCGCTCCTTGTGATCCTGTCTGCGCTTGTGGAACCAGTCGAATGCACCTTTCTTGTCGGATCTGTCGTGATCAGGGGGACTGCTACCGAATAGCATCGACGTTTCCGAGCCGTGGTTCGACTCGTACTGCCCACTTCTGCGCCCTCCGCCTGTCCATCCAGAACTACTGGCGAACGAGCTCATACTCTTGTCGGCGCCAGGGACCGAGCCATGGAGATCCGTCTGACTTGCTGTCGGCGTTGCCTTACTTTCTCCACGCCTGTGGCCTTTCCAGAAACTGCGCTTCTCCTCTTTTGGCTGTTCTTCCAGTTGCTCGTTCTCCGAGTATTCTGTTGCTGTTGAATGAGATCTGAAACTAGCAGAAGGCGACATGCTAGGTTTGAGTGTGTTCCCGGAGGCCCGCGAGGAGCCTGTGTCTTGCAAAACCTCTCTGGAGCTGTTTGCGTGTGACTGACCATGCGCAAAGGGAAGTGAGGGTGGCTGCAATGGCGAAGGGGGTCCGTGAGAGAATTGACCACCAAACCCTGAATCGCTGCCACCAAGAGAGTGAGTAGAGCTATGCGTGCTCTGGCTGATACTATTGGGCAACCTCTTCTTCTGAAGCTTGTTTGGTTTCCGTCCATCTTTGGCTTCCTTTGACTCATTTGGAGGGGAGGCTGCAACCTTGGCTAGAATTTGGGTAAATGTACGAACAGCAGGAGTCATCTCAATCGACGGACCTGAGTCAACAGGTCCTTCCAAGAACTCTGACCGCTCACGTGTTGGCGTGTGATGCGGACTACGCTGAGGACTACGTGGACCTGGGGTAGTCGACCTTGGAGGCAACAGGTTCTGGGCCGACTGGGCGACGACGTTCGGAGTAGTGGGCTGACTCGGTGGGATGATGCCCGGAGACGGCAGAGGGAAGCCGCCTGGCATGTTGTGGGTGGCAGGTGTAACCGCGGGTCTATTCTGCGGGAGCTCTGCCGGTTGCATAGCCATTCCCTGTTGGGGAAAGGGTTGGTATGGGACCGGCATCTCGATTTTGTTCGGTGGCATAGTCTGCGCACGTTGTGGCGGTGGCAGTTCCTGATCGGCAGGCTGTGTGGCTGGTATTTGCTCCGCTGCGGGTGCGACCGCCTGTGGGGCTTCCTTCGTGCGTATAGGCAGGTCTATCTCCTGCTGTGGGGCGGCATTCTCAGCAACATCAACAACATCTGGAGGCATGGGAGATGAAAGAGGGCTCTTAGTCTCTTCAGGGCCGATTTGCTTTGCCGCAGGGAAGCGGGGACTCCCAAGCCCTGGGGAACGCTTTGAGGGCAACGTGTTGCTTCGATGCACTCCAGATGTCGTGGTCGAGACAAATGAAGGTGCGATTGGGCTGGGCACAGCGGGCGAGTGTCGTGAACGCTTCGAAGACGTGGACACGTTTCTGCGAACACCGCCATACATGCGAAGGCTTTCTGCACCAGCGCTCGAGGTCGTCGAAGCAGACCGGCCAATGCCAGAACTATTGCGGGGAGTGGTGGGTGTCCTTGCCTGTGGGGTAGAAGGCCCACTTTCAATGTGCTTGACGGTACCTTCATCGACAGCTGTGCCCTCCATACCAATTAAGAAGTGATCCTGGTTGTCGATGAGAAAGATGAGTACGTCCTGGCTCAGACGATAATCTTGAGGAGACATGTCGTGCTGCGGATGTGAGAGCAGTCCGGGCTGGAAGATGGCAGCCAGATTGGAGGTTGTCATCTTGTTAACATCAGCCTTGGCGGCAAAGACTGCAAGCAAGTCTAGAATGTACAGCAGCAGTTGTCGGTTTAAAGACGGCAAGGCTTTAATCTGATGTTGATATATGCGCACAGCCGCATCGGGATCGAAGCCTCCGACCGAGGGTTGCTGTCCTTCGCTGGGGCCTACCGCCTCAGCCTGGTGGCCTTTGAGCGGATTCCGGAACGGGTCATAATGTTGCAGCGGTATTATAGGCTCCGGGAGGTTGTTGAAATAGCGGCGCAGAATATTGGCGGCGTCATGTACAGTATAGCCGGACCAATCCAGACCTTTTCCATAGCGGGGTGGGGTGTCAAAGGCCGTCCGGAGTTCCTTGATGCGCTTCTCGGAGCCTGCTAATCGGAAGATGCCTTCTACGTCGGTTGCTGTGCGCTGTTAACAGCTGATGAGTGATGGGATTAGCTTCACTGACCCTTTTCCTTCAGAAAGACACCGCATTTGGCGACCACTATTGGGACGTAGCCGTAGATGTAGCTTTCGCCGTGCTCGTTGAATAGCGATATAGCAACGTTGGCATAGGGTATGCTTTGTATGAGGGGTACACCAAAGATGCCAGGGAGGGCAGGTTCTACATGCGGCCACAACAGTCAGTGATTGCTCGCAACAAGAAGAGGCGGGGAGCTGCAGGCACAGTCGCAGCGCATTGCTGGGCTTCAGCCGCCCAACGAGGCTGAACTCGCGCACTCGACATGTGAAAATGCTGGCAGTGGTGTCGTACCTTTCTCGTCCTCCTTTTTCGCGGGGCGCTTGCTAAACTGCCTCCACCACGATGTCAAGTCCCGACGCGACGAGACAGGTTCTGGCGTCGCTAACGGGGCGGGCTGGGGCTCGCCATTGCGTACGCGCGGAGTGCTGGGGTTGGTGTGCGTGCCTGCGGGAGCCATGGCAGGCGGTGATGTGGAGAGCTTCGCAGCTCCAAGAATGTGATATGGCGGTCGTTGAGCGCAGCGTCTGGCGTGGTGTCCAGGTACAGGTGGGCCCGAAGTGGGCAGGCGGCAGCTGTCTGGGGGCCGCTATGTGACGTCGGAGGGTAGCGAGTCGAGGAAGCAAGGTAGCGAGCGTGCGCAAGATGTCAGCGGGGTCGTGACGGTGTTCCTGTAAGGCGGATCCTGCAATATTGGCGTCTTCCTTGGTGGAAGAGCAGAGCGAGAGAGCTGCTGGCGCGAGTCTGGGTCTAGGACGCGACGGGCGGTTAGGGGTACAGGTACAGATGCAGGATGTCGTCGGAGGGTTCAGCGGCCTGGTCGGGCGCAATATCGAGGCGCGCCTGAAACTGTGGCTCGAGGCGACTTGGGCCTGCAGGGTCGACGTCTGGGAGGGCAATGATCGCAGTCGGGGCGAGGCAGTCGAGTGGCAGCCCGCTGCTGGACTGACCAAGAGCAGCAGGTTAGCGGCCGTGATGTGTGGCTGCGGGCCAATTGTGAGCATCCAAGGAAGACGGCACGGCGTCGCCTGACTGACAGACACAAACGCGAGGCTTGATGCCCCTCGACGGCAAAATACAGCGACGATCAATACGGGTAGCGGGATGCAGCTGGTAATAAGAGGCGATGTTATTGTGTTATTATTTTGCTATGCTGGAGTCGGTTCCAGTAATAACGACCGTCTTGGCGGGGAAAGGTACAGGTCAGGTACCGGTACAGCCATGCAGCGGGAGCCAGACAATATTGGTGCGACGAGACATGAGAGAAGACGCATCCATTGCCACATTCTGTCCAAAGTGCCTTCCAATATTTGTCCCAGATGTGACCCGCTGGATGCGGCTGCCATGAACTCTCCACGCCTGCTTCCCGTGGTTCGGTGACTGGAGAGCGTGGACGGGCCGCCCAGTGGCCTAGCTCGCGTCTACACTTTTGGGTGCAGGCTCGTCAGCACAGCATCCAGACAACCACCCGACGTCATACCAAATTTCCGCGTCGAGCCACCCTTCCGTAAACAATAATCCTGCCACTACACACAACTAAGCATCATGGAGTCGTATGTACTTGCCCCAATTGATCTCACAATGACTAATCGCGTGCAGACTCACAGCATCTGAGCAGCGCGAGCTGCAGTCGCGCATGGAGAAGAAGCAGATGAAGGAGTTTATGAACGTACGACATCCGCATTCTATGCTGCACGACAATGATACTGACTATCATAGATGTACTCCAACCTCGTCCAGCAATGCTTTGATCACTGCGTCAACGGCTTCGAAAGCAAGTCCCTCACCTCGCGCGAAGAGAGCTGCGTTATGCGATGCGTCGACAAGCACATGAAGGGCTCCCAACGATTAGGCGACCGCTTCCAGGAACAGAACGCCGCCATGGCGCAACAAGGTGGCATGGGCGGAAGATAAAATTCTGCGGGTAGATCGTACGTCGCCAGCTATGAGCTGGTAAAAGGCTCAGCGGCGACGGCGTGCTATGTTATTTGGATCACGACGTCTGTACTATAGTAACGAAATCTGGAATCTGGCCTTGGAGCACTTTACCTCCATATGCCTTGGTCAAGCAAGCTATAACCTTGCACTCAAAATCATCAAGCGTTCAGTTGCCGCTGTCACATGTCTCCGCTTGATGCCTATCCTGGACGAAATGTGCGGTGAATGTGTTTGCAGATGGTTAGCTGATTTGTACGCGTGCAAATCGAGTCGCAGCTGACGAGCTAAAGACGCCCAATTGTCACTACTAGCTGTTCACAGCCGCGAACGTCGTCATGAGAGTGCCATGAAACACCAGTTCGGCCCTTTTAAGATACGGTGCTGTGGCGCACCACTTTTGAATGCACTATGGGCAATCTTGAAGAAATCTAGACGCGACCAATCAAGCGCGCACAGGTCTACGAAGACATCGAGGCTGTACTGTGCGCACTCGATGCAATTCTCCATGATGATCGCCTTTAGCGGTGGCTGTGCTGCATCTCCCAAGCCCTTGGCTGCCAGCCTATGACGCAGCAGCTACCGCTTCACCGACCCTGTTCTTGCCCTGAATCTCCCTCCAGCCTCCCACACACCTCCTATATAACACACGCGCTGTAATCACCTTTCCAGCTACACCACAACAAGAACTTTGCACAAAGAAAGCAATTCGCCAACTTCCAAACCTAAACTGCTACTTTTACCAACCAACAAACACAAGCAACCATGGGTCTCATGTGGCATAAGGGCTTTGGCGGCAAGCACGCCGGTAAGTGGCCCGCTTTAGAGCCGTCTGTTCCGGACACAGGCACCAGTTGCTGACAAGATACTAGGTGGTGGTGTTGTCGCTGACCGTCACGGCGTCCGACGCGCACCATTCCGCTTCTCTTGCGGACGCTTCAGCTGCTTCCGTTAAGCTAGTCGCCGACCCTTGACGACAATTCACGACCTGTAAGCTTCCTTCGAGGCATTGTACGCTGAATAGTTCTAACCTGAACAGCTTTCATATCCCGCATTTCGATGATTTCCTCTTGCGACGGCGTTGGTGCGATTGAACATACATGGCGGCGCGTAGTTCAAGGAGAAGTTTAGGCGATACCACGAGCATGCATCTGCGACGCAGTTCCATGCTTCACAATACCCTCAATAGCCTAATAGAACATGTCTGTTCCTCACTGCACTTCCATACCCGTCGCGCGCAACCATCTGTCCCTGTACACACAACAAACAAGACGATCTGAAACATGACGTCACAGCTCACATCCTTGTCACAGCTCCACTTCTCAATTCTATCACGCGCCACAATGTCAAACCTCATGGCGGGGCAACTGCGCAGGCACACAGCTACAAGCAAAGCCAATGGGTGAATATCGAAACGGTGCCAACCCACGATATAGCAAGATGCGGTCCATACTCATCATCAACCCAAACTCCACGGAGCAAATGACCAACGGCCTGAAGCCGCTCGTCGACGCCCTGCAGTTCAAAGACGTTAATCAGCACCACTCACCACACCCATACAGCAACTAACCACAGCTAGCAGACCGCTCACGAGTACTTCACCGCCCCTTCCGGCCCAAAGAGTATCAACAACGAAGACGATGCCGCCGAATCGGTCCAACACTGTCTCCCCGCCCTACGCGAACAACTCTCCCGCTACGATGCTTTCCTCGTCGCATGCTACAGCCAACACCCGCTCGTCCCTCTCCTAAAAGAGGAGCCAGCCATAAGAGATACGAGGAAACCTGTTACGGGCATCTTCGAAGCTAGTGTTGGTGCTTCCCTGCAAGCTATCCATCCCGACGAGAAATTCGGCATAGTAAGCACAGGCAAAGTCTGGGAAACTATCCTCACAGACGCTACAATCGCTTTCTTGGGTACAGGTTCAGACGCGGGTAAACGTTTCGCTGGGGTGGAGACGACGGGACTCAATGCAACGGATCTACATGATGCGCCTGCTGAGGAGGTGAGGAAGAGGATGAAGGATGCTGTCAAGAGGCTGCTGGGCAAGGGCAAGGTTGGCGCAATCTGTTTGGGTTGCGCGGGTATGGCGGGCATGGATGAGATGGTAAGGGAGGCTTGTGTGGAGGAGTTGGGGAAGGAAGAAGGCGGAAGGGTGAGGGTTGTGGATGGGGTTATGGCAGGGGTTGCGTGGCTGGACGGGGCTATTAGGGCGGGATTCTAGGATAAGATCCTATTGAAGTAGCAAACATTCCGTCATGGAGACCTTGAACATGCGCTCCAAATTTGTAGAAACCTTATCAAGCGGCAGCGGGTGGTTGCGGTATCTCCAGCGCTGGTGCTGATCAAAGACGGGATGACGTACCCGGAGGCCCACCAGTTCGGACCCTCGATTATGCCACCGATACTACCTCAACTGTGTGCTTCACGCTTTACTCAAGCCTCGCCAACCACAAACCTCGCGATCGCCATTTATACTATTAGTTATTTACACACCATCATGCAGTCGCTGCCAAACGAGCTCCTAGCTCAGATCGCCTCGCATCTCGCAGACCAAGCCCCATCGATCACCAAATTCAACCACGAGCCATCTTCGCACTTAACACACTCTGATTCCACACCGCTAAAGTTACTCTCCCTAGTGTCATGGAGGTGGAGAAAGGTTGTGCTCCCAATCCTCTTCCAATACGCCCGTATAGCACTGGATAAGGAAGCACTATGGGTACCAATGGATGCGCGACTCGTGGATAGCATGCAGGGGGAGCTATCCAAGTTAAGTAACCATGAGTTCATGATCTACACCAAACTTCGAAGCAAGTTTAAGAGTACTTCTGGGTCTGCTTTCGAGCCGGCTATGGACGACGTGCTTATTCAATTGTGTCGCATCCAGGACGGAGACGAATTCCTCAAGGCGACTCTGCGTGCCGCGTGGATTCCGCATCTTTCGAAGGATTTCGACAGGTTCACGCAATTTGTCACGCATAATGATCTGAAACGCCACGTTAAGAGCTTGGTGGTGCATACGGATCAAGAATACAACTTGTGGCATGTATCTACCGCTCACGACCATATGCTGCGCTCAGTATCCGACATTTGGACAAAGACGTTTTCCTGTGTAGAACCTACGCGTCTCGTTATCGCCGCACCACCAAAAACCATGGCCACGCTGGTAGATTCTGCTGTGGGCAGCAACGACAACTGGGCTTTTGAGATGAAGATGCACTACATCGAGCTTCTCCAGAAAGAGCCTCCACATGACAAGAACTCGGATAGCGAAGTCCGGTATTCTAGCTGCCAACTCCTGCGGCAAAAACCCTGGTACCATCTCGGCTACAACGAGGGCTCTTCCATAACCGTATACAGCACCTACGAATTTCATCTCATGGTGCCGCCCCGGATCCTCGAACTCCTCCTCTACCGTATTGCCAGCTATGCCAAGAAAACAGAAACATGCCGCCACTTCACGTCGTTTAGCTTCACTGCTGTCTTTCCCCTGTTATCAGGCCTCACACCCGTACTGTGCGGCATGCACATGATACCGTCCATCACCAAAGCTACCTTCCAGCTCGCCCCAGGCCCCGAAAGCGACCTCCTCAGTGATTCGAGTAAGCGGCGCAAAGCCCAATCTTCGGATTTCTGGTCCGAGTGGCGGATGGGATACAAGCAGATAGCTGATTTTGGGTTCTTTAGGCAGGGCAAGATGGGGGGCGCGAAGAGTGCGTGTAGAACGTTAACGGAGATTGTGAGTAAGGACTGCTATACGGGACAGTTGAATGATGAGGTTGCGGAGGCTGTGGAGGGTTCTTTGAAGAATGACGTGTTTGGGTGGAAGGGGGATGGAGTGGGGAGGTGGGTTAGGGATCCCGAGGAGAGGGAGCACCTCAAACAAGAAGAAATTTAAACAGACCTGGAGCCTACATCGACGTTGGGTTACTTACTTTGTGTGTTTTTATGTTGATGTAGGTTACAGACCTGTTCGGCCTTTTCCTGGGTTGACGTTGGGAAGTATGGGTTAATGCCGGTTTGGAGGATTTGTATATACGGAAGAAATATGCATTACATATGCCGTGTGAGAGCTGCAGCATACAATGCCGCATACACCATCACAGTACAGCTTAATTCGTGAGAACAACTCGAATTGGGAATACGGACGTCTTCGTACCCCCTGTGTGTCAACGTGTTTAATCAGCGAAGGCCTCGTCAGAATATTGACACTGCAGTCACATCACCACACGAACGCTTGAATACCCATGTCTCCCTTCCTCTCCTCGCCAGCTACAACCTGATAGCCCAACGTTTCAAAAGCAATGATCGAACCCGTAATAACAACAGCCCTCATACTATCCATCTTCGCACTTATCGCCTACTATCTTCAACCACAACGCGAAAGTTACCAACGCTACTACTACCACTACCAAGTTAGACGAGTGCGTGTCATAGCTGATCCCTAGGGTCGTAGCCGTGAAGGTGGTCTGAATGGAGGAGCGGAGTGGAGAAATGAATGGGAGTTGTACGAACAAGAAAATGAAGAAGGAGGTAGGGAAGCAGGCGAGTGGGCGATAGGAGTGCGGGAATTGGGTTTGATTGGGAGGAGGCTTGTTTTGGAAGGGAGTGTTGATGCTGGGGATGAGAAAGAACCTGGTGCGGCAGAATCCGTTTTCGAAGACGCAGCTACCCATAAGACAAAGACTCACAAAGCCACTGCTTCACAGGCTTTATGCCCGCCGGTTATTTGCCTCACCATTCCTGATAGCGATAATTCTTCTACTGTCTTATCGGCGCACGACGCAGAGCACGAAGCTAAGTTTGAGAACTGCGGGGATAACACGCTTGACCAACAGAGCAAACAACGCGTTCAGTTCGACGAGACGCTCAGGATGCATAGTTATGGTGGCAGTCAGTATGTGGGGAGGGTGATGGATGAAGATGTTGAGAGAAAGGCGATGGTGAGGAGGGAAAGGGAAGAGGAGGAAGAGGAGGCGTGGGGAGGAAGTGGGTGATAGGCATGAGTGAGTTGATGCCATTGAGACAGGGTATGTCGGTACTGTCCTGTATCGAGCGTGTCCTCGCCGATGGATGCGTATTGTTTTCCCAGATCTTTAATTTGCAACATCTTAGACGTTTTCTTGAAAGCTACGGAGGCTAACGACACATCTTAGTGATACCGAATGATAGTAGCGTCGTCGTACAGAATGCTCAAATTGAGCCAGACCATCATCCTGGTCGATGCTATTGAAGCGTACTGGCTAGGAAGGAAGGACTGCCTGGTCATGACATCATCTCACCCGACAAGGCTACACATGAAAGCAACGCGCAGCTGCCCCACCACGATACCACCGATGTCAACGACTAGGCTCCTATCCGCTTCGCTTCCGACATCTGAACGTCTATCTGGCAACATCATATTCGGATGAGGCCGTATCCTGGTCATTCTTCTTACTTCCCTATCGTATGCCTGCCTTGTGGTGGAGCTCTGAACGGCTGAACCAATGAGCGACTCACTGCAGACTGACACCCTTTGCGAGCGCTGCAGCCTTCTCAGTTTCGATGATCTCGCAATCGGAGGTCAAGAGATAGTAGGCGAAGACGGTGTTGCGCGACTTTTCTTCCCTGATTCCATTATCGAATTTCGTCCTACAGATTGGCTGAAAAGTCGAGAATTTGACAAGTACCCGCCTTTTTGTCGACTGGTCCGCCTTGATTGGAAGCTCGAAGACACTCTACCTGGAATTCCCCTTTTATCTCGTTCTTCTCAACTTGGTTGTGCATTCTGTCAAGTGTTACACAGGTCGCTGGAAGAGTTACTTGCGGAAGAGGCGAAGGCCTCTTCCATGAATGCTGGTACACTGAACTTGGTTGCGTATCTTTCACTGGCTGATCAGGGTATTGGAGAACTAGTAGTGGAAGTCACTTCTGATCAGACCGACTTTCACAGCATGTTGAAAGCTGACCATATCTTCTTTCCTGTTGAGGCGGCCTCTAGTAAGCTGTGCCATCCAACTAATTACTGGGTCGTATAGACTAACTATTTCTCCGAAGATTGTGCGAAGTGGCTAGGAGCTCAGGTCGCGTGCAGTTCTTCGTACTTGGATCCTATCAACGTTCAAAAGATGTGTCAATTGCTGGAGCATTGCACGTCAGTATGCCACCCTGAGGCTCCATCGTCTTTCTTACCTACGAGGCTCATAGACGTTGGCCATGACGCATCCGTCATACCCCGCTTGGTTCTGTCCTCTAAACTCAGCAAATCTGAGCAAACAAGGTACGCTACCTTGAGCTACTGTTGGGGTAGTGAGAAAGATGCCGAGTCACAGTTGAAGACCGAGAAAGTATCTCTGGAACACTGGTGTGTGCGTCTACCCATCGAACTTATGACGCGGACTACCAATGATGCCATCGCGCTTGCAAGGGAAATTGGCCTTCGCTACCTATGGATCGACGCTCTCTGTATCATTCAAGATGACAAAGATGACTGGTTACGCGAGTCTTCTCAAATGAACTTAGTGTATCGCCACGCTTTTGTCGCTTTTTGTAGTCTAAACTCGAATTCATGTCACGAGAGCTTCCTCAATAAAGCCCTGGCGATAGAGGTTCCGTTCCAGTCAACTATACGGAAAGGCATCAAAGGTTCCTACTTGATTCGACTACGTTCAGTAGACGCACCCTACACACGTCGCAAAAAGTACGCATGGGACAAGAGGTTATCGAAGTGGGGCAAGAGATGCTGGACTCATCAGGAGGAAGAAATGTCGACTCGACTCATACTTTTCGGGAACTTGAAAATGCATTTTTCCTGTGCTAAATACAAATGGTCTGAAGGAGATGAAGCTCCTAGGCCTAGATCTACAAGGGGAGTCATGGACCAAATCATCAGGTTCAGGGACGGCTCTATCTCCTCCAAGGAACTCTACCAATTCTGGAGCCGGTTAGTTCACAAATATGGTTATCGCACAGTGACTTTCGAAAAAGACCGCCTTCCCGCTATCGCTGGACTTGCTCGCATGGTAGGCGAGACACTCCAAGACCAGTATCTCGCCGGACTCTGGAAGGGTGATCTAATCTACGGATTGGCCTGGTACAGCAGTGGTGATATGCTTTCACGCGGTCTTGACGTTCACATACGGAATATTCGGGAACGGGCTTATGTTGCACCTTCATGGTCTTGGGCAGCATGCCCAGCTGTGGCAGTCGTGAGATATCCCGGTGCACGTATAGTCGAAGAGTCAACTGTAGTGAACGTCAATACTGATACCAATCCCAAGGATCCATATGGACAAGTTTCCGGGGGGTATCTTCGAATGCACGCGAAAATGGCTGGAATGCCGAGATGGTTACCGACTGACCAAGGAACCCGGTGGTTAAACACCTGGTACCACATCGTGGGAGACGACGATGCCATTCAGGTTATCACAGATTGGCTTCACAAGGATGAAGAAATAGGACTGGAGATTCTCGTCCTCATGCTTCTCCACCGCATTGAGCGCGAGAATGAAACAGAAGAACCATCCCTACGGGCTCTGTTACTTCATCCTGCCGGTGAAGCGGATCTATATTACCGAGTGGGCGTTGCAATATCTTACGGACACGAGGCGTGCAGAGTGATGAAAGATTGGTTTGACGATAGCCAAGAAGAAACCATTTGCATTATTTGATATGCTGGAATTCTCGAGTCGGAATAAATGTATCTCTACAGCGTATGGAAAGATGTACGTGTGTGTCAATCGCAGGACTTGGTATGCGGGTAAAGTTTGGGACAAGGAAGAGGACAGTGAAGAAAAAGAGGTACTCACTAAGGAGAGAAAATGACCAGGAGAGGAGGAACAGGTTAAGAAACATGAGTAAGCTTGATTCTATCTTGCATGGGTATATAAGTGTAAATGCCAAAAACCACCATCCTCCGTTATCATATCATATATCGTATACCAGTGAGATCCCCGTTTACCGTCTCATGACCCATCATATCATGACCATGTTTCCCAAACAACCAAAACCATAAATGCAAACAAAACGAGACGTCCAACAACCACCTCACCATCTCATCACGTCATACACAACATCTCCTCCCACCCCACCGTCCACCTCACACTCCCCATAACCACAACCAACAACCCCAGTCCAGCGGCTACACTCGCACCCGCATAAAGATACGCACTCCTTCTCCTCTTTGCCGTATCAATTTCCACAATCCACGTACTGACCGTAGTCAAACAGCCACAGAACCCATCTTGGATCCCCTGGAGAACCGCACAACCAATCACACTACCTCCAACCAGCCCTGTACTGCTAAGGGGCACGTGTTGGAGATCGTATGCCATACCAAGGACAGCAGTACCGAATATATTGACGGTGAAAGTGCCGAGTGGGAAAGAAGGCGCAATTGGGTTGAGGAAGAGGGAGATGTAGTATCGGAGTAGACAGCCTGCGGGCGCGAAAACGCATGCGAAGAGGGCTTGGGACCGCCATGTTGAGTAGGGAGGCAGGCACACCATGATGATAGCGCCGAACCATACGCCCCAGCCTAGTATGACGAAGATTGGATCGCAGACTCGGCGCGTGAACCGGAAGGGCAGGCTGGGTGTGAAGCGGTCTAGGGCCAGAGCGAGATGCGCGCCGATGTGGAGCGCGCAGTAACATGTTGCTATGGTTATTATGATGGTGGCGAGGATGGCCATGACGGAGTATCCGCCGTTACGCGGTACTGTGGTGGTCACAGCCGGTGTAGATGTACCCGCAGGATAAGGATGATTTATAGGGCTTTTGAGATCATTCGATAGCGCGAGGAAGATGTCGCGCATGAAACTCGAGAAACTGGTAAATGATCCGCAGAACCCTGTTGCTAGACCAATATACACTGGTATCGTTTTCTTGATCTTCCCATGTCGTGCTTTGTGTTGAGAGTGTTCGATATCATTGGCGGGATAATCGGTTGGTTCGGGGAGTTTCTCTTCACCATCATTACTATTACTGCGACTCCCCCATTCCGCAGCGAAGAGACGGCGGTCTTCGGATAAGAAACCCATTATGAATGTGCCGGCGACATTGGCCCATAGTTCAGAGAAGATGACTGGTGCGCCGGGGTAAAACGTCATGGCTTGTAGACCCAGACGAGCTAGCGTGCCCCATATGGAGAAAAAGATAAGGTAGGAGATGGTGTACAGCTCCGTGGCACATCTCGATGCTTTTTGCTGCCCAGGGGTGCGCTTGGAGCGCAGGTGGCGCTCTGCGTCCGCGTGGTAGTGGTCATAGTGGTGGGTGTGGTCATGCCCATCTTCCTGGACGGGCGACATGCTGGGCAGGGCCGTAATGTCTAGCTGAGACCCTGATGCAGCTCCGGGCGCTACTCGTCCGAGTGGAAAAGAAGGTCTTCTCGATCGGTGTGGATGTGTTTGAGATGCCGGACTACCACCTCCAGGATTCTCCCTCTGTGACGCCCTACTCTGCGCTCGCGTTCTGGGCGTGCACAATGGCGTGGGAAGATTGGGCGAATGCGCGTTGTCGTTGTAGAGATGAAGCCAGGAGTCTGCTCCTAAGAGATCGTCGTCGTGTTTGCTCTCGCCGGCTCGTGAGGAGACTGTACTGAGCGATCGGTGCTTTCCGGCGTTTTTGTCCCACCGCTTCACGCTGCTGTACGAGTGATTCCGCTGTCGCGTATACGGTACATTGGGTGCGGGCGAGGCGGTCGAGGTGGGCGAGGGCAATGGCTCGCTATCCGCGTGCTCCGAGTGGACTCTCTCGAGGTCGAGGTTGAAGTCGTGCAGGCGGCGCAGGTCGCTGCGGGTTCGTGATCGCGGTTCCGGGCGGTGCGCAGACTCTTCGGAGAGGGTGGAAGAACGCAGTGACGAGCGCTGGTTGTTGAAATGCGACTCGCGCTTGGTGGGGACATCGTCGTCGTCAAGCGCAGCGTTGGTCATAGCTGCCGTCCTGGTCCCGTTTGTGCATGCAGCTTCGATGTGCAATGACGTGCGGGTCCCAAGGTGAGCAGTCACCCGTAACTTTGTATTGTATAATCTCAGCTCACGACGCCGTGTGCAACTTGGAGTAACGCGCCATGCTGTTTTCTATGATGCCGGGACAAAAGTGGCGATGCCCGAAAATAAGACAGCACACGTATATCAGCCCTCCTTCGCGTCTCTCCTCCCTCCTGCGCCAAATAAGAAAAGGTCAAATCTCAGTAACCTTTGCTTATGCAAATACTGGGACGAATGGCGCGCGATTCCTTTTTCTCCGATTGGCAGGGGCACCCCAGTCTAGCGGCACTGCACCTGCCGAGGCGTGACAAGATTTCGTGTCACGGAGGCGCCCGACGCCATGGCATCTGTTATCGCCAGCATGTGGGGAGCTAGGCGTGACCACGCGCTTGTCTCATGCACCTTCTTGAATGGACAAGTAGGTGAAGTTGAATACACCGACTATATATTTCAGAATACCAAGACCTGCAATACTGCTATATCTCCTGCTCTTTCACTAGTACCAATCCACCATGTCCGGCATCAACCTCCCCAAGAACGCCCACGTCTCAACACACCCATGTCTCCAGGCGAAGCTCTCACAGCTCCGATCGGCGAGCACAGGGTCCAAAGATGCGCAGACCCTGGTGCATGAACTGGCTCTCATGGTCGGCTATGAGGCTCTGGCCGCTGGCTTAAAGGCACAAGACGCAGGCACCGTACGTTCACCCATCTCATCACGTTCACATTCACCCGGTCACATCATGTCACAAAGTGGGGTGGTACTCCGTGACATATACATAGAAGGATTCCCATATCCCCAAATCACCAAGACAACAACCATAGCAGCAATGCTATACTATGCCATACCATCTGCTAACGTGCCGTCTTCCAGGACAAATCCCCGCTCGGCTACGAATACACCACAACCACCACCTCCCCCTCCCCCACCTCCATATCGCTCGTCCCCATCCTCCGCTCCGGCCTCTCCATGGTCCCCGCGCTTTCCTCCCTGCTCCCCATGCCCGTGCCCGTCCACCACCTCGGTCTCTACCGCGAGAAATCTACCTTACAACCCGTAGAATACTACAACAATCTGCCCTACCACACCCCGCACGCAGCTGGCTCAACCAAGCCCCAACCAGAGCTCGCCATCATTGTAGATCCCATCATCGCGACGGGTGCGACAGCGCAGGCGGCTATTGACACGCTGAAGGATTGGGGCGTTAAGAGGATTATCGTCGTTGCTATTTTGGCGACGGAGGAGGGGCTGCAGAAGGCGTGTGGAGAGTGGGAGGAGGGTGTGGAGGTGTGGGTCGGTGGCTGTGATAAGGGGGTTGATGAGAAGGGTATGATTAAGCCTGGGCTGGGCGATATTGGCGATAGGCTGTTTTTGACGTTGGGGAAATAAGTAAATAAGGGGATATGAATCATGAATGAATGTGATATGGAGCATCTAATGCGAATGTAAACGACGTCACGAGATGTTTTACTCATGTTTATCACGATCCATAATCTTCTTCTACGTCTGGACACGCAGGACCTGGACGGAGAAACAATAGTCCATGAGCGTAATCCATCCTTTCGAGTTGATGTTTCCACCACTGTACCTTCCATTCCTCGAGGTTCAACAAGGCAATCGCTTGAACATCCTCCTCAGGATCAACATCCTTACCAGTGTTGAAGTTGCACTTGATATTCCCGGTTCCAGTACCCAAACGTCGCAGAATATTTGGGAGTTCCTCGTACATGTAGCCGACTCGATAACGTCGCTCCAGCCAGGAAGGTGAAGGCAGAAACTGGTGCTCGTGCGCGTAGCTGATATCCATGGCTGCCTGCCATGTGGCATCTCGTTGGAAGATGTCCTAGAATACTGTGTCTGCTATCTTAGGACAAGCCTCTGTGTATCCGTCCAATATCATAGTGCAGACATCAGGAGGCATACCCAGTGTTTCCAATGCGTTAAGCTCGATGAGCCAGGGCGCAATAGCTTTGGTGGCAGACTTGACTTCAGGTTCAGGGGTGTGCAGGTCGTATAGATAGGGGCATTGAGCTAGGCTTGCTGTCTTCCACATGCTAACTCGTCGTTCGATGCGAAGCTGTGGGATCTCAACGCAGAACGGACTGAAGCCTCGCATATGGCATTCAGGATGCGCGATGGATTGTTCGTCCTCAAAGAGCCAGATTTGCCGTATGTGCTTGAGTAACTCTGATGGAAGAGACTCAAGGAGACTTATTGCGATGGAAGCAGCAGAGTACTGATATGGCACAAATTCGTATCGGCGGTCGAATGCCTCTGTCGATGTGCCACAGACCTCCATGACACGATTGAAAATCTCTTTGTGCGGTATTTTCCAAACTGGTGGATTCAGATCGATCAATCGAGACAGTGTGCATGTTGGCGTCGGCTCATGTGGCGGAATTCGCAGACTGCGCGTCCAAGTCAAATCATCTTTCGGAAATTGAGGATGCCTCAACATCGTTTTCAGAGTATACTGAATGAAGTCGCGGTACACGGATGGTGTCTCGCCCCAATCGTGGCTCTTGGGAAACTCTACAGCATCGTTCTTCAAGCGCCAGTTGGAGAGGATGGGTCGGAACTGCGGATACTGTAAAGCTACCTCTTCTTCATTCGACTCTGTTAGGTATAGACGCGCCATGTGGTCAGCCACATCTTCTTTGTACCTTTCGAGTTTACCAAGGCCGCCGTGCCATAGTTCATTGTCGTGATGTGAGCTGTTGAGAAGACCGACATGGAAGACAAAAGAGTTATTTCCAAGGAGATGGCCAAGCGCCTCTTTCAGTATGGTTTGGCAAGTAAACGCAAGCGATATCTCTTTTGGGCCCTTGTTCGTCATTGTGAACTTGAGTGTGTTTGCATTGTACACCAAATCTCCTTCCGGTAGGTAGAAGTCGTATACGAGGTCGCGGATTTCTCGGGGAAGATCCATGAAGGACAGATTGAGTTGCTTCAATTTCCGGGAACGGGTGTGACGCGGAGGCGTAGAGGAAGCAGGCTCAATACCCATGTCCTTGAAGATGAACATACTGGCCATCGCCGCCAAGCCATCGCAGGCCATGTCGTTCCTGCGCTGGATGTAAGAAGTCGTTGAGATTGAGATAGGCCTCGGTCTTCTGAGAATGTAGAGATGCGTGTATGATCGTGGGGCGTGGCGAGGGCATGCTAATCTGGTAACTGTGCCTCAAGAAGCTATCCCCGGTCGCAAAGCACATGGTCCAATTAGCGCTCGACTGGCTGTTGCGTGAATATCGCACGCTCCTGCATTGGACTTTACTATGCGTTGTTACGGTTTCCCCTCGAGCTCAAAGTATAGCTCCCAGTGGTTTCTGCAACCAGGATTGAATGCGCTTCCGCATTGTGTGCATTTGCTCCCACTATCCATGTACTCGGTGACACTCAAAACATGCTTGCACTGTCCGCAAAGCACCGCGCTCTCATCTCTTCGCGAGCAAGGCCAGACATCAGATTTATGAGACTCACATGCATTGTGACAACTAATGCACGCGTAAAACTTCTCGCAGCAAAAATGCTTGATGGCGATGATGTCGAGTGCGGAGTGCCAATGGGCGCATTGCGTTAGTGGCGTGACTGACAAGCCGTAGACAGTCGGAGAGTCTTGGGTTTCGGATGGCATTGGGCTGGTTGTGGTAGAACCGCAGTACTAAGTGGCCTTGCATGTGGAGGATTTCGGCCGGCTATGAGGCTGAAGGCTAAGGAGCGCTGCGGGATGATCAAGTGGGTGACCCCACTCTTTCGTCATCGCTTCATCCAGTCGAAACCACCAAGTACATGCGTGATCGTGACTGTAAAATGTCTTTTTCTTTTCAACACATATAGCCTTGAAGTATACATCGCAAGACGTAAATGCCGCAAGGCAATGGCATGGCTTCTGTAGCTGCCTGGCGTTGGGTCCCACAAGATGTATAATGAAACGTCGCGACACTTGCCAATTCGCTGAAGAGATTTCCTATTGGATCACCGCCCCCATTGTTTTTCAGCAATGCTTCGATCAAGCCCGAGTTTTGCCGGATGCTCTTACTGTACAGCACAGCTCAAAGTCCTCAGACGTCACTAGCCCCGCGTCACCCCACTAAGCTGTAAGAAGTGCTGCTCCTGCTCAACAACAACAACACTCCGTGCCCTCCTCATTCACAACACTCAATCACAATCCCACACCCTTATACCCTAACACAACACCTTTCCACGCAAGTACAACCAATCAAACCGCAAACATGGCTCGTCAATTCTTCGTCGGCGGCAACTACAAGATGTGGGTACTTTCACAAGCTGTGAGTGCTTGGAGATGATGAAGAGAAGCTGACAAGTCTAAAGGAATGGCGACATTCAGACCATTAAGTCGCTCGTTGAGAACCTCAACAAGGCCCAGCTCGACCAGAACACAGGTACGTCGAAACACCTTTCCAGCGATCCGAGAAAAGCGCAAAGCTCCATCACACCATCGAGAGGACAAAACACTGACTCCAGAACCAGAGGTCGTGATCGCCCCATCAGCCCTCTACCTCCTCCTCGCACGCGAACACCTCCGCAAGGGCATCGAGGTCGCGGCGCAAAACGTCTTCGACAAGCCTAACGGTGCCTTCACCGGCGAGATCTCGGCACAACAGCTCAAGGACAGCGGCATCACCTGGGCTATCCTTGGTCACTCAGAGCGTCGCCAGATCCTGCAAGAGAACGACGACTTCGTTGCCAGCAAGACAAAGACTGCCATCGACAACGGACTCAGTGTAATTCTGTGCTGCGGTGAGAGCCTGGAGCAGCGTGAGGCGGGCGAGACCGTCAACGTTGTTACCAAGCAGCTCAAGGCTGTTGCGGACAAGGTCAAGGACTGGAGCAAGATTGTCGTTGCCTACGAGCCCATCTGGTGCGTTCAATCCTAGATATCCAATCCCTTCATAGTCACTAACAAATAATAGGGCCATCGGTACCGGCAAGGTCGCAACTACCGAGCAAGCACAAGAAGTTCACGCCGCTCTCCGTGAGTGGCTCAAGAAGGAGGTCTCAGCCGAGGCTGCTGAGAAGACCCGTATCCTGTACGGCGGCAGTGTCTCAGAGAAGAACTGCAAGGAGCTCGCCAAGCAGGCAGACATTGACGGTTTCCTCGTCGGTGGTGCTAGCTTGAAGCCTGCTTTCGTTGACATCATCAACGCTAACCAGGCATGAATGCCTCGAAGCGATGCTCGTCTATGAATGATTGGAGCTTGCTTTGGGAGCGAATAGTTATGATCTTATGAAATAAAACAAGACTTGGCTAGGACCTATGTAGATTCAGCAAAATGAACGTCCATGAAGATCATCTGTATAGGTTCTGGAAGTTTTGTGATTCCTGTGTTTTTTATACATTGTTTGTACATCGTTTATGGATTTCCCGGCCAGTATATGCCGCTTACATCTCCTTGAGCATGCCTGAAAAACGTCGGATCTTTCCGCATTTATCTCACAGAAGCAAAAATCTGGCCAATATGCCACTACGCCTTGCCATCATTGTCGCTGGATATCGTCGCGTATAATATTCGTCTTCTTCCGCCTTCCGTTCTTCATATATCGATTTTGCTGCCATGGAACGGACTCCAGATGCCCCTAACGCTCTCGTTCAGACTCTTCACTGGTCGTCCATCCAGCTTCCTGTTCTTCTCTCCTGTGCTGTTCCTCAACATCTCTGCCTTCTCCCTCACACCCTCATTTTGCAGGTTCTTCACGCATATTGATCGTTGCGCGCCGTTGATGTAGTTTGCGATGATTACGGGGTGGTGGCGTGGCCGTGGGCTGACGGAGATTTCGATCTGAGGGTTGCGCTTGGCGAAGGCGGGGAGAGAGGCTTTGAGGAAGGCGTTCATGCCTTTTGAAGACCCCCACCAGTTGCAGTAGTGGAAGGTGATGGACTTGCACGGGAGGACAAAGGCTCCTACGCCGTTCTGTGGTCGTAATTAGCATTCAGAATGACAAATGCGAGGATAGATGGATCAGCGAAGACATACCTGGGCCTTTGCGACCGTCTTGATAGCCGAGAGAGGCATATTGGCGAGCAATTGCGGTGATGACGGCGGTGCTTTCACCAATCTCAAAGTCCAAAGTCGGGCCCGGATCTCACGTGCGGTGGTCGCAGCCTAGGTTTGCGCTAGTGCGAACTCCGCGTCGCAGCTTCCTCGAACGCACCAAGTCCCAAACATCGACTTTCATCGTCGCGCCCTCCACTCCTCATATTCCAACTATTCCACATCGCCGTCTGGAGCGCATTCCAGAAACAAACTCGCCAACATGACGCATCTACTCCCCCCGATGCTGTTGAACTTGTTCGCCCCGCGGCCGCCGCTGCGATGGGTCGAGCCTTCCGACCACGCGCCTGAGAAGCGCTGCACGCCCAAGATTGGCGGCATTGGCCAGTACATGGAGGCGCTGAAGGAGTACAAAGATAACGACGGCTACGTGCCTACCGACAGCTGGCTGCAGAAGCGCGATCGCAAGAAGCTCGAAAAGAAGGAGAAACAGGAGTATCTGCTTACGGAAGGGGTCAAGGATTGTACGACATCACCACGCGCGCAAATTCCATCACGCACGCAATTATCATTTGCTTCATTCACTAACATTATATAGACAAACCCGCTGAAGATCCCAAAGTACAGGGCGACGCCTTCAAGACGCTTTTCGTTTCTCGCCTATCGTATGGCGTCACCTCCGATGACCTCGAGCGCGAATTCGGCCGATACGGTCCCATCGAACGCATTCGCATTGTTGAAGACGTTACCCAACCCGCCGACGCGCCGCCCAAGAAGCGAAAGCGCGGTTATGCTTTCATCGTCTTTGAGCGCGAGAAGGACATGAAGGCTGCATACAAGGAGACAGATGGTATCAAGATCAAGGATCGACGCGTGCTTGTAGATGTCGAGCGCGGCCGCACTGTCTCTGGATGGCGCCCACGTCGCTTCGGTGGCGGTCTCGGTGGACGAGGCTACACCAAGGGCCCGTCTGCTCGTGGGCCAAGCGGAGGGGGTAGCCAATTTGGAGGACCTCCAGCTGGCCCTGGTGGCTTCGGAGCCCGCGGCGGTGGCTTCGGTGGAGGTTTCGGCGGACGAGGTGGTGGCCGTAGCGGCTTCGGTGGTGGCTTCGGGGGTGATCGAGGAGGCTTCGGCGGCGGACGAGGAGGTTTCGGTGGCCGCGGTCGAGGTGACTTTGGTGGTGGTCGCGGAGGTATCGGCTACCAATCCAATGGCTATGGACCTCCCGATGGCGCCCCAGCTGGTCCTCGCGGTCCACGAGGTGGTGGCTTTGGCGGCGACCGAGGAGGCGGAGGTGGATTCGGAGGCGACCGCGGTGGAGGCGGAGGACGATACGAAGACCGACGCGGCGGCGGTGGTGGTGGTGGCTACGACCGAGGATCCAGCGGCGCTAACAACGAACCGCTCGGCAGCAGAGATCGATACCGCGACCGTGACGGTGGGTACGGTGGTGGAGGCCGAGACGACGGCTCGAGGAAGCGCGGTTACGAAGGCGACAGCTACGACGACCGAAGCCAGCGCCGCAGATACTAGGCCCGCTCGATGGCTCACGTATCTTCTGCAAGGGTTTGTCAAAGGTTACCTCCCCTTTCTTCGCCTCACCCTTTCTCGGCACTGAGGGTAAGATCGAGTTTGTTCTGCTCTTGACGTTCGACCATTCAACACAGCGTTACAGGTCAGGATGGTAAGGGTTGTCGACATGTCACCTCTAGGCTTTCGATCGGTCATCACATTCTCGTCGACTAGCAGTCCACGTCTCGATCTCGACTCTTCGGTAAAGCAAAGGTACAGCGTCATCCCTTTAGTCGACTGCAGCAACGATCTTCGTCATCCGAGGTTCGCACAGGTTTGGTAGGCCGGAATGGGTAGGGCAAGGTGAACTTTCTCCCGCATGTTTTATTAGCTTTCTTTCTTCCAAATTTTTCCATCCTTGTTCGCGATTCTGCCTGGGTAGGTATAATGTAAGTTATAAGCACGATGGTTCCAGTAGTGCAAAGACGTCAAGGTAAGGTTAACAGGTAAGGAGTTCACTTCCTCGCTTGGTGATCTTACTGTGATGTGTTAGGTTAGAAAAGCATTCTTTGCCACCTGTGTAGTACGTTCGAGTCCGAGTCCGATGCTCTATGCTCTATAGATGACTTTCACTATCGACAATGTAGTTGAATGAAAGTCTCCCTATGAAGATTGTCTCTCTTCAAGGCCTCACTACCCCTTTCTTTGCACTTCGGCGAATGGTGTACGGACTAGGAGTGGTGCCTCTTGGAAGTGCTCTGCAGAACCTATTTCAGTCTGGTGTTCGCCTTCTTCTCTTAGTGCGTTACTCCTGGAGCACTCAACTAGGTTGTGGTACTACAACTACCAATTAAACTACATCATGACATCACTGCGACGTTCAAATGGTGCTAGCAAGCATGCGCTTCTCGAAATTCTCGATGATCCTACCCTCGAAGCAGAATGCGTGATTATGAAGAAGCCCGTGGACTAGGAAGAAGACGAGGATGGCGAGCTACACCCAATTATCGCATCGTACAAACGAGCCCAGGTCAGCCCACTATTCCCTTTCCTTAAACTTCCAACAGAACTACGTCTCAAGACCTACCGCTACTGTCTCGTGCAGGACGAACCCATCGAAGTGTAACCCAGAGCCGACCATCCAACGGGACTCACCCTCAGTCTGCTCCGCACATGCAAAGCAATGCACGACGAATGCGCACAGGTGCTCTACAGAGAGAACGACTTCCGCTTCTCAGAACGCTTCAACCACCTTGACTTGCTTGGCTTTTTCAGGCACATCGGGCCAGATATGGCTAGATGGTTGAAGCACTTGACCATCAAAATACCATTTATCGATGCTCGCTATCCGGTGCACAAGTACTATAGTCGCCTTTCCCAAGAATTGCGCAACCCGTTCGGCTTTCACGATGTCCACTACAGACATATCTATCCGGAACTAGCACAGCCTCCTCGATACTCCGAGGCGTACGATGAGGAGAAGATTACACGGGGCTATTTATTTAGATCGCTCATCTGTACTCTGCATCCCCTCCCGCAGCTCCGCGAATTGACTCTCGTACTCCCGAATAACTGGTCATACTACGATAATCACTGTCACCCGCCTGGCTACTCCCGTGCGGCCTTATGTCTAGGTACCGAGGAGGTGTGATTCTACTTGGACGCCTTGCTTCGTGCCAAACCATTTCTTCATGTATCTATTGTGCAGGCTTTGGAGGAAGAAGGCCGCAACTTTGAAAAAACCCGGGATGCCCGAAGATACTGCGAAATCGCAAGCGGTTTCTTGCGCACCTTAGGCGTAGACTGGGGGTTTGGGAGGTTTGCCTCGCACTTCATGATGGGAAAACGCTTTGGAAGATGCTGGATCGGGTGGAGGAGGATCCTGATACGTACCTCCGTGATGTGCGCCGTCTTTTCGCCAAACAAACCATGAATTCGGCAATAATGTGTGTCGCATGTTGAAGAAATATTGTTTAAGATGATGTCTTGCCAGAACTATACATTGTCTTAAGACTATTCACTTGTTAAAGATGTAATAGTGTATATGCAGCAAACGTTGGAAAGGTCTTACTCCCATTCAATGCAAGATTAGTTTAACAACTCTGTGTTAATCTTCTGTTGGTGCTAGAGACGGAAATCGTCACGAGTCTTCCTTACATCCGACTAGTACCTTCTGCGCTCCGTAGCCTCCATGTCGTCACGCCTGTACCTTCTGCCCTCCGTAGCTTCCATGTCGTCGCGCCTGTACCTCCTGCCCTCCGTAGCCTCCATGTCGTCACGCCTGTACCTTCTGCCCTCCGTAGCTTCCATTTCGTCGCGCCTGTACCTTCTGCCCTCCGTAGCTTCCATGTCGTCGCGCCTGTACCTTCTGCCCTCCGTAGCCTTCTCATCATCGCGCCTCCACCATTTGTGCTCCGTGGCCTTCATATCGTCGCGCCTGTATCTTCTACGCTCCGTAGCATCCACAGCATCGCGCTTCTTTTGTTGGGGCTGGAGGGCACCAGCCACTGTACTCGTACTAGAGATGGTTGGTGTAATGACAAGAGCATCGGCCTCGATTATTGGGGGTGCAGCGATACTTCATATACACGTCAGCGCGGATATTGATAAGGTCTGCCAGCATACTCACGTGAGGGTAGCTGCCGGTAGGGTGATCGACAGCAGAGCAAGAAGTAAAGCTTTGTGATATCCGAGCATGATTGGAGCGATGGATTGAACTTGTTCGAGGATGATATGCAAAAGACAACTGAAGTGAGGAAGCATACTTGTTCTTGCCTGGCTCATATATACCACGAATGGCACAAGGGTATGTGGTTGACCCGCGACGTATCAAGAGTGTAAGTTCGACTAAATGTTCTACTCAGCCAGCCACCATCGGTCTCGACGGTTCGAGGCCTTTTAGACACTCTTTCTTGCGCATTGGGCCAAGATGCGGCTGGTAGCATATACGCATTAGTCCACTGTCTAAGCTAGAAGTCTGGGGTAAGGTACTACAACCGACGCCCGGATTCACCGATACTCCGACTAACCTTCCTTTCACCTTGACTAGATCAACTGAAACAACGGTCCGGTGACTCCGCGCCAGTAGGGGTACGGCTCGGAGGGGGGGTTTTGTCCAGAGAGAGACGTCGATATACTAGCATCAAGCAGCCTGCAGGCACTCGCTCAACACTACTAAGGCACTCCATCAACTACAATACATATCTCTGTGAGCGTGAGAATGCTCGCTGCCAAACGAGCACGCACCACAGTGCGATGTACTCGTCTTGGAGCGTTTCAACGCACTGGAGCGAGCAGATGTACGACCCTTTGTCGACCCCGGTATCGCCAGCTGAAGCTGATATCCTTATTGGGATGAAACAATATCGCACTAGGCTCCTCTACAGTGGTACGCCTTATACCGATTGGGTTTTCTTCTTGCCGTGGCTGCATGGAGCTTGCGAAACCCCAGACTCTACTACGGTACTGCTAGTGTCCTTTTTTCAGCCTCACAAGGTCGTAGAACGGGCCAGGCCCGCCCGCGTCTTCTCATCTCGATTGCGCGCTGTGCCGCACATCATTGCGGCTACCTCGACACGTGGCGAGGGGTGGTTAGATGTGGATCTCTTGTGGAAGTTAGACTTTGGGCGCGTTAGAGTTCAGGTTGAGCCGGACCTGTGTCTAGCGTTGCTGCTCGAAGCGATCACGAGCTAGCAGTATGGGCAGCATTCTTCACGTCTTACAATTTGTTCTCACTGCCGTTATAAAAGAATTTCCCGCGATATCCTGCTTCTAGTTATAGAGAACAAGTATGTTAAGTTTCACTATCAAGTGCCTTATGCGCAGTGTTATGATCTGCATGTAGTGCTTAGGTAGAGTATAATAAGGATATACGTGACGTATTCTACTACTAAGCAGATTCAGAGACCTTGCTAGTTAGTCATTCGCTCATTTCGAAGATGTTGACTATGATAGTGAGTCCCAGCGTGCGCCGGTTACCGTTCAGAGGCAATGCCTCGGCTTGCCCCGGCCTTCTGATGGTTCTCCATCACCATTCTCTGAGCGGCCAAAGCAGTGACGTGCAATCTTTTGTCAGTTTCTTGATAGCAATATTCATATATCATGTCCGTTAGAAACGCCGGCATTATACGCGTGCATAGTGTATAGCATTACATGAGTCCAGACGATCGACGAAGATCAAAGACTCATCGAAGTTAACCATATATTACATGTCTATCGATAAACCTCCAGTAACATGTGAGATTGTGGAATATCAAAACCACGCCTTACAAGGGCTGCAACATGACGTGCCCCTCAACGGAGAAGGTGCCATGGAGGCAGCGGTGCCTCGGTCTGAAACTCTTGCGGCTTATGTATTGTCCAGTCTTCTAGCATTCCGAGGGAAGGTAAAATCAGTTTCTCAGCTATATATTTACCCACAGACTTGGTTAAATCGCCAGTGTGACATCGTGCATCGTCCAAAAGATCTTCATCGACCATATCCTGATCGCGGAACAGGTAATACATGAGACTATCCTGGGCCACAGGGAAAACTGCCTTCATTCTAGACTACCTACACCTTCTTCCTCCGAGGCTGAACCAGTTCGCGGGGGAAAGAATACTTCTTCTTGTCCTTGCAACGATCGAATTGCTCAAGACGCATGAAGCTGATAGACCATGATGCTGCAATCTCCGTGTATTCGGGTTTGCTAAGAAACCAGCTGAAGTTCTCGTGGCCAGCAGCTTCAAAAAGGAACGTCCGCTGGACAGCGAGCTCCGAGCACTTCATCGGCAGATACTCGATAGTGTGATCCTTTTTGTTGCATAGCGGGCAAATGATCTTGGAGCTCTTCTTCTCGCAATATTGGCTAACATGACTTCCGCAACCACAATGAACGCCCTTATCAACACTGCCTATCACGTTGGGGTTGGGGTGCTGTTTATAGAGACGTAAAAGTGTAAGCGTCATGTACGATCCCTCAAAACGAGCACTGTCGCACACAGGCTGGTGGGACACTGAAAGCTTGCGAATGTGATTCAATTACACGACCGAGAACCCGCACATGTGCAAACACGCTATCTCTACCAATTACACGCTCCAACGCTTTTGCCATGCGCTCAGAGAACCACATCCCTTCTGAAGCTACACCCCGTCCAAGCATGATGTTCATCAAGAGAACATATTCGGCCTGACCTTCTTCGCACTCGACTGATCCTCATACTGCAAAGTGTTAGCATAAACATCCTCATTCCCTGTCGTGTCAAAGAATCTTACCTGCAAAAACCCCGTGACATCCACCAAAACGGTCCAACAATCCACCAAATCCACAATATCCTGCTGCAGCTCCTCGCCCATCCCCACACCCACATTAACGCTCCTCTTGAAAATACTAACCATACTATGTCTATTATCCTTCAAGAACTCTCTCGCCTGAAACACCGTTTGGTCGTTTTGCCTGCCCCTCGCAATCACCGCGGCGTTGATAACACGCAGCACAGCAAGCATAAGCTCATAGTACTTGCGCAGCGCATTCGGATCGTCGAACTCAAGACCAATATCTGGGTCTACGGAGAAGAGCTGCGAGTCGCGGATGGCAGGGAAGAGACCGGCGTTGAGGACGTGTGCGGCGCCGAGCCGGGACTGGCATACGCGGAGGAGGAGGGCGAGACTGGCGTCGTAGTAAGAGAGTAAGACGGGGACTAGGGGTGCGGCAGCGGCGGAGAGTTCTTCGGGGATGTGCTTGATGTTGTCGACGAGGACGCCGACGAAGTTTAGGGACACGAAGCTGTCGAGGATGTATTTTGAGGATTGGCGCGTTGCGGCTGAGACGAAGGCGTTGAGGAGGAGGAGTGCGGATACTTTGCAGGTTCCTTGGCCGCTGTAGGCGTCGTCGCAGATTACTTCGAGCATGTTGGTCCCGCAGTTTTTGATGGCGCTGAGGGTGTGGCGGCCGAGGAGGGAGTTGGGGGTTGCTTTGTTGAAGGTGCCGTGGATGTAGCGGAAGCAGATCTGGTAGCAGTACTCTCGTAGTTCGGCGGTGGACACGGGGCTGTATATGCCAATGAGTGCCGCGCGGAACAGTTGAGAGAGGCGATCGTTTGCGAAGTCGCCTGTCTTGTCGAATGCAGTAGACTCAAAGTCGACCTTTTGGATGAGAGCCTCTGCTAGGCTGGCAAGTTGGAGAGCCGTGAAGATGTCGGAGGAGTACGACTGCTCAAGCTTGGGCAGAATGACTTGTAGTGTCTGCATGATGAAGGAACTTCGCGCGCCGTTCTCGAAGTCGCAACTGTGTACCGCAACCATGACGACTTGGACCCACGACTGCAGAATATCCTTGTGGTAGCGGAGAAGTTGTGTGCGACGGTTCCAGTCCACGAATATAGCCATGAGCAGTTCGGCTTGCTCAACGAGTTGTTCTTCTTGCTCCTGATCATTCAGTATGCCTTCCTTCCGCCAATACTTCATCTTCAATCGGATGACTTGTTCCAGGAGTGGCAAAGAGTAGAGAGTGCTACCCTCTTTTTCTTCTTGACACGAGGACAGGTTGACTCCCTCGAAGAACTTGTGCTGATCTGGCAGAGCGCGCTCAGGATAGGTCAGTTCGATGAAGTCGAATAGATCGAAGATGTTCGGGTTTGGTATTGCGTCCTCGCCCGGCCGTATCGTGGTACCGAGAAGGACAGACTGTATCCTAGACTTCATAGTGGGCATACTCTCTTTCACTGTCAAGCGCAGCTCTCTCGATTCATAGTCAAGGAAAGCAGCGCGTCTTTGAAGGAAGCTCTGGAGAGCGAGTGCTGGTGGTCCTGAGAAGAATGGAGAGTAATCGTTCGGTGTGACCTCGAGCCCTTGCGCAAGAGACATTCCGTCCCAGGGTATATCGAGGGTAATGGGAGTCAATTGGGGGGCCTCTACGAAGAGCAGCTCGTTGTCACGGAGCTCTTCCATCACAAGCGCGCTCGTCAGCGGTGACCGCCAAAGCTTCTGCAAGACATCCCAGCATCGGGTCTTAAGAGCAGACCGCCAAGCTATGAACTGTTCGCCGTCATTGTCAGGATACTGAACTCCAAGGAGAAGTATGCTGTGGAACAAGGCTTGTCCGTTTGACCAGAGGCTGTTCTCGGCAACGCGGACAGTATTGGGTCCACATGAGAAGCCGAGAAGGATGTGCGCTATGGTCGGTCGAAGGGACACGGCAGCTAGACAACTGTTCAAGAAGTCCAATACGCGGAGCTTGACAACATATCCGGAAGCATCCTCGCCAGCTTCAAGCTCTTCGGCGCTGAACCGCATCAGACCTGAGAGCGACCGACCGATGCGCTCGGCTTCATTGTCTTTCTCCAGTATGCCGACAATCTTACTGCGCCCTGATCGTTGGCCGAAGCCCGCAGGTGAGACTGCAAGTTTTCGTGAAGAAGCCATCTTCTCTAGCAGTTGGAGAGAGGCAATGGTCAAGGCTTCGTGGCCAGTACCACAGTAGAGTCCCAGGTCGACGATGACCTGCAAATTGTTCAAGATCGCATCCTCGAAAGATGCAAGCGACAGGTTCGACACGGGAGAATGCTGAAACGACGTTTGTTGTTTGAGAACTGGCTTGACGATATCCAAGTACGTCGCCTGGAGCTTCATCACGAGATCCATTACCTCAATGCTAAGCATCAGGGATTGGATCAACGGTGAGTCAGATGGAGCAGCGTCGACCTCGGTCACGTCGTGATGCGATGCAACAAAAAGAGCCTTTAGGACCTTGTCGTTGAACAGCCATTCCATGACGCGTGCAAATGGGTGAAGCGCAACGTACACAGCAAGTGATGTGGGGTCAATGACCGAATCAACAGGTATGCTAGACTTGTTCGCGAACACGACGAGATTCTCATTGAACGTGGAAAGACATGTCACCATGAAGCGCAAGCATGTCCACTGCATGACGCTGCGTTGTAGCGGATCAAGCACGTCCAGAGAACGTTCTGCAAACACCTGCTGCATGACGAAGTCAATGTAGCTCTCGATACCCGGCATCCTGCGCGACGATCCCAAGCCCTCGGGAAATGGTAGACTGTCGTTGAGGCCTTCGTTCTCCGGATATGGCTCTACGAGCGAGTGGAGGAAACGAACCAGGGCAATGGACTCATCGTATCCGTCGGCGAGCGTAGGCCACAAGTCATGTCTGGGTGTGGCACTCAAAGCGTTGTTTTGCCTGGATCCAGTATAAAATCCATTGACGGTCCACTCATCCAAGAGACTCCACATGGCATCGGCACGAGTGAAGTCCTTGCCTACGAGTAGAGCCGACAGAGCATCATAGGCGGCTGCTCGAAGCCCACTCTCAACTTTGTCTGTGCATAGACCGAAGCAGATGCCAGCGAAGTGGTACTCTTTAAGATCCAATATCCACATGCGTGCAGAAGAGCTTTGTCGGCAAATGTGTGCAATGAGTCTCAGGTAGCTTTCCAGCATAGTTGCGCTCTCGGGTTCCACGATCTGATCGATTGGGTTCATGGTCTGAGCATAGACGCCGCTTTGGATAGGCTTCTTCGGCTCGTGAATGTCGTTCTCGAACTCGCGCAGCTCGTTGAAGATAGTCGTGTAGCTGAGCGAACTGGTTCGTCGGATTTTCCCCGAAGCAGATGCTCCCTCTTCGAGTAGGAAGCGATGCGCCGCTTCGGCATTTGCCTCTCCAGAACCGATGGCCCGTAACATCTCGCAGAACATGGCAATCCGGGGAGTGGGTTGGCGCTTGGCTGCCCACTGCAGGAATCCGTAGAGGTTGCTCTCTTTATCACTCCAAAAGTCTTCTGCGGCGTCTGGAAACCCATCGAAAGCGTATGCGACAATGACCATGAAGCGTTCGAGATGGAGTGGGTACTCTCCAGTTGAGCGTTGGAAGTGAAGTTGTAGTTGTCGTCGCTGATCGTCCTCCTCGGCTTTCAGTTTGCGCAGAGTGTCTGGCATGTGAGTAATAAACGAGTCCACGAAGGTCTGTAATTGCTCCATGAGAAGCTCCTTGAAGAAGTCCTCAGGCTGCGGCGAATCTCTGCTCAAAACTGCGGTGTCCTGCAACAGCGTCGATAACATGCTAGTCTTCTGAGGGTCGTACCAGCGGGTGGGGCGCACATCCTGACTGACTGATAGCATGAAATGGAATGCGCCGTCGCCGAGTGCTTTCAGGAAGATCTCTGATCGCGTGTTGGCCTCCTCCTCAAAGTTGATACCCTGCAAAGCAGCGTCTTGTGTGTTTGGGTCCATGTACCGTCCACTGTACTCCGCCAACCACCAAGTCAATGTCGCCGAATGCAGATTCCTCAGCGCCCAGTTGTCGTTCTCCCGTCCAGCCATGAGCGAGTCGTGCAGAGCGCGCGCTTCCCTCAGCATGACGTTGTTGCCCTCGGATGCGACCCAGGATGTGAGTCGCAGGAGTATCGGAACATAGTGGATGGTAATGAGGTCGTGTCGGTCGAGGGACTTGGCTCGGGTGAGCAAGGCCTTGTAGTTGTCGAGATTGACATATCCGGGCTTGATCATGTGCGTGCATATCGCGGCGAGGTTCTCGTGTTGTCGTGTAAGACTTTGGCGCTGGTAGTCCATAATTTCGACAAAGCCGGGGAGGGGCACTTGTCCGACGACCTGGGTACTCTGAACGCGCTCGGCAACAGACTGCAGCCACTTCTCGACGGCCTCCATGCTGGTCAAGCACTTGGTCCAGAAGCCGTATGCATTTGATAGGTTGGTCGTGCCATGTACACCGACTATCATCTGGGCAGCCTCCTGCAGAACAGGCAGTCCCTCCACTTCCGAGTCGCCATTGTCCAGCGCAGTCTTCATCAGGATGCGCACGCAGAGGAGGACATACTCGCGGCGTCGGTGGAAGCGGATCACGGCGGTCTGGAGCTGGGGTCGGTCGAGCTCCTGGGCCTCGCTCTCGGCGCCCAGGAAGAGGGCAGCGGCGTCCAGCTCGTCGAGATTGAGGGCGTCGGCGAGTTCGAGCGCCTTCTGTTTGAAGTCGTCGTTGACCTCATACTCGTTGTCGTCGATCTTGATCTTGCCTGGCGCTGTTAGCACCTTCCTCGTCTACACCTCTGTTTATGTAATACCAGAGCTCAGCGCCTGCCTGCTCGCATCGTTCTTCGGCTTCTTGTCCAATAGCGTCTTCAGCTCTTCCAAATGCGCCTCTAGATTCAGCAGCAGCCGCTCCAGCACTGGCAGCTGCAGGTCGATGTGCGCGCACAAGTCGCGGTGTAGGCCCTGGAGGGCGGCGAGGCTGTCTTCTTCAGCCATGGGATTGTCGTGAGGTCGTCGTGCGCATTATGCGCCGGGGGAGTGGCGGCGGATAGGCTATCGTGTTCCGTGTTTGGGTGTTGTTTCTTCAACAATGGAGCGAGAGCTTGCTTGCTTGACTTTCGCAGAACGCGAAGGCGCACAGACGTAAACCCTGCGACGCGCTTTCCCGTCACGACTCACCTCCGCCATAACTCCGCACCTGCACCTGCACCTGCACCTGCACCTGGGCAGGGTAAAAGTGTTCTGCCCTCATATCGATCGCGTAATCGCCGCGACATGTTACGCGTATGAGTGAGCGGCCATGGGGGCGACCAACATCCAGGATGCAAAGCGTAAGTCCTTGGGGGAGCCATACGATAAAGACTGGAGGTATTCACGGCCTTCTACGTTGACGTCTGCTAATGCAGAAGCCGCTGAATACCTCCCGACTATAGCATACTCGGCCGCAATCAGTCAAATAAAATTCATGTAGACGTCATGCTAACACCTAGCCTAATAGTCCTGATTTCATCCTCGCGGGTAGTCGACCGAACGAGCGGCCTTAAAGACCTCATCCACATCCTCAAGCACAATCGCGGGAAACCTAGTCTCGAGGCTCTCGGGAACAAATCCTATCTAGCACTATGCGAGACGCTCTTCCAATGCCTGCACGATGGGCGCTCCGCCTTCTTCCACGGTAAGACCAAGGCGACCAAGGCTGGTTCTACTGCGGCCCTCCTTCCCCTCTCGGCATCGGCCCTGCGTCATGTTATTGCGTCGGGCGTGCGAACCATCAAGAGCTCTACGGTCGAGATGATAATAGACACAATAATCGAGGTGCTTCCTGCGACGACTGGACTTGTTGAGCCGCTTCTGGAAGCCCTCCCAAAAACACTGCGATCTCTCTTGGAGTATCAGCCCCATGTTGAGCGCCTATCAAAGGAGTGCTGGGACGCCGCAGTCGGTTTTTGTATCGAAACTCTGGCCGGCTTCTTCCAAGAGTCGCCCGCCGAAGGTGAGCTGCAAAACAGCTGGAGCACTAATGTCTCAAGTCGCGCCCGCACTCCCCTTGAAGCCGACTTCACGTCCTCTAGAGCTTCTCCACGCTTGCCCGTGACCAAGACCAAGTCAACCCCTCCAGAGCACGTTCGCGCAACGGAAGACTTTGTCCATTGCCTGCATCATCTCGTCAAGGCTTCCAATGCGCCATTGCTAGACAAGGCTGACGCCGTTCTGGCTGTCTTACTAAAGTTCTTGCAGCAGAGGACTACGCGTGGAAGTACGGGCGTGGCTGCCCTGGCCGCTGTCAACGCCATTCTCGCACGCATCACGTTACAATCTCTCGAGTTGACCAAGCGCACGGTGCAAACATTGCTCCCGCTTCTCAAGCTTATGTGGTCCGAGGCTATCCTACGGGATGAGATTATGATCAGTTTGATATATACCGAGGCGCACATCGAGAGTCTCCTCACTGACTCGGATGACGAATCCACCAGCTCTGACCTGGAAGGCCTCATTGAGATGATGTATAGCGACTACCGGCGCAGGCAAGAAACTACCGCGCACCAATATCTTGAAGAAGATTATCTCTGCTTTCGACACTTGGGGCCTGCCCGCAATGACACCCACCCCCTGAACACATGCGCATTCTCCATGGAGACGGAGCATCAGCGATATGAAGGACTATGGTCTACAGTATCCACCATTGCGCGTTTTTCATTCATGCTTGATGAGCGAAGAATTTCCATCGCCCACGACCGTAGCGACAGCGAAGAGAGCTTTAGCAAACGTATTCGCATTACTCAATTGTTCCCTGAATACCTTCGTCATGTGTCTGAGCCCAGATCGAATGTCAAGCGAGCAGCTTTACAAGTCGTTGCGTTTATGGTCCAGGAAGGCCCCTTCGACGAGGAAGAACTTCAAACGCTATTGGAGAAGCTCACTTCGTGCATCTCAGATGAGAACCCAGTACATTCGGTGTGGGCAATGATAGGTTTGGCAGGGTAGGTATATCACCACATTATACACTGCGCACGTAGCTGACGTTCGTCTAGAGCCGCGCTTCAGCAATCAGCATCGCACTCAACTCTTCTTCCCTACTGGATATCTGCATGGCAAAGCGCATCTCGTGCAGTCACTTCCGTATCCATATCCCGCGCGGCATGTCATCTCATGGACGTTCTCCTGCGACTGAACATCGTTCCCTTCTCAGCAGTGTCGGAGACAGTTCAGTCTCTACTACTGTCGATAGAACTAAGCGGACCGGCTTTACTCACCGAAAGCAGCTCATCACTACTCACTACCATTCTTCAGGAGCGTATCAAAGAAAACCCGACACATTTCAGTTCGACAGCTGAGCGAATTCTTAACTGGCTCCTCACCAAATGGACCCCTAGTAAGCGCTCTCACGCTTTGGCAGAACCTGAATTGATGTTTTACAGGTTTGTGGTCTGAACGGACATACTCGGCGCTGAATGCTCACCACTGCAACGCTCGTGATGTGCTGCGCGTGCTCTACACCTGCCTGGACGTACCCTTCAACCCGCCGGAGCCGGCCACTTATCTGGTACTTGGGCCTATTGGGCAAGCTAGAACGCAAATGGCGCGTCACAAAGATCTCGCTCATTATCTTCTGCTTCTCCGACCTATGGAAGATTTTGTAGCTAAGATCGAAGAAGGACCGCGTCTCTCCTCCGATGAGCCCACAGGCGAACTCTCCTCCACACAACTTAGAAATAGGATTCTTGATTTCTGCGTATCTGAACTCGAACGAGCGCAGCACCGTTGGAAGGATATGGCTGCGTCAAACATACAAGGCATTACTTCAGATATGATGCGCATCGTCACAAATTTGTGCATCATCGCGCCAGCTGTTGCGACTCTTAGCGATCCGGACGACCGTCGTGTGCGTACTCTTCGATCATCTGCAGCTGCCCTGATTGAGTCTTTTGCCGCTACACTAGCCAAGCCTCAGATGGAACAATACAAAGTCGATGCAGTCCTTGAGGCCTGTGCAAAGGGCCTTCCTGACATTAGCTCCTCAAAGCGAGTGGGCTCCGGTGTGTACGAGTTGATAGGCATCGATCAGCTGGCTCAGCATTTACCCAGGGCTCTTCAGCAACGCAAAGAGGTCAAACAATCCTTCTACGCGGATGAGGATGACTTCATGGACGTGGACGACGAGCCTGACTCACAGATGACCGCTGGAGCTACAGTCCCCGACAACGATGTACCTCGACATGATGTGCAGGCAGAAACCGATCTATCTGCTCTGCGTGCATCATGCCTAGCACACTTGCAGTTCATTTCGTCTCTGACCAAGCACACTGAGTTAGAGCCTGGAACAGTACCCCCGGATTTCGTCGATTACCTCGTCTCCCTCACAGAGAACGACCTTATTCGTTCGCGTCAATTTCTTCGTTCAGTGTGGAATAGTAACTTGAAGATATCCAGGAACGACTGTCTCAATCTGCTGGAACGATTCAGCGAAGCTCTTATTGATCCTCGCGCTCGTGAATACAACACCTCCGAAGTCGCCAACAGCATGCTTGTCGAGGTTCTGATTGGGACAACACTCGTTTGGCTACCTGATGTGACCGATCGAGAAGCTCAGGATCTCTACGACAATGTGGAGGCCCTGTATGTCTACTACGTCAAAGAGATGGAGAAAGGAGGTGTGAGACGATCCGCGAACTTGCAAACAACCATCGCCGTCTTTCTACATGGCCTATTAAAACATCATCCCGACTTTGCGCAAAACCGCAAAGTTCCATCCGTACGAACTAGTCTCTTCGAGCTGCTTTCAACAGGCGAGATGACCGTCAAATACCACATTGCTGAGCATTTGCCAAGAATGTTCGAAGATTTCGTTCTCTCCGAACACGATAAGATTCTACAAGATGTCGACAGTAGCTTACCTGGAGACGATGAGGGTCTTGAGGGGATAGCAGTTCGGTTGCTTGTCCTGTCGCGACTGGCATCCAAGTGGCATACGCTGCTGCGTCACAGCGTGTATCGTATCTTTGCCACAGCAGGAACTATCAATGGCGCTACCTACCACGCCAAACGATGCATCTTAAACGTGGCGCAGTCAAGAGGTCTCGGTGATTCACAAAGCTTATTCCGGCTTTTCGCACCACAAGTTATCTTCACCTGGCTCGACCGAGGCCAAAAGGTCGGTCGTATTCCATTTACGATCTTCGGTTATGCGTCACTCTCCGACCTTCTTCGTGATATCGAAGCCGAAGTAGTGGGCCAAGCCATAATGTTCGGACGCAAGGAGGAAGTGGAGTTCCTGGCTGAACATCTAGACACGTCAGCACAAGAGATGCTTTCGAGAAACATTGGCAAAGCAGCCGCATATACCATCGCGTGGGATACTTGCCGGGGCTCCGCTCGAAACAAAGCCGACTCTAGCTTCGGAAATTTGCTGAAAGACATGGTCGGTAGTGACAAATACTATGGCCTGGTGCAGAAGCATTTTCCCCAAATTTTGGGCCACATGTTCCAAACAATCGATCACGAGGAGCGCCTACCCAAGTCGCTGGAGAAGAAGCCAGCTTTCAATCCCGCCGCTGCAGTTCTAGCCGAAATTGCTGAAATTGGCCAATCTGCGCAAGGCCTTAACATAGGTATTGAGCCCTCGTTCTCCGCCTTCTATCTTCCCGATCAGCTGGAACGTTTGTGTAGGCGGACCGGCGATAGACCTGCTGGCTTCTGGTCACCGAGCACATATACATATGTGATGCGCTCTCTGCTTGACCGCATCCATCCGGCTCTCGGCTCACTTTATGCCCGGTCAATGATAAGGAAGATTCGAATCATTGTTGCGCTGGCTGGACCTGTGGCACATGAGGGCTACCCGTTGCAAATGACGCTGCAGTCTTTACGTCCTTTTCTCACCGATATGCAATGTGCTGAAGATACAGTTGGCATCATGCAGTATCTTTTCGAACACGGCGCTCAGTATCTCCGTCAACAGCTCAGCTTCGTCACGGGCATCGGCCTCTCGATTCTCATCTCTCTCCGAGTATTCCTGGGCTCCTCTCAGGATAGTACCACCCAGCAGTCCCAACATCTAGCAACCATGAATGCAGCCAATAGGTTCCATACTTGGCTCACTGAGTACCTTAAGGCTCACGCGCAGGCCATCACTGGTGTAGAACGCTCTTCCGCCATCAAAGCGTTTAAGCTTATCACCGCGACTGCTGCTCAAGTCAACGCCGAAGGCAACTCATTGCGAGGTAGTGAAGAAAGCAAGCTTCTTCTTGAGATACTAGACGACGCGAAGTCAGGACGCAAGCTCCTGAACAAAACATCACGAGATGTTGCGTTGGATCTGCTTTGCCAGAATTTCCGTCCTGCTCCGAGCGCCCGAGATGATGTCCTTGGCTTGGACCACGATGCTGCAGAGTATGCACCCCTCGTTTGGGAGTCGTGTCGCAGAAGCAAGGTCGGTGACGGTTATCTGTTATGGACCGCGCGGGTCCTGGGACGTGCATACAGCGCCTACGGAGAGGTAAAGCAGAGCTCGGCTCAAGCTCGGCCATGGTCATCATCAGTACAGACTTCCAAATCGGTTCCTGGAAAGTCATCCAGAGAAGCTATTGTTAACGAAGTTATCGATTTGTTCTACAGCGACGAACGCAATGAGGTCAGCCTGGCGGAGGATGCTGTACGACGCCTGATCTCTCGCTTGGTGCCTGATTCGCAGTACATGAGCGAGATGCACCGAGTCATTCCGGAGGCCATTGGTAAAGCCCTTCTGTACAAGCCCCCGGAACCAGATACTACCTCGCATCTTGTGACAGATGGTCTTCGCGAAGCCGTCTCACCTACGCCGGTCAAACCGGTATCTCACTGGATTAGAGACCTGACAATGGCACTGTGCAGAGTTGCAATCGACGATCCTATTCTGGGCGCTCTTCCAGACTTGCTCCGCGGTATCAACCACATGGCGGAGAAACTCCTGCCCTACATACTTCATCTCGTGCTACTTGACGAGTATGAAACGGAGCGCAACGTTCATGACATCGTGTCGAAGGCGATGGCGACATGGTTCCGCAATTGCGGCCCAGATACTATACCACACGTCTGCATCCTTATCCAATCCATCCTCTACCTCCGAAGCCAGCCAGTCCCCAAAGAGGTTACCAGAGTGGAGCGAGACAAGTGGTTAGACATCGACTTTCTGGAGGCTTCACAAGCCGCGAACGACTGTGGCATGTTCAGGAGTGCGCTTTTGTTTGCGGAGACGTCTTCTGGCCAGCCAACTATCAAAAGCAGCACAAGGAGATCGTCTGTTAGGGTCGACCCTCCGAAAGTGCCGCTGCAGCTCCAGCTTTCTATCTACAAGAACCTTGACGAGCCAGATTCATTCTACGGTGTCGATCGGGGTTCCAGCTTGTTGTCGGTACTAGATCGTCTCGACTACGAGGGTGACGGCGTAAAGAGCCTTCTATTTCGTGGTGCTCGTTTAGACAGTCAAATGCGCCGGCGCAACGAGTTTGAGGCAATAGACTCCCGGGGAACGATCAAATCTCTCATCATGTTGAACATGAACAGCGTCACGCACTCTTTACTCTCCAACGACCAGTTCCGCGATGCTGGGGACGATGTGGTTGAGAGTACACTTCACACCGCGCGCAAATTAGGCCAGTGGGATATCAAGGCGCCGGAAGTAAACCACACAGAGGCAAGCACCTTGTTCAAAGCCTTTCAAGGACTGCATTTTGCGAAGAGCGCTGCAGAAGCTCAAGAGAACTTCGACCGCCAACTACAGGTGACCATGAACTTCCTCTGCGGAAAAGATACCTCATCGATATCAACGAAGACTCGCCTGCGGACCCTAGGAGCGCTCACAGAGGCAGATGAGGTGATTACAGCTGAGCGTTCGGAACACTTGCTAGATATCTGGGATCGTATGAAGGCTCGAGAGAAGTGGATGCGGGCTGGCGAGTAAGTATTGGTCAGTCTTTCCAAGCCCGTATACTTACCATTACTAGATTCAACGACGTCCGTCAGCTACTTTCATGTCGTGAGACGCTTTTCAATGTACTCGGTACGAATGTCGCCCTTGTCGATTCGCTACACACCCGGACTGCGACTGTGCGAGGCATGGAGGTGGAGGCTCTGGTTTCATCGTCCAGTCTCTGCAGGAAGCATGGAGCACTTCAAGAGTCGCTCGCAAGTGTCACCTACCTCTCCGATATCGTACCTGAGTGCAAGGCTATAGGTCTTGATATTGAAGCCACAGCCCAACATGAGGTAGCGAACGTGCTTTGGGAACAAGGCGAGACTGAGATCTCAATAAGGATGCGTCAGCATTTAATCGACAACGCAGATTTCGACTCACAAAATATTGATCTTAGTCTGCCGGTGTTGCTTGCTCGACTGGTAAGAAGACCTTTTGATTGTATGTAGGTCTCTACTAACGAGATTAGGGACACCATCTTGCTGAAGCTCGCCTCGCCAAGCCCGACGCAATCATGAAAGAGTACCTGGAGCCCGCGATCCGTGAGCTCAAGGGTCAAAAGGAGGGTTTAGGCCCGGGCCAAGTCTTCCATGAGTTTGCTCTATTCTGCGACAAGCAGTTGCAGAGTCCCGAAGCGGCGGAAGACATGAATCGTATCAAGACTGTGATGGACCGAAAACTGCAAGAGTATCATGACTTCGCGAAACTCTCGAAAACCGACAAGAGCAAAGGAATGCGCGAAACTTACCACCGAAACGCCCGTCGCGCGAAAACCTGGTATGATCTCGACAATGCGGAATATGAGAGGATGCGCAAGGGCCGCGAGCAATTCCTTCGCCAGTGTCTCGAAAACTATCTTTTGTCTCTTCTTGCCAGCGACGAGTACAACCACGATGCGCTTCGCGTGTTTTCTTTATGGCTAGAATACTCCGATACGCCTCTGGCGAACCAAGCTGTCAAGGCATACCTCAAGGATGTGCCGAGCGGAAAGTTCGCCCTGCTGATGAACCAACTATCCTCACGACTACAAGCCGAAGAGAATGACTTCCAGCATCTGCTGATGGAGCTGGTCTTCCGCATTTGCGTTGACCACCCATTCCATGGTAAGTCAGATCCCAATACAGATTAATGTGAGATGTGTTGCTGACTTCATACACCAGGCATGCATCAGATCTTCGCAATTCAAATGAAGGTCGCCGCCACCTCTAGGGAAGATGTCGTTCGAGCCAAGGATGAATCTGCAAAATCCCGTCAGAAAGCTGCGGGCGGCCTTGCGACGGCGCTCAGCACTGATAAGAGAGGGCGGTCGTACTGGAGCTCCATCTTCCAGTCTAATGAGGTGTATCATCATCTCGCCATGTTCAAGGGTGAGAAGGAGAGTACTCAGCAAGGTCGTGAGTTGCCCCTTGATAGGTACAAGGAGTCACGAGACTTGGTGAACCGGGTGCCGAAACTTAACGTACCCCCGGCTACTCTTCAGATTGAAGTTCGGCCGAACATGAACTACAGCGACTTGCCAAAAATCGCAGGCTTCAAGTCGACCATGACGATTGCGAACGGACTCAGTGCGCCAAAGGTCATCACTGCTAAGGGCACAGATGGCAAACCGTACAAGCAACTGTTCAAATCCGGAAACGACGATCTACGCCAGGACGCAATCATGGAGCAAGTGTTCGATCAAGTATCGCGATTACTAAAGAATCACACCGCAACGCGTATTCGCAATCTCGGCATCCGCACATATAAAGTTCTGCCACTCTCAACACGTTCTGGCCTCATGGAGTTTGTACAGAACACAATTCCGCTACATCTCTGGGTCATGCCAGCCCACGAAAAGTACTACCCGGGCGACTACAAGCCTGAGAAATGTCGCAAGGAGATTGGCGCATGCCAGCAGGACTCCCTCACCACACGCGTCAAAGTGTGGCAAAAGATTGCGGACAACTTCCACCCCGTGATGCGCTACTTCCTGCTTGAGCGCTTCGAAGACCCAGACGAGTGGTTTGAGCGTCGCCTGGCATACACACGCTCTACAGCCGCCATCTCCATCCTTGGACACGTCCTTGGTCTTGGCGATCGGCACTGCCACAACATTCTCCTCGATGAGAAGTCGGGCGAAGTGGTGCACATCGATCTCGGTGTAAGTTTCGAAGCTGGTCGCGTCCTGCCAGTACCAGAAGTCGTGCCATTCCGGCTGACGCGTGATTTGGTGGACGGTATGGGATATACGAAGACGGAGGGAGTCTTCCGCCGATGCTGCGAGTTTACAATGGATACGTTGCGTGAAGAGCGGGAGTCTATCATGACGCTCCTCAACGTCCTGCGATACGATCCTCTTGTCAACTGGAGCGTCACGCCGACGAAGGCGAAGCGCATGCAAGAAGCGAACCAAGAAACCGCACGTTCAACTACCGTCGCACCAGGAGGTACGCCCGCGCCATCGGGCCAGTCAGCGGCCGAAGAAGCAGCAGCGGTGGCGCAGGAAGACAATAAGAAGAGGGAGAAGGAGGAACAGGCCGGTGAGGCGGGACGGGCGCTTAGTGTGGTGGAGAAGAAACTGAGCAAAACGCTTAGTACCAAGGCGACGGTGAATGAGCTCATACAGCAGGCGACTGATGAGCGGAATTTGGCGGTGCTGTACATGGGGTGGGCAAGCTATGCCTAGACGACTACATGGGCCCTGTGCAGGTGTGTAATGAATATTTAAAGGTCATGTAGTCGGCATACATGACTGTGCAATTAATGGTTACGCCTCATACAAGAAAAAACTGAACAGGTTTGCAGACTACATTGACATGTAAACCGACAAAGTAGGTGACCTGACATTGATGTAGACTCCAGGGTATTCGGCTTTTTCCTCCATCCATGAAGACGACGAAACCGCACGTACCCTAAATCGCTTCGTCGCGCATAAGTTCAAACTTGTATTCGTGTAGAGAATCGCTGATTTAACGCTTTTCTTGCATGCAGACTACCCTGAATGCGTTGATGCCGCGGAGTCAATTTTCTTGCTCTTTGGATCGTGGGTTTTACATGGAAAACTGGCTGGAGTCTTCCACTCTTATCCTAACTACAACATCGCAACGCAAGTGCGTATGAACAACCGTAAAGTTATGTAGTTAAGAAGAGGGCGTTCTCTATTACTCTTGAGTTATCAATGTATGCCGCATACTGCAATTGAGCAATCGAGGGGAAAGGCTGCAACGAGGCTGCACTTCCCAAACAGGCACATTTCGAGAGGGCGTGGATTGCGGAGGCATACCCCGATTGCCCCGGCTGCGTCGACTGGTCAGCAAAAGCGTTTTGGCTACCTCTGGTGGATGAGGATCTGCTGCATGCAGCGTACAGGCATGATACCTAGTCATGTCGATGCTGGTGTTGCCAGGCAAATGTTGCGTACGCCTAGTAGGTATCTAGTCCGTAGAAGCAAGTAACACCTACGCGCAACGAATCTCAGCAACTGTTCCCACATTCCTACCTCCACAGCTACGCCCACATCATACAGTTCGCCTAGCGACGCTTCCCAAACAAGCAGTTCAAAAGAAGGGTATCGATCGCAGCCAAGACGCTCATAGCGATACTTCGCTGTCGCAAGGATGAAGAGACAGACCCCCTGCAGATAGACCCAGTCGCAGACGTAATGACTGGGTAACTTTGCTCAAGGTGTAGATCGCGGTGGGAGGCCATGTCGACGTTCGAAAAGTTATTGGCTTCGCGCTGATTGGCTCGGATAGCTAGTACGACGATGCCAGAGGCAGATAGGCCAGTGATCTGCGATTAGAGGTCAATTAGGATGCGTCGGGTAAGGAGCACTTTTTGTGCGTCATTGCCGAAGGATTGTACAGCTCGACACGTGATAGTGTCTCTTTCAAGTAAGTTTCGATAAGGTGTTGATGGCGGCGAAGGGTTCACGATAGTTCTTTAAGGTTCTGATTGCCCGTGGTTACACAAAGATCGCAAGCTACTCACAATCTTGGAAGACTCCAAAAGCAAAGATAGGGTACGCAGGCATTTCTCATGACGGCGTCACTTTTGCGAATGGAATCACTTGTTGTTCCGGTCGGTGCAATATCTGAAGAAGTGTACCTAGGTAGATCGTAGCACACTTTTTGTTCGCATTCCATCCTTCCAAGTCAGGTAGGTTTGCAACAGCTGTAGATTGTGGCCAAGCCTGCGTTCGCGAAAGATTGCTTCGAAGGATATGCCTGCCTGATTGGCCCACCACAAGCATCATGTCCGAGACAGGCAACTTCACGTTTTCCATCGAATGCGTCAGCGATTCTTCGCTTTCGCTGTGCCTTAGCGTCAGCCAGTCCTCCTCTTTTAGGCAGGTTTGGAAATAGGGTGTTGATCACGCTCAAGAGCCATCGCGAAACATCGCTGTTGCTACTTTCGCACCTAGCACTGTCTGATCGAGCTCCAGCAACACTATACTGGCACCAAGGCATCGCAAACAATGCATTTGACCTTGAGATATGTGACTTGATTTCCCGTCGTGCCATTCCGTGTTTGAATGTGGGCATGTGGGCATCTTGAGACCTTGCTGGTGAGATCCCGGGACGGGGCACGGCGGTTCAGCCTCCAACACTGCCAGTATCGCTTGCAAGCAGCAAGCCAAATGGCGACCAATTGACACCGATTACCTAGAGGGGTAACTTCGACATCTTGCCGTTGATTAAGGTTATGCAAGCGTACGGCGCAAACCCCGCGTCCAAAATCCTGCTGTGCCCCTCACCCGCGGATACCGCCGCCCCACCACACAGAGAATTTCGACCAAGTTTCCAGCCACCAAACCCTCCGGTACCATTGAACGCAGAGCAGGCTGCATAACAAATGAGGATATAAAAGTTATAATTCCCATCGTTTCCATCAACAACCAGTACAACTGGCCTAATGGCCCAATGGCAAGGCGCTTGACTACGATTCAGTTCGATATCAAGAGATTCCAGGTTGTAAGTACTCACTGCATCACACACTTCGAAACCCGCGACTAACAAGTCCGTCTAGCGACCCCTGGTTAGGTCATTTCTACCCTCTCTTTTTGCTGTTTTTCTAGAGTGGATAGGCGTGCGAGAAGGTTTGGTGTTAATTTTTTTGCTCCACTGTAACCTTTCGTATTTTTTTTTTTGCCCCTTTAGATCTCCGACACCTCTCTTTCATGCTTTCTATCACTGTTTCGAGCCTCTCGAATTGTATGCTGATGAAAGCATTGTAACAAGTAGAATGCTTTTATTGTTTTTACCATGGTTCCAGTCTTACCTTCTTCACATTACACATCGCTCGCATATACATGAAGAGACAGTTGTACCACAGAACTATCTCCTTACTAGGTTTGCAAATGCAGTTTTAATGTAAGAAAGATGAGGTGTTACTCTAGCGACTAAGAGAAGAACTGACGTACTAGACTTTTAATTATGCTGCTTTCATCTCGCCATCTCGCTCTTGTTATCTCCCGTTACTTCCTACTCGCAACAGTTACAAAAGTCTCAAACACAGTGATAAGCTATGTATAACCCTGCCGAAGCAAGACTTTGTGAATAAACTCGTAAAAGTGAAGAAGAAAGTACGGAGTGAAGGGCGCGCGCGACAACTAACAACATAGCGTCAAAGAAGAGGGACGATAAGTTGTTTACACTCCTCCGTCTGCGCTCACCTTGGCACAAAACGGCCTCTCGTCCAGCCCAGCCGATATGTATCTTTACACCTACAACGCTGTTCTGCGACCTGTATTCCAACTACATACCACACCCGGACGTATACATTACATTCTATCACAATCCCGCGTGCACGTAAAAAACAGTGGGTATCTCCCGGATACAACATGATCATAGTATGTTTAGTGCAACACGACCTTGTTGGTACCAAGTGCAGACGTAGAGTTGGTCTGTAAAGAATCGACCGGTATCCTGCAACGTTGGAAAAGCAAGATAAATGCCCAGCCTAGAAGCTGAGCTACTTTACCAGACAAAGAATGCGCTCTGCTGATACATGAGTAGTTCACTTCAGTTCCCCATACATTAGTACCCCTGATAGCACACGCAGCTCCTTTCGCACACCCACCAACTCGCCGCCCGCTGTGCGCAGCCAACTTTCCAACTTATCGAGTGCTACGAAAGCAGCCATCTGCCCAAAGAGGGACGGAAGCTCTTCCGTGATACTGTGGGTAAGATGAAAGCGAGTCTCTACAAGTGCATCCAGCTCGACTGTACACATTTTTCCCGTTGATATTCATCGCGTTGCCAAAATACGGAGATCACACACACACACACACCGCACACCTCACATATACTGCACGTCCTGCACAGGTCGTATATTTGATATTTTAAATTGTTTTGATATGTACCTATTGTGTTGATAATATATGCCTTGAAGCGAATGCTGTAAACATGCCGAATCAAATGTGACTGTGAAGTCTTGCAATCTAGATCGCTAACATGCGATACGATGCGATGCGGATATAACGCTATGCTGCGCGACGCTGAAAACGCACACAGACTCATTGACTGAAAAAAAAAGGAAGGAGAGAAATTCTTGCGGTCAGCGCTTGACCGTCGTATGCTCCCATCACGCAAACGCCGGTACCCATGCCCCATGCTTCGAAAAACCGCGGAAAGAAAAGATCTGACGTGAGATAAAAAAGAAAATAGTTCATATGGCAAATGCCGCGAGGCTCCGCTAATATGCGCACGATAATATAGAAGAAACCGAAAGAAAAATCAGCTCATAGCCGCCTCGGAAATGTCTCGTAGGCCTTCGGGCAAGCCATTTGCTCGATACAAACATGTAACACGAATGTGCCGGGTCGTGTACCCCCCACCCTCGCGAGTCGAATCTGGCGGACGGGCGTCTATCGGCGAGACCCGGCATTACGGATGCCGGGTGGGGACGGGACTTGCGAAAGCGAGAAAGAAGGCATGTCCCCAGCTTTTGCGGAAGCGAGTTATCGTGACGGGGACAGGTCATTCACCGGACGGAAGGTGGAGTAAGGGCGACCGTTGCGCAGCGGAAAGAGGCGACGCCTGCGTGCATGCGACCTGTGACGTCTTGTTCCGCAACCGTGTGTCGTGTGAGTGTGGAAAGCAGGTCACGGGTCCCGATGAACCACCGAGACGTGCGTATCGCCGAGCGACCTCGCGCGGCCAACCTTCCCATGACTGACTTGACTCCTTGGTCGAGAAACTTGCTTTGACGATGTCTCGCGACAGAAATATCCACGACACGTGCGACCCCATGTCGCGAGTATCCGCAACCAGATCCAACGGTGCGGGCTGTGACGTTGTCCTATACCAAGACCAGGAATTCTGCTCGATTGGCGGCTCCACTAGAATCCGCGAGCGAGCGCGCGCTATGCCAAGGCAGGTGATGCGATCCTCGGAGACTCTGAATCCGGGATCGTCGAGCTTGACAGGGCTGCATGGCGCGTCTGCCAATGACCAAGGATCGAATTCCTGCTGTACATTTGCGATGCGCTACGTGGGTGGAGCTCGACACGACATGCTTGCATGCATGCATGCATGCGACATTCTTGGTTCGTGTCGTGGTCGTGGTGAACGTGTCGAGGGTACCGTACCGAGTGCTGCGTGCATGCCCAACCCAGCCTGTTGATGCAACAAGACGGCCTGATGAAATTGCTAGCCGTAGCGCATTCACGCAACGGTAACGGGAGTCCATCTAAGCGGCACACCGCTTGCGCCGTGAAGGGAAGGTGCTTTGCTAGACCCAGGCTTTCTTGGCGGCAACCAAATACGTGCCTTGCCGACGG